GCCGGAGTAAGGCTCCGTCCGTCTCCAGACCCTGGATGCTCCTGTCGCCTTCGGCTCAGAAAGACTATTCTGCCGATATCGTCGCCGATCATGACCAACGCCGGAACCAGGACAAGAACCAGGGCTGTCGCCGTCGCAAGGCCGAAGACAATGGTGATTGCCATCGGCAACAGGAATTGCGCCTGAAGACTGGTTTCGAACATCAGCGGCAGCAGACCGCCGATCGTGGTCATCGAGGTCAGCAACACGGCACGCAGGCGATCGCAGCTGGAACCGATTGCCGCCGTATCAATTGCTTCGCCAAGTGACAAACGCTCCTCGAAGCGCGCGACCAGAATTATCGAGTTGTTGACCAGAATTCCGGCCAGTCCGAGAAGGCCGATCATACTGAGGATCGTGAGGTTGAAGCCCATCAGATAGTGGCCGACAATCGCGCCGACGATGCCGAAGGGGATGATCGACATCACAACGATCGGCCTGGAGTAACTGCCAAAGATCGCCGCCAGGATTATGTATATGCCAGCGACAGCCATCATGACGCCTGTCAGGAGGTCCGAAAAGGCGTTGGACTGTTCTTCCGCACGGCCCGCAAACGAGTATTCCAAGCCGTATTTCTGAGTAAGTGCAGGCAGGAATTCCGCGCTGAGTTCGGCAATGATCTGGTTGTTCGACGTGATCGTGCTGTCCACGTCCGCGACAACCGAAACCACGGTTCCACCGTCTCGCCGCAGGATAACGGAAAACCCTTGTGCGTCCGTCAGGTTGACCACCTCTGTCAACGGAACGAATTCGCCAGCCGGGGTCCGCACAGACAATTGCCGAAGCGCCGCCGTTCCGTCCGCGCCGAAGACCTGCTTCACCCGGACGGCAACTTCCTCGTCACCTTCGGCAAAACGTCTTGCAATATTGCCCTCAAAGGCATTGCGGATCTGCCGGGCCGCACTTTCCACGGTGAAGCCGAGCGCATGCCCTCGTGGAGTGAGTTCCACCAGCAGTTCCGGTTTGCCGAAAGGCAGATCGTCTTCGACTGCGCTTGTGCCGGGAAATGCAGAAAGTTCCTCTTGCAATTCCTCAGCAGCGGCTTTGAGGTCCTGCAGGGAAGCCCCCGTCAGGCGTATATCGAGATCCCGGCCTGGAGGCCCTCCCCGGCGCTCTGCGACCGCAATGCGCGATGTGCCGGGAATGGACGGGATTGCTTCTCGCCAGGCGCGCACGATATCAGGGGTGCGGACAGTCCGGTCCTCCGAACGACTGAGCTGAACCGTGATGTTGGCAACGTTGTCGCCGCGGTTGTTTCCGGCCCTGCCCAACGTGGCATAGGTGGCTTGGACAAGCGTTTCACCGTTGTCACGCGTCAATCCGGCTTCCGCGTCTTTCAGCGCCTCTTCGATCCTGCCGATACCTGCAATAGCTTCCGTTTCGGGAATCCCTGCATGGAAGAAGATCGACGCCGTCAGGTTTTCCGCCTCCGGAGACGGGAAGAACGTAAAGCCGACCCGTCCACCGCGTACCAGGCCCACCGCAAGGACCATGGCTGCGATCGCCACGGCCAGCGTGGCATAACGCCAGTGCACCGCCACGGCAACAAAGGCCCGGAATGGATAGTCGCGCACCCAGTTGAAGCCCGTATCGAAGCCCCGGCGGAACCAGCTTGGCCGGTCGGGGTCTTCCTGCCTCTGCTTGCTCCGACGCAGAGCCATGAGGAGTGATTCCAGCGCCAGCGACAAAAGGAAACAGACACTGACGACAATCATCTCGAATACGAAAACGCCTGCCGTGTCCCTGAGACTGCGGAGCGGATCATCGACAATATCGAGGTAGGGAGGAACTGAAATATCCGGTTGTGCAACCAGCGCGCTCAGAAAAAACGCCGGAACACCCGCCACGATCACAACACGCCACCAGCTCCATCCAGGGCGACTGCCAAGGGCATGCGACAAGTGACCCGGCAGAACAAGGAAACATTCGATCAGGGAGGCGATTACCACCGCGACCACGACAACCGGCAAAGTTCCCATAATCTGGCCAAGCACGTCACTCACCAGAAGAATCGGCAGAAAGGCTGCAATCGTGGTTAGACTGGCGGCAAAAATCGGTGCAAGCATCGTGGTCGCACCGTTAACAGCGGCATCGTCCGGACCGTCGCCCATGCTCTGGCGCGTTGCCGTGTGTTCGCCCACGACAATGGCGTCATCGACGATCACGCCAAGCATCATGATGAGCGCAAACATGGAGATCATGTTGATGCTCTCGCCCATCAGCCACATGATGCCGAGCGTCGCCATCATTGCGACCGGAATTCCGGCTGCGACCCAGAGCGCGATCCGTGCATTCAGGAAAAGAAAGAGGATGGCAACAACCAGAACGAGGCCCGTCAGACCGTTTTCAACGAGGAGTGAAATCCGACCTTTCACCGCGTCTGCGCGTACATCGTATTTCAGGATCTCAAGCGTTTGCGGCAATTGCCGGGAGACGTCGTCAAGATAGTCATCGACAATCTGGGCAGCCTTCAGCGTGTCGGTTTTTTCCGTCCGCAGGATCTGCAGTTCGATCGCCCGCGTCCCCTTCGAAAAGCCCTGATTTTCACTTGAATCAAAGTCCCGGACAACAGTGCCGATATCTTCAACACGCGTCTTTTCGCCGGTTGCAAAGGACTTGACCTCGATCCTGCCGACCGCTTCCGGGGACCGGTCCTCGGACAGGGCCCTGATCTGCCGCTCGACCGCGCCGTCGAGATTGCCGGCAGGAAGATCAATTGTATTACCGGCGATCCGTCCCGCAATGTCGGCTATGGTCAGATCCAGCCGTCTGAGCTCGCGCTCCGGAATTTCAACCAGATATTCCGGGGACCGGTAGCCGTAGAGTTCAACCTTGTCGATGCCCCGCGCAAGAAGATCGTCACGGATCTGGCGGGCAAAGACCTTGAGCGCCTGCTCCGAAAACGGGCCACGCAGTGCTATTGTTGCGACGCCGTCTGTGAATGTGGAGGCGGATACGACAGGTGTTTCGGCATCGAGTGGCAGCGTCGTGACGCCTGACACGGCCTGTTCCACATCGGACAGCGCTTGCTGCATATTGGTGCCTTCGATGAATTCCATCTGCACCGATGCGGCCCCTTCGCGGCCATAGGACACGATTTCATCGAGCCCGTCGATGAACCGCAGTTCAGGCTCGATCACCTCCAGAATATTGGCGGCAACGTCTTCCGCGCTGGCACCGGGCCAGGAGATGGAAACGGAAATCCTGTCGGTTATGACCGTCGGGAAGAATTGCGTGTTCAGCTTGGCCAGGCCGTACGCACCGAACAAGACCATGACCGCCATGATCAGGTTCGCTGCATTCGCGTGGCGAACGATCAGTTCAAGGAAACCGCGGGATCGAATTTCTCTCATCGCGCAACCTTTCCGTTACTCGGTCTCGGATTTGCGGTTGTTCGCCGTCTGAGGAACACCGTCCTGAGATGCTTCAGGCTGCTTCGCGACGTCATTCACAAGCAGGCCGGAGCCGGCTTCGGGAATGCGTGTCGTCAGCAAGGTTTCACCGGACTGAAGATCACCGCTGACCAGTATGAAGCCGTCATCAATCGCCAGCGCATCGACCTGGCGCGGCCTGAGCCTTCCGTCTTCAATCACATAGACCGTGCCTTCGCCATAATAGGCTGTCTCGGGAATACGAAAACTGTCCCGATACGTCTGATCCGGTAGCGAGATCTCTACAAATGCACCCGGGCGAAGCGGCACGGTCGCGTTTGCGCTGTCGATCGTTGCAATGAGATCCACACCACCACGTGTGCTGGCGACATCGGCACCGATCCGGCTCACGGTTGCGGGATAGGTAACCGGCGCATTGCCGAGATACCAGATCACTTCAACCGGGCGGTCCACCACTGTGCCGCTCTCGGCAAGCAGGCGTCCATACTGATTGTCGGAAAGGGTGAATCGGACTTCGAATTCGTCGCTGCTGTAAAGCGCAACGACAGCATCATTGACACTGACAAGTCGTCCCGGTTCGGCTGCTTCCGTGCGCACAATCGCATCAAATGGGGCGCTCAGGATGGTGTTGTCCAGTTGCCGCATGGCATTTTCGAGGCGCCACTCGAGACGTTTGACCGTAGCCTTTTGCTGCAACACCTTTGCTTCTTCGAGCGCAAGCGTGTTCTGGGTCTGCTCGACCGACTGCTGGCGTTGTGACACCAGCAGCTTGCGGTCATCGACCGTTCGTTCCGTGACCGCGCCACGATCGACCAGTTCTTCAGCGCGCTTCAGGTCTCTTTGAGCAAATTCCAGCTGTTCGCGGGCGCGAAGCACGTTTGCCCTTTCAAGTTCGACCCGGCCTTCACTTTCCACAAGCCCTGCATTTGCTTCTGCAAGATTGGCTTCCGCTTCGGTCACGGCGCCTTCATAGTCAAAGCGGTCAATGGCGACAAGCACATCCCCTTCCGAAACATGGCCACCCGCCTTCAGATTTGGATGGACACCGACAACCTCGCCGCCGACAAGAGCGCGCAATTCGACCTCACGCCCAGCCGTGGTTTCACCAAACACGTTGATGTCCGGCGCGAAATCGCCCTGCGCCACGGTGACGGTTTCAACGGCATAGCTTCGTTCCTGAATCGGTCGCTTGGGAACGTCCGGCTTTGTCGCGACCAGGGTGTTCATGCCCATGAACGCACCGATCAGTATCGCGAAGGCAATCAGTGCCTGAAGCAGCGCCTTGAGAACGAGCAAGGTGCGCCGCCAGCTACCTCCTGGCTGCGGGTCGGAAGGCGGGAGGATTTCGGAAGCCGGTTCATTTCCGGATTCCTGAGGCAAGGATTGCAACATTATCGGCGCACCGGAGCTTCTTCGTTCTGATCGGGTTAAATACTATCACGCATTCAAATAGATTTTATTCGCAGTGCAAAATTCAAGACCCGAATACGCCTAAGCAGGATAATTGGCACCCGCAAAATTGTAACGAAGTGTGTCCGACTGTCCATGATTGCAAACGAACCGCGGTCTTCAGCCGTCGAATTCGTACTTCGCGTTACAAAACTCGCAAGTCACGACGATCCGGCCATCAACGGTCATTTCGTCTTTTTCCTCGACGCTGAAGCCTGACAGGACACCTTCGATCTTTTCCCTGGAGCAACGGCACTTGTCCGACAACGGCTGCGGATCGAACAAACGGACGCCGCGTTCGTGGAAGAGGCGGAACAACAGCATTTCGACGCTGACTTCCGGGTCGGTCAGCTCAACGTCCTGCACGGTGTCGACGAGCGCCTTGGCTTCCACCCAGGCATCGTCCTCCTCCATTTCGTGCAGCTGTGTCCCTTCCGGGGCATCTCCAGGGTCAATATCCGCCTGCCTCAATCGCTCCGGCGCCTCCGGCAGGAACTGAATGAGAATGCCGCCCGCGGTCCAGGTTTTGGAGTGACCCTCACCTTCGTTGCGGGTGTAGAGCTCGCCGACTCCGAGCCGGACTTCCGTCGGGATCTGCTCGGACCGGTCAAAATAGCGCCGTGCAACCTCTTCCAGCGAAATCCCGTCCAGCTCCACCAGCCCCTGATAGCGCTGCATGTGCTGGCCCTGGTCGATTGTCATGGCAAGATGGCCGTGACCAAGCAGTGCTTCCGGTGTTGCCTTGCCGGCCTTCACCAGCGCTTCGACACGCCCAGTATCGAATGTGGCGCAAGCGCGTATCGCATCGGGAGACGCAAAATCAACAACCAGCATCGACACTGGTCCCTGGGTCTGGGTCTGCAGTGTGAACCGGCCATCGAATTTCAGGGATGTCCCGAGCAAGCTCGCCAGAACAATCGCTTCGGCCAGCAGGCGCGAAACCGGCTCAGGATAGTCATGCCGATCCAGGATGCTTTGCAGAACCGGACCGAACGCGACCGAGCGGCCGCGCACGTCCAGACCTTCGACGGCAAAGGGCCGGACAGCGTCCAGCCCTGCGGGTGCAATACCCAGTTCCTCAAGATTCAGTGCCACGTCGGCCTTGCCTCAATCCCTGCCGAAACACCAGGCCAGAATGCCCTTCTGGGCATGGAGCCTGTTTTCGGCTTCATCAAACACCACAGAATTGGGACCGTCCATGACTTCGGAAGTCACTTCCTCGCCGCGATGTGCCGGCAGACAGTGCATGAACAGAGCTTCGCTGTTTGCTTCAGCCATGAGACGCTCGTTCACCTGATAGGCTCCCAGGAGATTGTGACGCGATTCCGCATCGTCGTCTCCCATGGATACCCAGCAATCCGTCACAACGCAGTCGGTTCCCTTGACCGCCTCATATGGGTCCGAGGTCACCTGAATGGAACCACCCTTGGCGCGTGCTGCTTCAATCAGTTCCTGCGGCGGTGCCAATTCCCCCGGTGTGGCGATGCGCAACTCGAAGTCGAGGCGAGGTGCTGCATGAACCCAGGATGCGAGCACATTGTTGCTGTCCCCGGTCCAGGCGACGCTCTTTCCGCGGATCGATCCACGATGTTCTTCGAACGTCATCAGGTCGGCCATGATCTGGCAAGGATGCGAAATCTTGGTCAGGCCATTGATGACGGGAACGGTCGCGTGTTCTGCGAGCTCGTTCAATTCGTTGTGGTCCAGGATGCGGATCATGATGGCGTCGACAAAACGGGACAGGACCCGTGCGGTGTCCGCAATGGTTTCGCCACGGCCAAGCTGCATCTCCGTACCCGTCAGCATGAGCGTCTCGCCGCCGAGTTCGCGCATGCCGACATCGAACGATATACGCGTACGTGTGGACGGTTGTTCGAAAATCATGGCCAGCACCTTGCCGGCAAGCGGTCCCTCGCCCCGGCGGACACCATCGCGGGATGCCTTTATCTTTCGGGCGATATCCAGAATGCCGCGAAGGTCGTCACCTTCGAAATCGGTGAGGTCCAGAAAATTTCTATAGGCTCCGTTCGCGGTCATTCGGCCGCTCCTTCCACAAGCTTTGCTTCAACCGCCTGGGCAGCCTGTTCAAGGCGCTCCACCGCGGCCGCGATTTCGTCTTCGGTCATTGTTAGTGGCGGCATGATGCGCACGGTATTGTCACCGGCCGGCACCGCGAGAAGCCCGGCATCGCGTGCCGCGGCAACATAGTCTCCCGCCGGCACGACGCACTTCAACCCCATCATCAGACCTGACCCACGGACAAGCTCAAGGACCTTAGGATGGCTGTCGACAAGACCCGCGAGCTTCTGCTTGAAATTCAGCCCTTTTTTCTGCACGTCCTGCAAAAAGCCCTCAGCCAGGATGACATCGAGCACCGCGTTGCCAACCGCCATTGCAAGCGGATTGCCGCCAAATGTCGTTCCGTGCGTTCCCGGTGCAAGAGCCGCCGCGGTTTCCGCGGTCGCCAGACAGGCCCCGACCGGGAATCCTCCGCCGATCCCCTTCGCCACAGCCATCAGGTCCGGAGCGACACCGGACCATTCATAGGCAAACAGCTTGCCTGTGCGTCCGACCCCAGTCTGGATTTCATCAAATATGAGCAGCAAACCATTGTCGTCGCACAACTGGCGCAGCGCACGCAGAAACTCAGGCTGCATCTCCTTGATGCCGCCCTCACCCTGAATGGGTTCGATCGCGATCGCAGCCGTCTGCGGACCGATCACCGCTTTCAAAGCCTCCAGGTCGCCTGCCGGCACCTGGTCGAAACCTGGCGCTTTAGGGCCGAAACCTTCCATGTATTTGGCCTGGCCACCTGCCGCGATAGTCCCGAGTGTACGACCGTGAAAGGCCCCCTCGAATGTTATGATATGGAACCTGTCCGGCTGACCGTTGTCATACTGGTAGCGACGCGCGCACTTGATGGCGGCTTCCATCGCCTCGGCGCCGGAATTCACGAAAAGCACCTTGTCTGCAAAGGTGTTGTCGACCAGTCGCTGTGCCAGGCGTTCACCTTCCGGCATCTGATGCAGGTTGGAAATGTGCCAGAGTTTCGCTGCCTGCTCCTGCAACGCCTTAACAAGATGGGGATGACTGTGCCCGCAGGAATTCACTGCAATGCCGGAACCGCAATCGAGAAATCGTCGGCCGTCCTTGGTAACAAGCCAGACACCTTCCCCGTGATCGAAACTCAGGTTCGATCTTGCGTAATTTCCGAAAAGCGCAGTCGCGGACATAACCTCTTTCAACTCCCTAGAGCAGTCTGCATTCGTTGCAATGCGAACCAGATGCTTCCAACGTTGTGACAATGACCAGTCATGAATGTCATCAATTTCGACCTGAACATTCACTGGTCCGGAACAGCTCGTCCACCCGGTGAAATTTCCATCTCATGCCGGTATGTCTCACAGGTGCAGATGAGCCAAAAACGCAACGTGCCGCCCCGATGAGGCGGCACGCAGCGGAAACCTTATACACCGTCAGCACCGTTATCTGTCAATGGTACTGCTGCGCCGGGGCTTCCAATCGGGAATTCATAAATTTCTCGAAGGCCTTACCATAACTGGGGAAAAGTCGTTTCTTCCCCAACTGGTTTGGGTGAAGCGGTTGCCTGACAAATTAACGTTATTGTAACCTCTGCTCCATCAAACACGATATCTCGTGAGGCAAATCAATCAGAGGCACTAGATATGCCATCGCTGGGCATGCACATGCATGCTTAACACGGGGTTAATGGCTGCAAAAGCCAAGCTGAAGGGTGCGGGCAATGAGTTGGACGAACGAACGGGTTGAACTGCTCAAGAAACTTTGGAGCGACGGCCTGAGTGCAAGCCAGATTGCAGGTGAACTTGGTGGTGTGACCCGGAATGCCGTGATCGGCAAGGTTCACCGGCTCGGACTTTCCGGACGTGCGAAAACGTCCAATTCAAGTGCCAAGCCTCGTCGCCCCCGGACCTCCACGGCTTCGCCTGGCAGTTCGCCAAAGAGGGCTCCGCAGCAACCACAGTCAATCGGCGCGACCGCTCTGAAGGCAGATATCGATCAGGCACCGGTCGTTGCGGTCAAACCCAATCTGGAGCGCCTTCCTGAACTGGTTGTTCCAATCTCCCAGCGCGCTTCCATTCTCACGCTGACTGAGCGGACGTGCAAATGGCCGATCGGAGATCCCGCAACCGACGACTTCTATTTCTGTGGCCGTCAGTCCGATGCGGGCGTTCCCTATTGTGCGCATCACTGCAAGATTGCCTATCAACCCGTCGCGGACCGGCGGCGCGAACGCAAGTCCATCGCCCGGGCATCCTGATCAGCTAATCAAAACGAAAATGCCCGCCTCGATGGCGGGTTTTTCATGTCTTGCGAACTCGCAATCGAAATTCAGGTCAACCTAACGGATCACCTTGATATCGTTGTAAATCGTCGCGCGGCTGACATTGAGGACACGCGCAACATAAGAAGCTGCATGCTTTTCGCGCAAGCCGTCCGTGCGAACAATCTCACCCAGCAATTCAAGGCGATCTTCCTTCGCCAGGGCGTCAACGTTCTTGTTCTTGTCGCGGCACCAATCGACGATGAACCTGTTCATCTTCTCATGCCAATCGTTCTTGAACAGGGCGTCCGGCTCTCCGGTGCTTACCGGCGCACCGATCAAGGCCGTGATCGCATTTTGGGCCGCCATGATATCGGACAGGTCATAATTAAAGCATGTCAAAGCAAAGGGCTTGCCGTCATCGCCCCTCAAGACAGCACTTATGGTGCGCACAACGCGGCCATCCCAGTTGACGCGCTCATGCGGGCCGATGACGTCCCGGTCATCATCTTCTCGAAAATCCAGTTCGGAGAGATAGGACGGATCACCTATCTGCCGTTTCGAATAGGGATTGCAGATATAAGCTACCGTTTCGGTTGCCAGCGAGTGGATGACGATCTCGACATTCGACCCCAGCAGTTTCGACAGCGCTTCCGCGATCGGAACTGCGGTGCGTTCCACCAATGCGTCCTGGCTCATTCAATGCCTCTGAAAACACAGTAATTTTGCAATATTCTTATCCCAGCCTTGCCTGCAGGCAAAGTGTCAGTCAACCGGATGGCCGATGACACTTATGCAATCGCCCCGGCGGACAAGCCCCTGACCTGCTGTACAGAACAGAAATCCTGTGGTTCGCGCCTTCACCGCCACAGGCGCAGTCTCGGCCCTGTCGACCAGATGAAGTCTGCCGACGGCATCACCTTCCCGAACGCGATCTCCCAGTCCGGCTAGAGGCTCGAAAATGCCCGCATCGTCGGCGTATACATAGTGATGAAAACCGTCGACGAGCACCGTTTTTGAACACTGCGTTGTATCGCAGTTGTCCGGGCCCGCCACGAGCCCCATGTGCCGCATCACACCGTCAATACCCTTTCGTGTCACAAGCAGTGTCTCTTGCGACAGCGTTCCCGACCCGCCGAGTTCTGTGGCCAATATCCGTTTGCCCTGCAGTTCCACCTCGGTATCGATCATAGTCTCCACCTGCGGCTCTCGCAGGATGACCGTGAGCGGGGCATCAAACGCTGCAGCAAGTGCACGGATTTCACCGGTCGCGGTTTCCGTAGTCTGCATCGGCACAATTGTTGACGGCAGGAACCTGAGCGATCGGCCACCTGAATGCAGATCGAGCACCACGTCAGCCCTGGAAATCAATTCACGGCTCACGAAGTCAGCAATGCGTTCCGTTGCCGAGCCGCGCGGGTTTCCCGGAAAGGCCCTGTTCATGTTGCCGCCATCGAGTGGCGACAACCGCGACCCGTTCATCACAGCAGGTAGATTCAATGCCGGAACGATTATGACTTGTCCGTGGATGTTCGCCGCATCGATCCCGCCATTGGCAAGGTTCGACAGGACGACAGGTGCTTCGAATTCGTCTCCGTGTGCGCCCCCGAGCAACAGGAGAGACGGGCCTTGTGCGTTCTTGAAACTGTAAATCGGCACACGCTGGTTGGACCAGGCACTCAGATCCAGCGAAACGGGAACATCGATGTAACCTTTTTGAACGCCGTCCTTGTCCAGGTCGAGGGAAGTGGTCAGCATGAGTGGATCCGTGTTTCAGAAATTTCACAGGAGCGTCGCACCGAAAATCGCGCGGCCTGCCGCCGTTTCGATTGGTTCAAGCGGACTTCAGTACGTCCTCGACCACCAGGTTAAGCCGCCGGAGCCCCTCCTTGAGATGCGCCTCGGGCAATGCGGAGCTGAACCTGAAATGGTTTTCGACGTGGAAGCGGCTGCCGGGAATGACAAGCACATCCTGTTCGCGCACAAGCCGCATGGCCAATGTTTCTGAATCGATCGGGAGATTGAAACGCACAAAGGACATTGCCGACGCATGCGGCGGTGCCACAGTGAAGATGTTGTGATGAACCGCCAGAGCCTCGGTCAGTGTTTCAAAGCCGGTCCTGATCAAACGGCGCGCCCGCTCGACGAGCGCAGTGCGCGCGGGTTCCGCAAGAGCTGCTTCAGCCAGCTTCATGGAAACAGTGCTGGTGGCAACCGAAGCATATTCGTGCCGACGCCAGCAAGCCGTGATTGCATCGGCCGGACCAACCAGCCAGCCCAGACGCAAGCCGGGCAAGCCATAGGCCTTGCTGGTCGAGTTGAGCACCATCACCTTGTCATATGCCCCCCAGAAACTGGGGGTCGCCTCGTCGGTGTCCCGCTCGGTCCCGATATAGACTTCATCCGCGACGATCCATGCTCCCACGCTGGCGGCAGCGGCAATGATACCCTCGCGCTCACGATTGCTCAAAACACGACCTGTCGGATTATTCGGATTTATGACATGAATCAGCTTGGTCGTCGGGCCCACAGCTGCCATGACGGCTTCGGGGTCTATGGCCCAGCCGTTGTCGGCTTCCATGTCGACATAGTGCACATCCACACCCCGGTTCCGCGCGTCACCGGTCAACTGTTCATAGATGGGCCTGAAGGCAACCATACTGTCGCCCGGTTGAAGCAACGTATTGGCAATCAGCGTGTTGGCTTCAGTGGCACCAACAGTCACAAGAACGTTGTCGGCATTGGTTCCCGGATACATTGCCGAGATCTTCTCTCGAAGAAACGTACTTCCGTTCACTTGCGGATAGTCGAGCATCGTGTTCCACAAAACATCCGGGTCCAGACCGACCAGGTCGACCAGCTCCCGGAGTGTCATGGGATGAACGCCACTTTCCGAGTAGTTGTACTTTACGCCATGCTCCAGCTCAGAAAGAAACTGTTCAACGTCAAACGGGTGAAACATTGGTTTTCCTCTCTCGTTCCCATGCAAGGCGCTTTTCAATCGCCGAATAGGACAGTGTCAGAACCATTGCCAGCACGAGGTAAATTCCTCCTGCCGCAATGAAGGATTCAAAGGGAGCAAAGTGCAGCGCCGACAGTTTGCGGGCGATCCCGGTGAGATCCATGATCGAAATGGTGCTCGCCAGTGCCGTGCCCTTGAGCATGAGGATGGTCTCGTTGCTGTACGACGGCAGGGCGAAACGCAATGCCTGTGGCCCCAGAACCAGGCGCGCGATCTGCAGCCGGGAAAAGCCATATGCTTCTGCGGCTTCGATCTGTCCGCGCTCAACGCCGATAATGCCTCCCCGCATGATTTCGGAGGTAAAGGCGGACGAGTTCAATCCAAGCGCCAAAACCGCACAGAACCAGGCTTCCCTGAGCAATGGCCAGGCAAAACTTTCGCGAACGACTTCGAATTGCCCCAGGCCATAGTAAATCGCGAAAAGTTGGACCAGGAGCGGTGTGCCACGGAAGAACAGAACATAAAAGTCTGCGGCCTGGGCAATGACAGGTGCGCGACGCATTCTTGCCCAGCACAACAGTGCTCCCAGGACAAGTCCAATGGCCAGGCTGCAGACCAGAATGCTCAACGTAACGGGCAAACCAGCCACCAATTGCGGAACAAAGGAGAGCAGAAGATCCCAATTCATGCGCTTGCTTCCTTGAGTGCAAACCGGGCTTCAGCTCGCTTGAACAGCCGTTCGGAGAGAAAGGACACACACAGATAGATCAGCGCTGCCACGGCATAAAATGTAAAGGGCCGGTGAGTGGCACCGGCCGCGACACTTGCCTGGCGCATCAATTCCGCAACGGCTGTCATCGATACAAGAGCCGTGTCCTTCAACATGACAAGCCAGATGTTTCCCATGGCCGGCAAGGCGACCCGCAGCAATTGGGGCAGCTCAATCAGGGTGAAGCGTTTGACAGGCCCGAAACCGTAGGCATCAGCTGCTTCCAGCTGACCCTTTGGAATACTGCTGGCTGCTCCGCGAAAGGCTTCGGCAGCATAGGCGGTCGCAATCACGGCAAGGGCAAACACACCGAGTGCAAATCCGCTCAGGTTGATACGCTGGGTGTATCCCAGACTGGATGCCACGGACTGAATGACAGTGCCTGTTCCGAAGAAAAAGAGATACAGAACAAGGAGTTCCGGGACGCCGCGAAAAACCGTGACGTAACTGACCGTGATATAGCGGGCCATGGTTCCCCGGCGTCGGAAAAGCATGAGAAGCAGACCGCAGACCAGACCCACCCCAAATGCGAGAACTGCAAGCGCCATGGTGGTTGCGAGGCCCGACAACAGCTCGTCGCCCCACCCGGATTTGCCAAATGACAGCAGCTCAAGCATTCCCTGCGACCCTTGTTTTCTTGAAGAGGCATCCGCGGGATTGTGCGTTGCCTCTTCGATACTTGAGATCCGAAATCTTGCCGGAACTTAGGGCGTAACGTCGTAGCCGAACCACTTGTCCGAGGCTTTGGCGATCGTGCCGTCGGCCAGGAGTTCGGCTATCGCATCGTCTATCCTGGCCTTCAGTTCGGCATTGCCCTTGCCGATCCCCAATCCGATCCCGTCACCGAGTTGCGGATACTCCGCATAGGTCATCAACGGACCGAACATGGTCAAATTTGCGTCCTTGTCGGCGCCACCGAATTCATCCCAGGCTGAAACTTCCATCACGGCGGCGTCAATCCGGCCTGTCTTCAGGTCTGCGATGATCTGATCCGCCTGCTGATAGGTCTTGACGTTGGCGGTCGGGAAATGTTCGGCAACCACCCGCTCGAAAATGCTAGATCCCTGCACGCCGACCGCCTTGCCGTCGATCGCGGCCTGCAGGCCGGATTTGTCCGAAATCTCGCCAAAGCTCTCGCCGAGCGTACCGAACGATGCCGGGGCCTGCGCATATGCGGTCGAAAAATCGATGCTGTTCTTCCGTTCCTCAGTGATGGATATCGCGGACATGATCAGATCGTACTGCCCGGCAACGAGTGCCGGCAAAAGCCCGTCATACGCCTGGTTGGTCCATTCGCATTCCATCTCGATCCTTGCGCAGATGGCATTGCCGACATCCAGATCGAAACCCAGCATTTCACCGGAAGAATTTACAGATTCCCAGGGCGGATAGTCAGCGCTTGTTGCAATTCGCAATGTCTCGGCGCCGGCAGGCAAAACCGCAAATGCGGAAAGCGCTGCCGCGATTACCAGTCTCTTCATTTCACTCCTCCTCCTAGTCACATTACGGACGCCAGAAACTGAGCGGCGCGCTCGGTTCTTGGTGCGTCAAAAACCTCTTCAGGCGTCCCGCTTTCCGCAACCCTCCCCTGATCCAGGAAAATCACCCGGTCGGAAACATTGCGGGCAAAACCCATTTCGTGTGTCACCATCAGCATCGTGTTGCCTGCGGCGGCCAGTTCCTCGATGACCTTCAGAACTTCTCCAACCAGTTCCGGATCAAGAGCGGATGTCGGTTCGTCGAACAGCAGCGCGCGTGGCTCCATCGCCAGCGCACGCGCGATCGCTGCACGCTGTTGCTGGCCGCCGGACAACTGATGCGGATAAAAGTGCATTCGTTCACCGAGGCCGACACGCACCAACAGGTCGTGTGCACGCTCATTCGCTTCGGCGCGGGGCTTACCCAGCACATGGATCGGAGCGATCGCCACATTGTCGCGGACACTCATGTGCCGCCACAGATTGAAACTCTGAAACACCATGGGCAAGGCCGTTCGCAGAGCCCGCACTTCCTTCGTTACCTTCAGACCGTGGGCATTGCTGGAATATGCGACAGGCCTGCCGTCCAGGGATATCGCCCCCCCATCAGGCACCTCCAGCAAATTCAGGCATCGGAGGAACGTGCTCTTGCCCGAACCCGAGGAGCCAATAATCGTGATCACCTGACCCTCATCAGCCGCAAGCGAGATGTCGTGGAGAACGCGCAGCGAACCGAATGATTTGCTAAGGTTTTGAACCGACAAACGCGTTGTTGCAGCTGACATTTCGTAGTTACCCGTATCGTTTTGATGCGCGAGGGCCAGACCCGAAAAAAACCTGTTCAATGGTTTTGCAGTTCCGCCTGTTTCAGCTTGCGCCACACGGACCTTGCGATGGCTGCATCCTGAACAGCGACCCCGGTGAGATCGACTATCGTGATATCTTCCTCCGCCCGGTCGAGCCCCCCCTCAAGCAGCACTTCGCCAAGAAGGGTCAACCGGCTCCTGGAAATGTCGCCGGTCTTCAATGCGTTGGCGGTTTCGCCGTGCTCGGTGCATTGATCCAGGGAATCGACAACCACGTGTGATGCTTTTGAAAACAGCGCCGGGTCCAGCTCCTGTTTGCCGGGTGAATCCGCACCCATCGCCACGATATGCGTACCCGGCCTGACAGCGGGGGACTTGACGATCGCTTCGCGGGACGCGGTCGTCGTGACAATCACCTCAGAAATCGCGCAGAGCGCCTCAACGGTATCCGCTTGCGAAACGCTGACATCACTCATCTCCGCCTTCAGGTCTTCGACCACGGCAGAGACCTTGTCCGGCGAACGCCCCCAGACGACAACCCGGCTGAATCCCAATTGCCTGCAGATCAGCATCGCCTGCAAACGTGACTGAATGCCAGTGCCGATAACTCCAAGCGTTGTCGACCCTCGCCGGGCCCCGACACGGACCGCAATGACACCCGCCAGAGCCGTGCGCAGGTCCGTGAGCGCGCCCTCGTCCAGAAGGATCGCCAGCGGCATTCCCGTTACTGCGGAGACAACCGCCATGAAGCCATTGCTGGAAGACAGACCCAGTTCCTGATTTCCGTAAAATCCGGTTGCCAGCTTGACGGTGAAAACCTCGTCATCCCCCAGATGCGCGCATTTTATATGGCACTCGCCATCAGCCTTGGGAAAGGCGAGATGGGTTACCGGCGCGACCTGGGCCTCCCCTCGCGCAAAGGTTCTGAAAGCTTCTTCGATTTCCGCAAGCGCGGCGCATTCGTCGATCTGCGCCAGAATTTCCTGCTTGTTTACCAGCCGCATCTGTCTCTCTCTGCCAGAACGCCACGAGCCGACGCCCGGATTTGGCTGGCCCGTATCGAATTTCTAGACAAATTGTCTAATTTAGATTATTTTGTCAATACTCAATCTGCAATGGTTTCAGAGACAGGAGAAACGGGAAAACATGGTGGAGCTGGAAGACATCCATGACGCACAGAACCGCATTGCGGACTTTGTTCGGCCGACGCCCTTGCGCAAGTCGCATGGACTGTCGAGGGAATTGTACGCCCCGATCTGGCTCAAGATGGAAACGATGCACGACACGGGCGCATTCAAACTGCGCGGTGCGGCAAACAGGCTGCTCACGCTGGATGGCCAACAGAAATCGCGCGGTGTCATCACCGTTTCGAGCGGCAATCACGGTCGGGCCGTCGCCTACATGTCCAGGCTATTGAACATTCGCGCTGTTGTTTGCGTCACCAACATCGTTCCACCGGAAAAAGTAAAGGGACTTCACGACTTCGGAGCCGAGGTGATCGTGTGCGGCGAGAACCAGGATGAAGCGGATGCTGAAGCGCGTCGCATGGCGGATCGGGACAATCTCGTCTTCATCTCTCCGTTCGACGATCCGCATGTGATAGCTGGCCAGGGAACGATCGGCCTGGAACTGCTGGCAGACCGGCCTGATCTTGAAATCGTCTTCATTCAGCTCAGCGGCGGCGGCTTGATGTCCGGTGTGGCCAAAGCACTCAAAAGCCTGAAACCGGAAATCAGAATTGTCGGTGTTTCCCTGGAACACGGTGCGGCGATGATGGAGAGCATCAAGGCGGGCCGGATTGTCGAAGTCGATGAGAAACCGTCAATAGCCGATGCTCTTCCCGGCCCGATTCCGACCGATAATCAATACACATTTTCCATGTGCCGCGAACTCGTTGACGAATTTGTACAAGTCCGGGAACGAGAGATCGTGGACGCAATGAGATACGCGCTTACGCATGAGAAGTGCCTGATTGAAGGTGGGGCCGCGGCCGGGATCGCTGCCCTTCGCAAGTGCGCCGACACGCTCGATGGCAGAACGGCAGCAACGCTGTTGACCGGTAACAACATCAGCCTGGACCGGGCCCTCAAGGCCATGGACCTCGACCCGGAGTCAGAGCCTGAGCCTGCCTGCTGACGACATCAATTTTCCCAGACGGGGACCACGCTCCAGCGTGAGTACAATCGCCGCGCCGGAACCGATTGCATCAGCTTGGTATCATGCCGACCGATACCACCGCCAATGCACTCGGACGGGCTTTCAGTGCACGCCAACTATTCTTGCTTCGACACAGCAAGTGAATATGCGCTCCACCCGGTCGGTCAAGAGCAGATCCATCAGATTTAAAAACCTGCCAAACAGTCGCTCTTTTTTGTTTGTTTACCTTACTTAGCGATATCTTCAAGATATTCCCGTAGATATACGGAATTGTGACCAATATTACAGATAAACTTCCGCTCTCTTCTAACCTGAGGCCGATCGAGAGAAAGTTCAAGTAACTATTTCGCAACTCTCTCTCTAAATGACTGGTTGATAGACCTTCCAGCCAACTACGAATTTTAGAGGAATCGGATGAAAAGTCTTAAGATACTTACAGCATCTACTGCTCTCGCATTCGGCTTGACCGCTGGTACGCCAGTCCTGGCTGATCCGTCTTCCATGTTTATCCTTGACGCTTCCGGGTCTATGTGGGGACGTCTTGATGACGGCCGCCCCAAGATTTCCGTCGCGCGGGAAGTCTTGAGCAGCGTTACCTCGAAGCTTCCGGTTTCGGTAAATGCAGGACTGATTGCTTACGGGCACAGACGCAAGGGAGACTGCTCCGACATCGAGCTGGTTCATCCCATTTCCGCCGCGGGAGGGGCGGCGATTGGCGGCAAGCTCAATTCTTTGTCTCCGCGCGGAAAGACCCCGATTACGGAAGCCTTGCGCCTTGCCGCAGAAAAGCTGACGGGACAGGAAGACGACAGGACCATTGTTCTGGTCAGCGACGGAATTGAAACCTGCGAGGGCGATCCGTGCGCGCTCGCTGAAGCATTGCAAAAATCCGATGCCGGCCTCAAGATCCATGTCGTCGGATATGGTGTCGACGCAGACGCACAGAAGCAGTTGCAATGCGTGGCTGAAAAGGGCGGCGGCGCCTACTTCCCGGCCAACGACACATCAGGTCTTGTCGAGGCACTTTCACAAGTTACGGAAAGCATCGCCACACAGGAGACCATCGTTGTTGAGGCACCGGAAGTCACCGAGGCAGCCGACACAATTCAGTTGCAGATTGCAGGTCCCGGCACGATCCAGCTGAAGCTCGCCGACTGGGTGAAAATGCCGAAGTACTGGAAGATAACGAACCCGGAAACAGCCGACGAGATTGCAAAAGTCACAGAAGACAGCGTCTCGGCGATGCCCGGTGCCTATCAGCTGGTCTGGAGACATCTTGAACACGGTGCCCAGGAAGTGACACTTCCCGAGGTGGTCTCAGTGTCATCCGGACAGACGACCGAGGTAGCAATCGATACCGGCCTTCAGCTCGTGCCACCCACTGGCGAGGACAAGCCCTATTACTGGCAATTGCTCACCAATGACAGCGATCTTGAGAACAGTTTCCGCAAACGGGAACCTGCTGCCTGGTACTGGGTCTGGGACGCTGTTCCGGTTCCTCCTGGCGACTACACTCTGATCGTGCGCCAAAGTGAGCATGACCTTGCGGAAGTCAATCTGGGTCGGATTTCGCTGGACAAGGGTAAGCTCACTCAGATTGCGCTTGACCAGGGGCTGAACCTTAGCTGGAACGCGGACTGGGACCAGATTTATTATCTCAAAGTCACGGATGCGGCCGGCAACGAAACCAAGTTCGACGGACAGGGCCCGATTTTTCTGGCGCCGGGCACTTATGATCTGGCGCTCAGGTTGACCGAGCACAATCACAGCGAAGCCGATTTCGGAACAATAACCGTGTCCGAAAAAGGCTTTGTCGACGCCAAACTGACTTCCGGTATCAAGTTCGACACCCAGATCCCGGGTGAAATCAAGGTGACAGCCAAGAACCTGGATACGGGCAAGGAAGCCAGCATCAGCTGGAGCGGTTCATCCAGCAACCGCTGGCCACCGATGCCCCTGGGAGCCGGACGCTACCAGATCGACATGCAGATCAAGGGCTCGGCACCAATGACGATCGTCCCCGAGGTATCCATCAAACCCGGTCAGTTCATCACGGCGAAGATGTGAGACATCGAACCGGTCTCAAAAAAGCCCGCCATTCGGCGGGCTTTTTCATTATTGGAGCTTTGCCAGAAGGGGCCTGTCCTGGAACGGATCAGCCGGCGACCGAGAACTGGTCATTGAAGGCGTAACCGGCACCGCGGACCGTGCGGATCGGATCCTTGGCCTTGCCCTTGTTGAGCGCCTTGCGCAGGCGCCCGACATGAACATCGACCGTGCGTTCATCAACATAGACGTCATGACCCCAGACACCGTCGAGAAGTTGTTCCCGGGAGAAAACGCGGCCGGGCGATGTCATGAGAAACTCCAGAAGCCTGAATTCGGTCGGTCCCAGATGGACTTCCCTGGTATTCCGGCGCACACGGTGAGTTTCGCGGTCCAGTTCAATGTCCCCGGACCGGAGCATGGTCGAAACGACTTCCGGACTCGCACGGCGCAGAATGGCCCTGACACGCGCCATCAATTCCGGGACGGAGAAAGGTTTAACGACATAGTCGTCTGCGCCCGTGGACAGGCCCCGGATCCGTTCTGCCTCCTCGCCGCGTGCCGTCAGCATGATAACCGGGAGGCGCTCGGTGTCTTCGCGGGCGCGCAAGCGCCGGCAAAGTTCGATCCCCGACAATCCCGGCAGCATCCAGTCAAGCAGCAGAAGATCCGGCTGGCTTTCACGCAGGCGGATTTCCGCTTCGTCCCCGCGAATGCAGGACTCCACCTGATATCCCTCTGCTTCCAAATTGTATCTCAAAAGAAGGCTGAGCGGTTCCTCGTCTTCAACGATAAGCACCTTCGGCATTCATTCTCGCTCCGATATTGTCGGCCGGCAAAAGGACGCCGGCCGGGTATTTCCCGCTAATTCCGACGGCTAAACGGCACCGGTTGTTTCATCGAGTTTTGCGCGGTCTTCAGGAAGGCGGTCACCCGTGACCATGTAGTAGACGTTCTCGGCGATATTGGTTGCATGGTCGCCAATGCGCTCGATGTTCTTGGCGCAGAAAAGCAGGTGTACGCACTGCGTGATGACCCGCGGATCTTCCATCATGTAGGTGAGCAACTCGCGGAACAGGGAGGTATAGATGGCATCGACTTCCGCATCCGCTTCCTGTACCCGCCGGGCTGCCTCGGCGTCGCGGCGCGTATAGGCATCGAGGACCTGTTTCAACTGCCCCAGTGCGAGCTCGGTCATGTGCTCGACACCAATGGCAAGTTTTTTTGATTTCAGATTGCTGTCGATGGCAATGGCGCGCTTTGCGACGTTCTTGGCAAGGTCGCCGACACGTTCCAGATCGTTCGCGATACGGCTGGCAGCGGTGATTTCACGTAGGTCCTGCCCCATGGGCTGGCGAAGTGCGATCATCTCGATGAGTTTCATCTCGACCTCCTGATGAAGGGCATCGAGACGTTCGTCGTTCTCAATCGTCGATTTCGCCAGCTCGTGATCCTGTGTGACGAGTGCGGACACCGCGTCGGCAAATGCGCGCTCCGCCAGGCCACCCATCTCGGCGACTTTTCCGGCCATTGCCGTCAGTTCTTCGTCATATGCCGAGACTGTATGTTCAGACATCCTGTGTCCCCTTCAGATTTCGGTAATTCGATTAGCCGAAGCGGCCGGTGATATAGTCCTGCGTACGCTTGTCTTTCGGATTGGTGAAGATGTCCTGCGTTGAACCTTCCTCGACCAGAATTCCAAGGTGGAAAAATGCCGTACGCTGCGAAACACGGGCCGCCTGCTGCATGGAATGTGTCACGATAACGATGGTGAAATTCTCGCGCAATTCGTCGATCAGTTCTTCGACTTTAGCCGTTGCGATCGGGTCAAGTGCCGAACACGGCTCGTCCATCAGGATCACTTCCGGACTGACGGCAATCGCTCGCGCAATACACAGACGCTGCTGCTGACCTCCGGACATCCCGGTACCGGGCTCATCCAGACGGTTCTTCACCTCTTCCCAAAGACCGGCTTTTTGAAGACTGGAGGAGACAATATCGTCGAGCTCCGCCTTGTTCCGGGCAAGACCGTGGATCCGTGGGCCATAAGCGATGTTGTCGTAGATGGATTTCGGGAAAGGGTTTGGCTTCTGGAAAACCATTCCGACCTTGGCGCGCAACTGTACGGGGTCGACTTTCGGATCATAAATGTCTTCGCCGTCAATCCTGATCGAGCCTTCTACGCGGCATATGTCAATCGTGTCGTTCATCCGGTTGATCGTGCGCAGGAATGTTGACTTTCCGCAGCCGGACGGCCCGATGAACGATGTAACCGATCGCGGCTGAATTTCTATGTCGACGTCTTTAATGGCGTGCGTATCACCGTAGTAGACTTGCACCTTACTGGCGGAAATCTTGCTTTCGGTCATCTCAATCGCCTGTTCAATGTTCGCCATCTCGTTCATCAGATCGTTCCTTACCAGCGGCGCTCAAACCTGCGGCGCAGGATGATCGCGAGAATATTCATTGAGAGGAGGAAGATTAGGAGGACAACAATACCGCCCCATGCTTTTTCATAGAATGCAAAATCCGCTCGCGCCGCCCAGGTGTAAATCTGAGCGGGCATTGCCGAATTTGGATCAGTGAAGCCGGCAATCAGGCCTTCCGGGTAACCGCGTGCGACGAAGCCGACCATACCAATAAGAAGCAGCGGTGCTGTTTCGCCAAGTGCCTGTGCCAACCCGATGATCGTGCCTGTCAGAATTCCAGGCATCGCCAAGGGCAGCACATGATGGAAAATCGCCTGCATCTTGGATGCTCCGACACCCAGCGCAGCATCACGGATGCTCGGCGGAACCGCCTTGAGAGACGCTCTGGTCGAAATGATGATTGTCGGGAGCGTCATAAGCGTCAGAACAAGTCCGCCAACGATCGGAGCCGACTGCGGCAGATGCATGAACTGGATGAACACGGCCAGACCCAGAATGCCGAACACGATCGATGGAACAGCGGCCAAATTCGATATGTTCACTTCAATAAGGTCCGTAAACCTGTTTTGAGGTGCAAACTCTTCAAGATAGATTGACGTTGCCACACCGATCGGGAGCGACAGGAACAGCACGACCAGCATCATGAAGAACGACCCGACCACCGAGGCACCAATACCTGCAGCGCCCGGATTATCCACACCGGAGTCGGCTCCAGTGATGAAATTCCAGTTGAACACCGTCTTGATAACGCCGGCATCAACCAGAATATCCACAAGGTCCAGGTCGGCTTTCTGCAGGAACCGGCTGTCTGTCATGTTCTCGCGAGTGACGCGGCCGTTCATGTAACCGTCAACTCTTGAAGACGCCGCGAGTTCGAAGCCCACGGTATCGCCAAGCTTGTCCTGATTGGCCGTGAAGTATGTCCTGATCGTGTTTCCAGGTTTGCCGACGATGCGCTCAATAGTAGCGGCATCAAAAGGGACACTGACACCGCTCTCCTGCAGCTGGCCCTGAAGCGCTCCGATAAAGATCTGCTCATAGGCCTTTGTCTTGAAGAGCTGGCCTTCGGCTTCGTCGAATTGCTCCTGCGTCAGACTGAACTCAACTTCAACAATCGTCCTTGAAAAGGCGGGAATGCCTTCACTGATAATCGTATATGCAAGAACCACCAGGAAAAACAGGCCGATTCCAATCGCAGCAACGCCATAGGCCTTGAACCTCTTTTCGGCGGCATTTCGCTTACGGGTCAGGTCATCAACTTCATAGAGCGACTTGGACTTGAAGGGCAGATCTGCCGGCATTTCGGCAACCTTGGGAGAAATCGTTGTATCGGTCATCAGTCATACTGCTCCCGGTATTTGCGCACGATGTAGAGCGCGAAAATGTTTAGGCCAAGAGTTACGATAAAAAGGGTCATGCCAAGGGCGAACGCCACAAGCGCGACTGGAGAAGCAAAATCCGCATCACCAGTCAGCTGACTGACAATCTTGGCTGTCACAGTGGTCATTGCTTCAAAGGGATTGAGGCTCAGCCGCGCTGCCGCCCCTGCTCCGAGAACCACAATCATGGTTTCACCAATCGCGCGCGAGGCCGCCAGCAGGATGGCTCCGACAATGCCCGGCAGGGCTGCCGGCAGCACGACCTTTTTGACCGTTTCCGATTTCGTTGCGCCGAGACCGTATGATCCGTCGCGCATAGCCTGCGGAACCGCGTTGATGATGTCGTCCGACAACGAACTCACGAACGGGATCAACATGATGCCCATGACCAGACCGGCTGTCATCACCGCCGTTCCGGCTTTCATGATACCGAAGCCATTGTCGCCGAACACCGACATGAGAAGCGGACCTACAGTCAGCAGGGCGAACAGGCCGTATACGATGGTCGGGATACCTGCAAGGATCTCCAGCAGCGGCTTTGCGACAGCGCGTACCTTGGGGCCCGCATATTCGGACAGGTAAATCGCGGCGAACAGCCCGATCGGTACAGCCACCGCAAGAGCCACAAACGAGATGTAGAATGTACCCCAAAGAAGCGGAATAATGCCGAGCTCGGAAGATCCGCCGCGACCGGAGAAGCTTGGGGACCATGTCAATCCGAAGAAGAAGTCAGCGGCAGGGTAAAGCTTGAAGAATTCTATGGTGTTGAACACAAGCGATAAAACGATACCGACGGTTGTCAGGATCGCTATGGACGCCGCCGCAATCAGAATTGCCTGCACGCCTTTTTCAACGGTGTTCCGCGCTCTGAACTGTGCATTGGTTTCCCTGAGAGCCCAAAGAGCGCCGACAATTGCAACCAGGATTACGGCAATTGTCATATAGAAATTGCCTGCAGCGGCCAGAACCCGATAGCGCTGCGCAGCACGCAAGACGGGCTGTGTGATGTCGGAAGTAACGATCTGGCCGGCTTCCTTGAGGCGCGCGGTGACGTCGTTGAAGTCTGCGCGCGCGTTGCGGGCGAAATCTTCCGTTATGACATCGGAGGCAACAGCATTGTCGAGACCGCGCGCAGCACGGCGCACTTCAGCCAGGACGAGCCCGCGGGATGACCCTTCGCTGATCGCACTGTCCGGGATCATCGCCGAAATATCGCTGTTGACGTAAAAAGGCTGCGCAAGCAGCCAGGCGATCAGGAGCAGAAAGGCGGGTACCGCAGCCTTCATTGCTACGTTCGCCCCGTAATAAGACGGAAGGGAGTGCAGCGCGGAACGCACTCCCCCGGCACTGGACATGGCTCGCGCCCGCCCGAGAACATACCCAACCACGGCTATGGCGAGTACGATCAAGATGAGCCAGAACAAGGACATTTGCTCCCCCGGGAAAGCTTTAAAAAGGTCCAAAAAGGAAAAAGGGGCGGCGGAATATGCCGCCCCGAATATCGAGCAGGGACTCGATTACTTCATCGTTTCTTCGTTGGAAACGGAAGCCTGAGTGGCCGCCAGTTCCGGATCGGAAACCAGACCGTAAGTGGCAAGCGGGCCGTCTGCACCAGCAATTTCATCGGCGATGAAGAACTGGGCGTATTCCTTCAGGCCCGGGATAACGCCGATATGCGCCTTCTTGACGTAGAAGAACAGCGGACGGGAAACCGGATACTCGCCGGAAGCGATGCTCTCGGTCGTCGGCGCGATTCCGCCCATGGTGGCAACCTTAAGCTTGTCGGTGTTGTTCTCGTAGAACGCCAGGCCGAAGACACCGATGCCATTCGGGTTGGAGTCGATGCGAGCGAGAGTTTCAGTGTAGTCGCCATCGATGTCAGTGGACTTGCCGTCTGCACGAACATCGATACAAGCGTCCTCAGCATCGTCTTCGGACATGCCACTGTCTATCATGGCCTGCAAGGCGCCAGTGGCTTCACAACCAACGGCCAGCACCTTTTCTTCGAACACTTCGCGGGTTCCGTGCTTGGTACCCGGGATGAATGCGGCGATTTCAACTGACGGAAGATCGGCATTGAAGTCGGCCCAGGTGTTGTTCGGGTTGTCGACGAGCTTGCCGTCTTTCAGAACTTTCGCGCCAAGAGCATTGAAGATGTCGGCCGGCTGAAAGGCTGTGAATGCGGGACCGGATTTCTGAGACGCGAAAACGATACCGTCGTAACCGATACGGACTTCGATGATGTCTTTGACGCCAGCTTCCGCACATGCCTTGATTTCTTTTTCACGGATCTTGCGGGAAGCATTTGCGACGTCGATAGTGTTTTCGCCAACACCTTCACAGAAGCGTTTCAGACCAGCGGAAGAACCGCCGGACTCGACAACCGGTGTCGGGAAATCGGTGTTTTCACCGAAAGCTTCAGCAACGATGGAAGCGTATGGCAGAACGGTGGAAGAACCGGCAACCTGAACCTGGTCGCGTGCCTGGGCCGCGCCGACGAATGCAGTGGAAGCAACAGCCAGGGCGGTTGCACTAACGAGGGTCGTAAATTTCACTTGACCGCTCCCTTTGAATGTCAAGGTTTGTAGATGATCGCCGAGCCCTAGAATGCTCGAGCGATGCCGGGAACCTAGGCCCCATGGATGAGAGTTCTATGACAGTTCTTTTTCAGTTTTGTGACAATTTAACTATCTGATAAATATAAGTATTTTTTGCATTTGCCTATTTACACCGGAGATTGCGCAGCGCTTGCACCAGAATCGGCGAATGCCCCTTGCGCAGTCTAACTCGCCGATGACCTGACATTCCGGCGTCGCGTGGAAACAAGAATGCACTTGGCACGACAACAAGTGTCGTTCCCGATCTTCGCGCGAAGGACCGGAAGCGCGAGGTTTTTTTAGCTGTCGAGGCTCAAGGTGAGGACGTCAGCCCTCCCCGGCTCAATAGTCACAGGGGCAAACACAGGTTTTGAAACCCGTCAGGCGGATATTTTTTCGGCGGAACCATCCGTGTTTTCAAGGGCCGGGAGTTTTATCCTGAATTCCGCCCCCTCGCCGGGGTTGCTTTCCACTTCCATACGCGCACGGTGCCTGGTGAGAATGTGCTTTACGATTGCAAGTCCGAGACCAGTCCCCTTCAAGGCCCGGCTCGATTCAACGTCCACGCGATAGAATCGTTCCGTCAGTCTTGGAAGGTGTTCGCGTGGTATTCCCTCTCCGTAATCGCGAACGGAGAGAACCCAGTAGTCCGCGTCCTGATCAACGGATTGCTCGTACACGCGCACATCAACGACTTTGCCGGAGCTGCCGTATTTCAGGGCGTTTTCGATCAGGTTTTCGACCACCTGAATTAGTTCATCCCGATCGCCCTTCAACCTGACCGGAATGTCGGGCACATCGATGCGAATTTCGACCTCCAGGTCCCTTGCCAGCGGTGAGAGCGCGTCAGCCGTGTGACGGATAATCTCGGTGAGATCAACTACCGTAGCAGGGCGAACATGTGCTTTTAGCTCAATGCGGGACAGAGAAAGAATGTCGTCAATCAACCTGCGCATGCGCCCCGCCTGATCCAGCATGATCGATAAAAAGCGTTCCTGGGCTTCGGTATCGTTTCTGGCGGGACCCTGGAGGGTTTCGATAAATCCGGTCAGGGAGGCCAGAGGTGTGCGCAACTCATGGCTCGCATTCGCGACAAAGTCTGTCCGCATCCGCTCCAGACGACGGTTTTCCGTCAGGTCCTGGATAACGACAAGAATGAAATCCGGGCGCTCTCGCAAGCGTTCCTGGTTGCCGGATCCAGGCATGTAAATCGGCGCGATATGAGCTTCGTACCAGGATTCCGTCGGTACTTTTTCTATCCAGCTTATGCGTTCTTCTCCGCCTGTACTGCAGACACGATCAAACGCTTCGAGCAAAGAAGGCGCACGCAGGGAAAACGACAACGGGTCTCCCGGCTTTACCCCGTCATAGGTTGCCAGTGCCTGGGCGTTGACGTAACGCGTAATTCCGCGTCCGTCGGCAACGAAACACGGCGTTGGCAGCGCGTCCACCGTCACCTTCATTCCGGTTCCCGGCCACATCCGCCGCAACTCGCGCTGTGATTTCAACTTGACGCGTCGGCTCACGGACCGCCTTGGAACAAAGGCGGCAACCGCAGTCATGAGAAGGACTGCACCTGCTGCAGGCCAGAATGGGACACCAAAAACGACAACGGCGACGACCGCAGAACAGAATGCCGTCAGCAAAATCCATCTGGCTTCGCCGATCCTCGTAAATGGCGAGGCGGCAATTTGAGGCTCAGTGGCATCCTCTAATGATGATGGTGAAGACATGGATCTAAGCGTGAGTTTGGAAACCTGTGGGGTACACCACGTTTGGCTGACACTATTTCGACGCCTCAATAATTTGCAAGGTCGAAATAGGGCAACTCGATGCTGGTGCCAGCCCAATTACCACACCAAGCATGTCAGGCAGGCGACAGACCATTTGATTTGTATATAAATGCAAAAGGCACGCTTATCGCCAGCTTACATTTGCAGCAGCAGTCTTCAGGTTCGAGATTATCCGTGGCCAACCGTCAGCTTGCTGCATCTGCACCAGATACTGCTCACCTTTTTCGCCGTGCCGAAGAAATTCGTTATGAACAATTTCAAGGCGGGTTTTTTCACCGGCTTCGCGAAAGTTGACCATAACGCGGCTGGCCGTAAGGGGATCGGCAATTTCCTCGCCCTCTTGGGAAACCTGCCAGGCCAGACGAACATAAATCGGGGGTTCTATCGACAGCACCGTTCCCCAGATGCGCTGTCTTCCATTGCCGTCGATCTCGAAGCAGCTGCCTCCAACGCATGGCTCGATCCCCGGCCCCACCTGTCCTTCGCCCGGATTTCGAAAAGGTGAGACCCACCATGCGTCGAGCCGGTCAACACACAGCGAGAATGCCCGATCCCGCGGCAAGTCCAGCAAAAAGTCAAAGCGGCATTCCTGTTCATCGGCCATTCTTGTTCCACCAAGTTTCTGCTGCTGCACACATTTTATTTCGAATCACTGTAACCCATTGGCAGGCAAAGTTCCCTGTCCCGGGAGGCTCGCCTTCAAAATTGGACAGAGTGGCAACCTTGCCGAATTGAAAACGGCCGACCTTTGAGATCCCTTCCGTCTTCAATCGAATTTTGGCTGCCCTAGCCGATTCGAAAGTCATATACATGACGCAAGGGCCCGCCGCGGCCCCGACTTCAATAGCCGGCTTGCCTGAATTTGACGAAAATGGTTGCCATCCCCACCGAACTGCTTGAGGTTCATTCGGGAAAAAGTCAAATTTCTGCAACCGGCCCTCAATGAAACACGACCGCGACTTCAATCCGGAATACGGAACTCCCGTTGAGATTTCCCCCGGCATCCGGCGCCTGACCGCTGAAAATCCCGGCCCTTTCACCTTCCGGGGAACGAACAGTTACCTGCTGGGATCGCGCCGGCTTGTGGTTGTCGACCCCGGCCCGGCATTGCCAGGTCACCTGAACGCCATTTTGAAGGCAGCTGATGGTGCCACAATCGAGGCAATCCTTGTATCCCACACACACATGGACCATTCGCCCGGCGCGCGTTTGCTCAAGAACGAGACCGGTGCCCCGATCGTAGGATGCGGACCGCATCGTGCAGCTCGCGACCTGTTCGAAGGCGAGGTCAATCCGCTCGACAGCAGCGGCGACAAAGAACACATTCCGGACCGGCTACTTACGGACAGTGAAACATTCACGGCGACTGAATTCTCCATCGAGACAATCGCAACTCCGGGACACACCGCAAACCACTTATGTTTCGCAATCCAGGGCGAGGACATCATTTTGTCGGCCGATCACGTTATGGGTTGGTCGACTTCGATCGTCGCGCCACCTGACGGCTCGATGCGGGATTACATGACTTCAATCGAAAAGATGCTTGATCGTTCTGAAACTACCTATTTTCCAGGGCATGGCGGTCGCATCCATGATGCACATTCCTATGTCCTCGATCTGAAACAGCACCGCCGCAACCGTGAGGCATCGATCCTGGCGACGGTTTCGGAGCGTGAACGGACGATAAAGGAGATCGTCGCGGAGCTCTATGCAGAGGTCGATCCCTCGCTGCATCCCGCAGCAGGTCTGTCCGTCTATGCACACCTGGAAGATCTCGTTGAACGCGGTCTGGTATCGGCACGTCCAGACCTCTCGTTGACAGCAGGCTACAAAAGAACCGCCTGAAGACCTTAACCCTCCAGGTCGGTCGCATCCGGATCATCTGGAGCCGATAACTCGTCATCCCCGAAATAGGGTTTGAAGCCCGGCAGAGGAACAACTTCTCGCGGATCTTCTACAATTTCAGGTGTCAGTTCGTCTTCCAGTTCGCCCTCCTCAACGGAGAGCCGTGCGAGATCCCCGTAAGTTTCCAGCAAAACGCGATCGATTTCGGCGAATACGGTTCTGATCTGGCCCGCGTTGGTGGAAAGATCCTGCAATGGGGTTCTGGAACGCGAGCGGACGTCCAGCAGCGCACCGACCTGATCGGGTCGGATGCGGAGCGCAACGTCGAACTTCAGTCCGAGATAACGCGTTACACCTTCAGCCTGTAATCGCGTTGCCGCATCCAGCAGGTCAGGCGGCAATTCGTCGACCACGGTCCAGTTCAGGTTTTCCAGCGCCTTGGCGCCGGCAACGTGTAGCTGGCCAGGAGCAATCCGGTATCGGCGAGGCACAATATCAGCAGAATTTCTCGACAGATCTCTGCCTTGAGAAGACGGGGAGATCGAAAGTCCGGACACCAATGGCCAAACGTTTTCTTCCAGCTTGACAGTCGCCCAGTTCAAAAACGGCTGCGACGATGCGATCTTCTCTGACTTGAGTTCAGGAGGATCGATCTTGTCTGTAGAAATGTCATTCGCCCCGGGACTGGCGACAAGTGTTCCGATCACAATAGACGGCGGCACGAGGGCAAGAACACCAAAGAACGTTCCGATCAACGCTTCAGAGACGCCAGGTCCACCATAGCTCCAAATGCGCTGGAATGCCGCCAAGGCAGCCACGATCGCGACAATGGCCAAAATTGCAGCGCAAGTCAGGGAAAGAACGAATACATCCGCATCGACCAGACCGAACCGTTTTGCAACAAAAGCGGCCAATGCGATGGCAAGCGCTATCGCACCAATGATCCGGCTCACCGGCGCCGATGCTGTTTTGTAAACGGCGTATTGCTTCATTTCTTTCCAACCTGCATCGCGGGCCATGCTATGAGGCCGTGATCGGCAAAACCAGATTTGTTTTCTTGTTTACAGGCAAATTGTCAATTTTGAACTTCACTTCCGCAATCAGCTCATCATAAATTCGGTCGGTCAGGTTCCAGAATCATTTTCGCAACCGGCAACAAGTTGGAGCCCTGACCAAGCAGGGTGAACATTACTGGACCGATTTCCCGTCAACCGCCAAATGAAGCGCACCTTATGGCAAACCTGAACAAGCCGAATGTGAACGCACGAGTCGCAGGGCCGATTGCAACGAGTCTTGGAAACGTATTCGTTTGTTACGCGCTTATCCTGACGTTTTTTCTGGCCCCTCTGGCGCTGTTCATTGCAATGCGGTTTTCCGAACCTGCAGAACAAAGCGTATTTGCGCATTTTTATTACATCCGCACAACGATCGCTCTCTTGGTGATCGGTTGCTGTGTGGGAGGTCTGCTGATCCTGTTGGGGGCTGATCTGTCGTCCTCGCTCATCCTTGTCGGGCTCGCGATTTTTGTGCTGACCGGGTTTCTGACCCTGGCACGCTGTCTGGTCGGCGGATTCTGTGCGCTTCGCGGCAGGCCGCCAAGAAGTTACAGGTCCTACCTGGTGTAGCAAATATAAATTTATACCCTCATAAGTAGCAAAAATGGAAGAAAGTTAATCTTTACTTAACGATATACTTCAAATTCACTCCCCTTACGTTACATCCTGTTATAGAATTTGACTGGCTGAAATGGCTAAATAAGCGCATGATTTCTATGCCGGTTGCGGAAAAAATGGAATTGGCGAGAAACTCGCCCTTGGAATGCCGCAATTGGATACGACATGCACGCGGCCCGCAGTTATCCGCGCACCCAAATGCCAGTTAGCGGGAACTGGATAAGATAACGGACCTGGAAAAATGTCTGAACAAACATCCCACCCGAACGCCAAAGTTCCGGCGGGAGCCAAATTGATTAATCAATATAAGCCAGTCGGCATTGCCGCATTGAACGCCGCGGCACTCTGCAAGAACGCAGGCGCAGCGACGAAGAAAAACAAATAACCGGCCGCAATTTTCAGCGCCCGATTATTTCAAGACCTCTTGTCGGCCTCAGCCGGCCTCAACCGGTTTCTTCATCAGGTACCGCTGAGCTTGCCGTGTCCCGAACTGTTAGGCAAACTGCCGCCGACAAGGTCTATTGAGAATCGAAATTCATCGTGATTTCGAAGCAAGCCGCAGTCCGTCAACAGGCGAAAACAGCTGGCCGTCCCTTTCGAGTGACTGCCTGATCCGTTGCGCCGATTGCCCCTGCGACGTGCTTCTTGCCCCGAAGCTGCCCCAGTCGGATCAACCGGATCGTACTGGCTGTTCATGCCGCCGCCGCTCATGCCGGTTGCTGCTCTCGGGGCAACCATCCGACACGATCGCAACTCATCAGGCCCTGGCACTTTTTCGCCGGTTACCGCCGGCATGCCCTGCCCCATCGGAGACTGCCCTGATGATCATTGCCTATTGCCCGTCCGTAAAAGGCCTCGAACGTATCGAACTCGCAGCGGAGGCTCCCCTGCCTGCGACGTCGGTGTGGATAGATCTCGTCGCGCCGACACGCGAAGAGCAGAAGGCCGCTGAAAAGCTGATGGGCGCGGAAATCCCAACGCGCGAAGAAATCGCGTCGATTGAAACTTCCGAGCGACTCTACGTGGAGCCCGGCGCGGTCGTCATGACGGCCCAGATGCCCATAGCGACCCGGACGCTGGATCCGATCCTGTCCTCCGTCACTTTTGTCCTGAGTGCCAAACGGCTCGTGACCCTTCGTTACGGGGAACCCAAGTCAATCTCCATTCTGTCCAAGAAAGTTCAGTCTGACACCACAATCGCACATATGGGACCGGCCGTGCTCTTTGCGTTGCTCGACATTATTGTCGACCGCTGCGCAGATGAAATGGAAAGCGCATCGTCCCGCTACGACAACCTGGCTCTCCAGGTGTTCGGCGACGGGCTCAACATGCGCAAAACGGCCAGCTATCAGGTGGTGATAAAGCAACTTGGGCAAATCGGCCTGCACGTTGCCAAGATGCATGATGTGTGCACGAGCCTGTCACGCGCCCTTCTCTTCATGAATACCCACGCGAAGAGGCTCACCCTGACCGAGGAGCAGGTAACCGAGTTGAAGACCTATGGCCGCGATATCCGGTCAATCAAGGAACATGCAAACGCCCTGGACAACAAACTTGCCTTTCTGCTGGACGCCACTGTCGGGCTGGTCACACTTGAACAGAACCAGATTTCAAAAATCTTTACGGTCCTGGGTCTGGTCTTCCTGCCCCCTACCCTGATCGCCTCAATCTATGGCATGAACTTCGCCAACATGCCCGAACTCAACTGGGAACAGGGTTTTTTGTTTGCACTCGGTCTGATGCTTGCGTCCGTGATCGCAACATTTCTGTTTTTCCGCTGGAAGCGGCTGCTTTAGATCCGTGTCGCGTCCGTATGCAGATCGCTGTTTCGCTCAAGGATATAGCCGCTCCTTGTCCCAGGGCTGGTCGGGACCCTCGCGCGTGAACAGAATTCGATCGTGCAGCCTGAATGGCCGGTCGTGCCAGAATTCGATGGATGTCGGCTCAAGCCGCATGCCTGACCAGTATTCCGGCCTTGGTATGTCTCCGATCCCGAATTTCGCGGTGAACCTGGCAACTTCCTTTTCCAGAGCGAAACGGCTTTCCAGAGGGCGGGACTGTTTTGACGCCCAGGCACCTATCCTGCTGCCGCGCGGACGGGACTGGTAATAAGTGTCCGCTTCATCGACGGTTACCTGATGGACCACGCCGCGCACGCGCACCTGACGTCGCAGTGACTTCCAGTGGAAGCACATTGCGGCCTTGCCGGATGACAGCAGCTCCCTGCCCTTCGCGCTTTCGAAATTCGTGTAAAACACGAAGCCGCGATCATCGACGTCTTTCAAAAGGACCATGCGCACATTAGGCAGGCCGGACGGGTCAACAGTTGCAAGCGCAAGGGCATTCGGATCATTGGGTTCCGATGCCTTGGCGTCTTCAAGCCATTCAGAAAAAAGATCAAATGGTTTCTTGACCTCCGCGAAGTCACCTTTTGTTAACTCTTCAGAGGGATGCTTGAGGTCTGTCATAGGTTACCTGTCGAAGAATTCGATCGCCTGCAGCACGGCAAGAACATGCCAGCTTGGAGGCTGTCCGTAAGATGTTTCGTATGCGTTCATATACTCTCACGTACAACAAGATCCAGCCCTTTATGGGCATCATTGCGCTGCTTGGGAGCCTGCTTGCAGGCTGCGCGCAGGTTACAGTTCCGATAGGCAGCAACAATGTGGATACGCCCACTGTCCTGACGGGCTCGATTCCATCCTCGACCGATCAGGCCTATACAGACGTCAACGCGGAAGATCGTGCTGTCATTGCAGAAAACCTCGATTCGCTTGACCAGACCCTGGGCAACTATGACGCCGGCCAGGACGTGCTGCTGTCCTGGTTGAATCCGATCAGTGGCAATTCAGGCACCGTGACAAGCATCAAGGCTGACGGACTCACTGAAACAGGGTGCCTTTCCTTCCAGACGACGGCAAACACAATTGCCGGCATCAGGCTTTACTCCGGAACGGCCTGCCGGGATATCAGCCAGAAATTCGCTGTGACAGCCCTCAGCGTCGCCGACGCTTGATCAGCCGATCAAATCGCCTCATAAGGAAGTACTTTGTTGCTGGAGGCGAAGGACTGGAATTTTGCCCTCTTCGTTCCGATATAGTAGTTAAGTCCGGTCAAGTATTGTCTCAGGAAAACGCGCGCTTCGGAGCAGGTCATGTGTCCGGAGCGTTTATGCGTGAGGCGACAGGCTGGAGAATCTTAGAAACCTGGTGATGTGAATGCGAGATCCCTATAGCGCTCTCGGTGTGGCGAAAAGCGCCAGCGAGGGCGAGATCAAGAAGGCTTTTCGGAAGCTGGCCAAGAAATACCATCCGGATCAGAACAAGGACGATCCGAAGGCGCAGCAGCAGTTTGCCGAAGTGAATCAAGCCTATGAAATCATCGGCGACAAGGACAAGCGCGCCAAGTTCGACAACGGTGAGATCGACGCGGAAGGCAAGCAGCGCTTCCAGTCGAGGGGCTTTGACGGCTTTTCCGGATTTGAGGACTTTGGCGCTGCAGGCGGTGCACGCGGCCACAGGTCGGCGGGCGGCGGCAGCGCTGGCGGCGGCGCTGGTGGCTTCGACGACATCCTGAACGACATCTTCGGCGGCTTCGGCGGTCGCGGCAACCGTCCGGGAGGCGGTCCCGGCGCCGGGCCAGGCGCTGGCTTTGCCGGTGGCAGTGCGCGCACGAAAACACCGCACAAAGCAAAAGGCAAAAATGCCGAAATCATTGCCCACGTGTCGTTGGAAGACATCGTCAACTCCGGCAAGACCCAAGTCACACTGCCGAGCGGCAAGACAGTCAACGTGACCTTGCCGAAGGGTGTCGAGGAAGGCGAGAAAATTCGCCTGAAAGGCCAGGGTCATCCAGGTGAAAACGGCGGTCCGGCAGGCGACGTGATGGTCGAGATCCGGATCAGGCCACACACGCTCTACGAGGTGAATGGTTCCGACCTCCACCTGGACTTGCCGCTGACGCTTTACGAGGCAGTGCTCGGCGCCAAGGTCCGCACACCAACGCTTTCCGGTGCCGTGAACCTGACCATTCCGCCAAATACGTCAAGCGGCAAGGCCATGCGCCTGAAAGGCAAGGGCCTGCCCAACAAGAACGACGGCCATGGCGACCTTCTTGTCAAACCCCAGATCATCATGCCGCATCATAGCGACGAAGAGCTGGAAACACTGATGAAGGCCTGGAAGGAAATCACGCCCTACCGAGCGCGTGGACCGGAGTTCGACTAGATACTGACCGGCTTGCAGCGCCAACGTGGCATAAAGATTTGGCCCACAAATTTTGTCATCTGACGCCACCCCGGCCTCGAGCCGGGGCAGCTTTTGCAAAGGGACCTGTCCTGTTTGGGTCCGGAACGGCACAGCAGGTTCGGTTTCCAGGAGTGCCGCCCGAGATCGTCAGCCCTGTAGTTCTTCCAGCAGGTCCGCCAGCATTTCCATGCCCTTGCCCCAACCCTTGTCGAGGCCACTGATGGCTCCGGCAAAGCAGGTTATTTCCGCTTCGCTCGCCTCATGGGGTGTCCAGATGAGGCGTACTTCGGTCTGATCTCCAGCCTGGATGAAGGTCACGGTCGTCAGGAGAGTGCGTGGCCAGTCGGGCATCATCGGATTTGCTGAGATTTCCCAGTCCGCGTCGGAGACCGAATGTAACCAGACAAGTTTTTCAGGCTCGACGACTTCAGTGTATTCGACGCGTTGAAAGTGGGAGCCACCGCCGAATTTCATCTCGTTCAGCCAGAGACCTCCCGGCTGCACGTCCAGTTTGTGAATAACCGTTTCAACACCGGGCCCGTACCAACGGGCCAGCAATTCCGGTTGGGTCCAGGTTTTCCAGACAAGTTCGCGCGGCGCATTGAAACGTCTTTCAAGAATATATTCAGGCAATGACATTAATTTACTCCCACTGATCGGTGTTTTTGAGTTCTTCAAGAAGATTGTCGAGCTGGTCGAAACTGGAGGACCAGAATTTTCTGAATTCCTCAAGCCAGGCGACCGCCTCTTTCATCGGCTTCGCGTTGAGACGGGCCGGACGCCGTTGACGATCGGTTCCACGCGTTATCAAACCTGCACGCTCAAGAACCTTGAGGTGTTTCGACACAGCGGGCTGACTCATTTCAAACGGCTCGGCCAGTTCGTTCACCGACGCCTCGCCTGAAGCCAGTTTCGTCAAGATGGCCCGGCGAGTCGGGTCGGACAGGGCGGAAAACACTGCATCGAGGCCAGGTTTGCCAGACATATAACCAACTTGTTCCATAACTTAATGGTTATATCAAGCAATCGAATTGTCAAGTTGATTAATTTATATAACCTATTATATTACTAGTTATATTTATGGAGTCTAACCATGATTGAAGATGTTGTCCGATCACTCGGGTACGGCACACTTGGCAGCAGGCTGAAACGGATCGGTGAAAAACTGCAGTCGCAAACACAGGAAATCAGCAACGAAGTTGCCAAGGCGGAGTTGTCCGCGTCGCTCAATCCGGTACTGGCGACTCTTGATCGAAACGGCTCCCTTAGTATCGGTCATCTTGCAGAGGCGCTTGGACAAAGCCAGCCCGGTGTCACACGCATGGTCAACAAGTTGAAGGCTGCAGGGCTTGTCGAGAGCCAGCCGGATGAAAAAGACCGGCGTGTCAACAGAATTGCACTGACCGATCGCGGCGTTGCGCTCGTCTGGCATCTGCAGCAGACCCTGTGGCCCAAAGTCATGCTGGCGGTCAAGGATGCCTGTGCAGGACTGGAGGGGTCGCTTTTGCAACAGCTTTCCCAACTGGAAGACGCGCTTGACGAGCAAACGCTCAAGAAACGATGCTCCTCGGATTCCCTTCCCGACTGGAGTCGATTGGCACAGGAGATGGAGGCCCCCCGATGATCAAACGCATCTGGCATGGCTGGACGACGCATGAAAACGCCGATCGGTACTTCGGTATCCTGACGGATACGGTCATTCCCGGCATCGAGGCCAAGACCATTCCAGGTTATCTCGGCATTGAAGTTCTGAGACGCGATCTGACAGATGAAGTGGAATTCAAAACCATCATGAGTTTTCGCTCGATTGACGATGTCATTGCCTTTCAGGGGCCGAATTATGCAAGAAGCCATGTTCCCGGTGCTGCACAGGAAGTTCTGAAGCGTTGGGACCAGACGGCCGAACACTATGATTTCCTTTTATCCCGGAACGCTGCAGGTGCCATGACATGACCAGTTTGCTGAACCGAGTTGTCTGGTCTGCTCTCACGACCCGCCAGGATCACTTTTCAAGGCGGGGAACGCTCGCTCGGAGGTTCGATCCAGAAATTTCGCCGTTTGCAGCCTCGAAAGACAATTCGGCAGATGCGCTCGCAGCGTTGACAGAGCTGATTTGCCCCGGCGACAAACCGGTCTTCCTGCTACAGGCTGAACAGATCACGCTTCCCGAAACGCTGGTCGCGGACAAAACCGCACTTGGCGTTCTGATGATGGAAAAAACCGCCCGGGAACCTGAAGCCTCCGCTCCCAGGATCGTGCCCCTGTCGAGTGACGACATTCCGGAAATGGTCGCACTGGCGGACCTCACTCAGCCAGGCCCTTTCACCAGACGCACCCCGGAACTCGGGACGTTCTGGGGCGTAAAACTGGACAATCGGCTGGCTGCCATGGGCGGCACGCGGTTGAACCTTGAAGGTTACACGGAGATTAGCGGTCTTTGCACGCATCCGGACTTTCAGGGGCGTGGACTGGCAACAGCCCTAACGCTTCACATTGCCAAAGTCATACGGAGCCGCGGCGACAAACCATTTCTTCACGCTTATGCAGACAATCATGGCGCGATTGCACTTTACCGCAAGCTCGGCTTTGACATCTGGAGCGAAGTAAACGTCGCGGTCGTCCGCCGGAGTTCCTGAGCTGCAGGCAGTACTGTCATGCACGACAACCCGGCAAAGTTCCCGCCTTATTGGGGCTTGGAATTGAACCGCCTGATCCTCTGGCGCAAATACTTTGTTGCCGAACGATAGTGGCTCGGTCCCACTGCTTCCGCCCAACGGCCCGTCGGCCAGGCATTGTTGGCGCCTTTCATCGGTGCGCTGTAGAGCTGATCGTCAGACAGGGACTCAATCAATCGCAGCAGCTTGTTGTGATTACGTTCAAGCAGCGCAACCGCTTCTGCCCAGGTCATCCCAGTCTGCCGAGCACGAAGGTCGGCGTTGTACCGTTTTGTTTCGTTCCATTTGTACCCCTCGGCGGGAAAGTAAACTGTCTTTTCCTCTTGCCCATCCAGATACCAGCCAAGGAACAGGTCGATCCAGTGCGCCCGGTGAGCGACTATGTCCTTGGGCGAAACGCCTTCATCGTCCAGTTCAAGGCGAAGACCGGCAGGCAGGATATTAAGCAACCGGCAGAGTTTTTCAAATTCCTTCAGTGCAAGTGACAGGAGTTCCTGTTTCGATTTGGCCGCCATTGCATTCTCCCACCTGTTTCCGTGAATAGAGCGCAGCCAGTAAAAAGCGGCATTGATCATTGCCAAGCCACATGTCGAATGCCTGTCAAATCGCCGGGCATCCGGCAAATCAAAGCGGGAACCGCTGGCCTTCCGGATAGAACAACCCGAGTAACCTATCCAGAGTTGCATCTTGGCAACACGTGATTATTTTTACGCGTCAAACAGCATCAGTCATTGCAATTAAAAAGGGTGTCTTTTAGCCAAGTTACACTCGATAATAATGACAAGGTCAGACAATGCGCATTCTACTCGGCTTCATATTCCTAGCCCTGTTTTCCACCTTTAGCCTCGCCAAAACGATCCGGGAAACGGTCCCGGCGAACAAGACGTCTGCTGTGGGTGCACATGCCACCTATGGTCCAGAATGCGAGAGTGGTGTAATTCCGAAAATGAAAATCACCCAGGCTCCCAAAAACGGCAAAGTCACTTTCCAGCAAATCAATACGAAACTCAGCGAAAAAGCCGGGCGCTGCGCTGGCAGACCTGTCAAGGGCACCATCGTGGTCTACAAACCGAACCGGGGATTTCGCGGCGAGGATGTTTTCCGTATCCGTTTTACCATGGACATGTACGACTACGGTTCTGCAAAGATCCGAAACGTGACCAACAAATACATCATCCAGGTCAAATAGATTTCCGGAAGGGCTGATTAACCGGCTGGTTGTGTTACCGGTCAAGCCACCCGTAAATCCAGTAGGCGCCTTGCAGATACAGTTTTCGGAAGGCCGGCAAGGGGAACTTTCGAAACGGAATTTGCAGAGGAGACGGCAGATCGTCCCGTCTCAGAGAGCCGGTTACCAGACCGGCGATCTTCTCACCGGATAGGGACGCCATCGCTATTCCGCTGCCATGCCAGCCCATGGCCGCGTAGATGCCGTCCATGCGCGGGACTTCCCCGACGAATGGCGTCAGGTTGCGCGCGAGACAGACATTGCCGTGCCAGGCAAATTCCGTCTCGACATGCGCCCATGCCGGAAACATGGTCTCAAAGTCGTTGCGGGCGCGCTTTTGCATGGCTGTCAGCGCGGGCGCCTTTTCGAAGATCCCTCCGCGGGTTCCAAACAGGAACCGTCTGTCGGGCAGCAGGCGAAAATAATGCAGCAGTCTTCTTGTATCTGCAGCCATCGTGTCCGCGGTCCATCCCTGATCGGACAGCTCTCCTTCGCTCAGCGGACGCGTTACCTGGATGGATGACATGACCGGCAACGTGCGGCCATGCAACCATTTCGGCACGGTCTCACGGGCATAACCGTTGCCTGCCAGCACGATCTTTTTGGCCCTGACGTATCCATGCTCCGTTTCCAGGCGCCAGCACTCACCATCCTGATTCACACCAGTGACCGGTGACTTGCCAAAGATCCGACCACCAGCCTGCCGCACTTGATCACCGAGTGCGAGTAGATACTTCAGCGGATTGAGGGCAAAGCCATATGGCATATGCAGGCCACCATGGAATTCCGGACCGCCATACCCTTCCGAATCCAGTTCACTCTTTCCAAGAACGCGGGTCCTGATGCCGAAGTTATCCTTGAGGAATGCCGCCTCTTCCTTCAGGCTTGCAAGATCCTTCGGGCGATGCGCCAGATAGATTTCTCCCTTCGAGTGACAGTCTGAATCGACACCCCAGTTTTCGAGCCGTTGTGCGACAAGATTGATCCCCGCGACCTGATAGGCGGCGAATTTCCGCGCCTCATCAAGCCCAAACCTCCTGATCAGCTGACGTGCATCGAGTTTCGTTCCACCCAGGCAACAGAAACCTCCGTTTCGTCCGGACGCACCAAAACCGACATGTTCGGCTTCCAGAACTCCAATCGAAAGTCCGCTCTTTGCAAGCTTCAACGCCGCGCTGAGACCGGCGTAACCGGCCCCGATAACAGCGACATCAAAATGCGCATTGCCGATCAGCTGCCGGTCCTGACGCACGTGGTCGACGCTTGCCTCCCAATAGCTGCCTATCGTTTCGCGCGGGGTCCTGCTCTGCTGCAACATGTCAAAACCCGAGCCTGTCGCGAAGCGAAAACCATGTCATTGCCAGAACCAGAAGCGGAAACCGCAGACGATCCCCGCCCGGAAATGCGGGAATTTCCAGCTTGTCGAAAACATCGAACCGACCGGCGGTCCCCGATACTGCCTCTGCCAGGATCTGTCCGCCAAGGGTCGCCATGGCGACACCGTGCCCTGAATAGCCCGTCGCAGTCAGCATGTTGGGGGCCAGCCTTGCAAAATAGGGCATGCGTTTCGGCGTTATCGCCAACGTGCCTCCCCAGCCATAGTCAATGCCGACATCTTTCAGTTGCGGGAATATCTCCAGCATGGGAGCACGGACAAAGGACTTGATATCGTCCGGAAACCTGTAACCGTAATTTTCACCACCGCCGAACAGGAGGCGGCGGTCCGCGGAAAGACGGAAATAGTTGATGACAAACTTGCTGTCGGCAACGGCGGCATTGTTTCCAATGAGCTGCTTTGCTTCTTCTTCGGAAAAAGGTTCTGTCGCCACGATGTAGTTGTTGATCGGCATGACGTGAGCAGCCGTCTGGCGATCGAGGCGGCCGAGATAGCCGTTGCATGCCAGGATAAGGTGGTCGGCCTTGACGTCGCCCGTTGCCGTCCTGACCGTAATCCGCCCGCTACCCTTGCCATCAATCCCGGTGACCCTCGTTTCTTCGAAAATCTTCGCTCCGGCGGCCTGGGCGGCACCGCCGATCCCCAGCGCAAAGTTCAGTGGATGAAGATGTCCGGCGCCCAGGTCGAGCGATCCGCCGAAATAACGCGGACTGCCGACATGTTGCCCTATCTCGTCACCATCGACGAACCGGATGTCCTCATAGCCATAAACGAGCCGCAGATGCTCGACATAGTCACGGCTCTCCTCGACATATGACTTTCGGTGGTCAGCATGAAGAATGCCAGGGGAGTAATCACAGGCGATGCCATGACGCGAAATCAGCCCCCTGACGAGGGCTTTTGACTCTTCCGCCAGACCCCACAGGAGTTTTGCATGCGCCTGTCCGTGACGTTGCTCCAGCTCGGTCTGCTCCACACGCTGACCCGATCCAACCTGCCCGCCGTTGCGCCCTGAAGCCCCCCAACCAATCCTGTTTGCTTCCAGAAGAACAACATCCAGCCCTTTCTCGGCCAAATGAAGGGCAGCGGACAGGCCGGTATAGCCTCCTCCGACGATGCAGACCTGGCAGTTCAGCGTTTCATCAAGCCGCGGGTGAGCCGTCATCGCATTTGCTGTCGCAGCGTAGTAGGAAGGCGCGTGGCATCCCGGCGTGTCGTTCGCCGTCAGGAGATCAAGCGTTGTCAGCATCGCGGATCGCCAGCTCCCTTTTAAAAGGATTGCGTGTTCTTGTCCGAATTGCGCTCACCTTCTCTCGTTCACGCGGCGGATTCAAGACGAAATCAACCTTCGGTGAGCAAGTTTTGCTTGATTTTGCAAGCCCTTGCCATTCACCTTGCGTTAAATTGACGGTCTTGACAGTTTCGGCGCGTCCGATGAAATGATCGAGCCCGCATGACCCGGAAGGAAGGCAAAACTGTGTTAGGACCTGCAGAACACCCCTGGCTAGATCCGTTGTGGCGACGCATTGTGCTTGTCGTATTTTGTGGTGGCTGGGCAGTGATGGAATACGCTCTCGGAAATTCCGGATGGGCAATTTTCGTCGGAGCTGTCGCACTTTACGCGGCCTGGTCCTATCTTTACGCATACAAGGGACCTGAAGACCCCGCCCGGCAAACCCGGCCAAGAATGGACGAAGACGGGGGATAGATGCAGCATGCGGCGCAGGATTCTTTCACTAATTCGGCAGGTTGCCAGTCTTGGAAAGATCCATGGCATGCTCTGTCTTCTGCTGCTGCCCCTGATCTTTGCTGTCATCGATTCTGCTTCGGCGAGTGACACGAAGGAAGCTTCATCCCATTCGACGATCCAGGATGTTCTCAACAAACGCTGTGTTGTCTGCCATGGCTGCTATGATGCGCCCTGCCAGTTGAAACTTTCATCGGCAGACGGATGGCAACGCGGCGCCACGAAGGCGAGGGTGTACGATTCCTCGCGCCTTGAAGATGCGCCGATGACGCGGCTCGGCATTGATGCGAGGACGGTTCCCCAATGGCGTGAAAAAGGATTTTTTTCGGTCACCGGCGGCAGCGGGCACCAGTCCATGCTCGAGCAGCTCCTGAAAGCCGGACGCAGCCAGGATTTCAAACCGGGCGCTGCCCTGCCCGACAGCCTCGACATCAGCCCGCTGAGAAAGAACAGCTGCCCGACACCGTCTGAAATCAGCGGTTTTTTGGCCGATCACCCTTTCGCCGGCATGCCCTTCGGAACCGCTCCGCTTCCCGACGAGGACTATCGTCGTCTTCTCGCCTGGGCGTCCGATGGTGCCCCCGCGGATACCAGCGCAACGGTCATTCCCCAGAACATTGCAGACGAAGTCCGCAAGGTTGAGGCTTTCTTCAACAGGGAGACGCTCAAATCGAAACTTGTTGCCCGCTACATTTTCGAACATCTCTTTCTGGCGCATCTCTACATTGAAGGTGACAGTCCACGGCGTTTCTTCCGCCTCATCAGATCCAGATCGGCACCAGGCTCCGAACCGGATGAAATCCCCTCCCGCCGTCCGTTCGATGACCCTGGAGGTCGCTTCTTCTATCGGCTGGTTCCGATCGATGGCACAATTCTCCACAAGGAACATATTGTCTACGAGATCGGTCAGAAACGGCTGCGCCGCTTCGAGGACCTGTTCCTTTCGAACGACTGGACGATTGACGAGCTTCCGTCCTACTCCAAGGAGGCTGGCGGGAACCCCCTTTCCACATTCAAGGCACTTCCGCCACACAGCCGGTACCAGTTCCTGTTGGACGATGCGCTGTTTTTCGTGCGCACCTTCATTCGGGGTCCCGTCTGCTACGGGCAGGTTGCGGTCAATGTTATCCAGGATCGATTCTGGATATCGTTCCTGGACCCCGCTTCAGATCTGTCGGTCACCGATCCGACCTACCTTCAAGACGCGATTCCGATCCTCGAACTTCCGGTCGCCGTTTCGGACGACAAGATAACCGAGCGCCTCAAGAGTTTTCTCCTGGTTGGGCCCGTCAAGTATCAGGCCTTCCGGCAAAAGCGCTATGCCGAAAAAGCCAGGACAGACGGCGGCCTCGGGTATTCTGATATCTGGGATGGCGATGGAACCAACATCGATGCACGGCTGACGATTTACCGGAATTTTTCCTCCGCCTCGGTGGTGACCGGGTATCAGGGAGCCTTTCCGAAAACAGCCTGGGTAATCGACTTTCCCCTGTTTGAAAGGGTCTACTACGATCTCGTCGCAGGCTTTGATGTTTTCGGGAATGTGGAGCACCAGCTGACGACCCGGATGTACATGGACAATCTTCGCCGCGAGGGTGAAAGGATGTTCCTGTATTTCATGCCACCCGACGTCAGGGAACCACTCCATGACAGCTGGTACGAAGGACCACTCGCCACACTGATCGATCAATGGAAGGAAAGTCCTCTCGATACCGAGACACCAACAGGTGTTGACTTCAAAACGGACCATCCCAAGTCCGAATTCCTGTCTGAACTGCTCAAGACTGAACCCGATCTCTGGCCAGCGAGCGACCCTATCAACCGTTGCGACGGCAATAATTGTGCGCAGCAGACCACTGTCGCCGGTCAGTTGCGTCCGCTGAGCGGACATCCTGCTCCATTCGTGAAATTCCTGCCCGACATTTCAATACTCATTATCGAGGACGGGCAGACGGAGGACATTTTCACGATTGCGCACGATATGGCCCACAGCAATGTTGCATTTATCTTCAACGAAGACCTGCGGCGGGAACCGGAAGAGGACGAACTTACAATCGTGCCGGGCCAGTTCAGCAGCTACCCGAATTTCGCATTCAGAATGGATGCAAAAGACGTCCCCGCCTTTGTTGAGGATGTCAGGTTCATCCGCAGCCAACAGGACTATCTTAAGGTGGTAGAGACATATGGTGTGCGCAGAACCGATCCCCGGTTCTGGGAAACCTACGATCTTGTCCAGTCCCGCCTCAACGAGCAGAGTGCTGTCCAGGCCGGACTTCTCGACATCAACCGATACCGCGACCCCAAACCCCTGGATCCCATCGAAAGGCTGTTTCAATTCACCTTTTCGGTCGATTGATGAACGGTCACAGATCCTTGGCTCCCAGTTCACCGATCAACCAGCTGCAAAAAATCTGAGCGTCTGACCCCAGACCCTGCCGCGGACCGGAGGTGACCAGATAGTAGCTGTGGCGGCTCTTGATTTTCCTGTCACAGGAATGAACCAGCCGCCCGGTTTCCAGGTAAGCCTGCGCGAGCGTTTCAAGCACGAGAGCATGACCATGGCCGAGAGCGGCCAGTTCCAATGCAGACAGCGTCTGGTCCACCTGAAGCCCGGTCCGTCGTGGCGCAGGATGCCCGAAAGCCCTGAAAAAGCTCTCCCAGGTGTCTATCACACCCATGATGTCGAGCCGCGAGGCATGCGCCAGCGTATCAAGATCCCTCTCCCTGACGTCAAACGAGAATTGAGGATGACAAACGGGGACGATCGGATCGTTCAACAGGAACTCAACAGCTCCGTCCCGCCAGCTGCCGTCGCCAAAGCGGATATCAATGTCGAAGAGATCCGGGTTCAGCGTTTCGGCCCAAGACGCCGACATCATCTGCAATTCAATTTCCGGAAAAGCCTGCTGGAACGACTTCAAACGCGGGATCATCCACAGCTGGCTGAAACTGTTCAGACAGCGGAAACGGACCGGCTTGCGATCCCGTTCGCCGAAAACCGAGACCGTGGCGATGGAAAGGTCCGAGAACGCCTTTTCGACACTGGGCAAATAGGTTTGGCCCAGTCTTGTGAGGACGAGTTCACGGTGAACCCTTTCAAAGAGCGGATAGCCAAGCTTCTGCTCCAGCTGACGCACCTGGTAACTGACCGCTGCCGGTGTAATCAACAGTTCTTCTGCCGCCCGGGTAAAGTTGCCAAGGCGAGCCGAAGCTTCGAACGCACGAAGCCATGACAGGGGTGGGAGGCTATAGACCATATCTCTAGGCTCAGCGTTTTTTGCAACACCCAACATTTCGTATTCGGAAACAGATTCTTCCTACAAAATTTTTCGATGCTTCTCCAAATATTTTTTCGTTTCATGGATTTTGCAATCTCGTGGAAACTTCGCGGCAGACACAACACGACAGCCGGTGTCACCAATGCAAAGAGCCGATTACATCATCGTCGGAGCCGGGTCTGCCGGATGCATCCTTGCGGAGCGCCTGAGTGCCGACCCGCACTCCACCGTGCTTTTGCTGGAAGCCGGGAGCGCCGACAATTCACCCTGGGTACGATTGCCTCTGGGATATGCCAAGCTTGTCTCAGATCCAAAGTGCACCTGGCAATTCAAGACGGAGCCGGACACGGGCCTGAATGGACGCAGTATTTCCTGGCCGAGGGGCCGCATGCTGGGGGGATCGGGTTCTGTCAATGCCATGGTTTATTGCCGCGGCCTTCCAAGAGATTTTGAAGACTGGGAGGCATCCGGAGCAGAAGGCTGGGGTTGGCGGGACGTCAAACCTGTATTCGAACGCCTGGAAACGAAAGTGTCGCCCAGCGGCAGAAAAATGGGATGCGGCTGGATCCACGTCCAGGACACGTCGAAACAGATACACAGACTTAATCGCTATTTCTTTTCGGCACTCGACGAGGCAGACCTGCCACGGTCGGACGATTTCAACGGCGCAGCGCCCGAAGGCGGTGGCAACTACCACATCAATACGAAAGACGGGAAGCGCTGTTCGTCCGCACGCGCCTTCTTGCATCCGGCCCTGTCCCGCCCGAATCTCGAACTGCTCACGGAAGCACAGGCCAAACGGGTCCTCTTTGAGGGCAACACGGCTGTCGGCATCGAGTTGACGAGCGGTGAAGTGCTTCGTGCCGATCGGGAGGTCATCCTTTCAGCCGGCGCCATCGGCTCGCCCCAGCTTTTGCAAGTGTCCGGGATAGGTCCGGGTAACCTGTTGCAGGATCTTGGAGTTCCCGTGCTTGTTGCCAACCCCAATGTCGGCGGAAACCTACAGGATCACCTTGCCGCCAACTTCACGTTTCGGGCCAAAGAAGCAACGCTCAATGCCGTGTTGCGCCCCCTGGCGGGCCGGGCACGTGCCGCCCTTCAATATGCGGTTACACGAAAGGGTCCTCTTGCGTTGTCTGTGAACCAGTGCGGCGGGTTCCTGAAATCGCAATCCGGGTTGGAACATCCAGATCAACAGCTTTACTTCAATCCCATCAGCTATCGGCTGCTCCCGAACGGCAACACGGCAAAGCTGACCCTGGATCCCTTCAACGGCTTCATCATCTGTGCGCAACCGACCCGGCCAACCAGCCGGGGACGCATCGATATCAAAAGCGTGGACAGTACTGTTGCTCCCTTGATCCAGCCGAATTCGCTTGCAACGGAAGAAGATCGCGAAGCGGTCATTGCCGGCGGCCGGCTTTGCCAGAAAATCATGTCGAGCCAGGCCATGCGCTCTGTTGTGGACGCGTCCGTCGCACCTCATCTGGAAACGCTCGACGGCAAAGGAATTCTGGCCGATTTCCGCGACCGTGCCAGCACCGTCTATCATCCGGTCTCGACCTGCCGGATGGGTAAAAATGCAGAAACATCGGTGATCGACAGCCGTCTCAAGGTTCACGGAGTTGACGGTCTGAGAGTTGTCGACGCCTCTGCCTTTCCAAATATCACCTCGGGCAATACCAATGCCCCAACCATGATGCTTGCCCTGAAAGGGGCTGACCTCATCCTTCAAGACCGGAAACGAGCCACGCAATGACAGCTCATGACATCGCACAAGATTATCTGAAGACCGGCAGGCTTGCAGCCCTGCCCGATGGCCACTTCATTGACGGCAAGACCACGCAGCCATCGAACCGAAAAATGGAAAGCTTCGATCCAGGACGGGCGGAGGCCTTCGCGGAATTCTCCCTTGGTGAAGAGACCGACATGGATCTTGCCATTGCGTCAGCCGAAACAGCCGCACGGCACTGGCGGCAGGTGACGCCGGGCGAGCGTTGCAGGATCCTGAACAATGTCGCCCGCCTGTTTCGAGAGAATGCCGACCGGCTTTCAGTGATCGAAGTGGTCGACAGCGGCAAGACCCTGGCAGAAGCACAGGGCGACATTCAATCCTCCGCGCGGCTGTTCGAATATTACGCAGGCGCCGCCGACAAGCTTGACGGGCGGTCCGTCAATCTCGGGCCGGCCTACACAGCCTTTACCGTGCGCGAACCGGTCGGGGTTACCGGGCATATCATTCCCTGGAACTATCCAACATCGACCTTTGCGCGCGGTGTCGCACCTGCGCTTGCCGCAGGATGTTCGGTTGTTGCAAAGCCAGCGGAGACAACACCCTTCACCGCCCTCGTGATGGCAGAACTGCTCTGCGAGGCAGGTGTGCCGGCGGGGCTGGTCAATGTCGTCACCGGCCTTGGCGCGGATATCGGTGCCCGGATGGCACGTGACCCGCGGATCAAGCAACTGACGTTCACAGGGTCCGTTTCGACAGGCATCAATGTTGCCCAGATGGCAGCCCCCAACGTCACGCGGCTGACCCTGGAACTTGGCGGCAAGTCTCCCCTGATCGCCTTCAGTGATGCAGACCCTGAAAAAGTGGCGGACGGAGCCTACTGGGCGATCTTCTCCAATTCCGGTCAGATCTGCTCTGCCGGGTCCAGGCTCATCATGCACAAGGCGATCCGAGACGATGTTCTTGCCATTCTTGGTGAGCGGGCAAAGTCGATCAGGACAGCACACGGACTGACCGCACCGGATATGGGTGCGATCAACTCGGAGCTGCACTTGTCGCGGATCAAGGCGCATGTCGAAGCAGCGAAAGGCCGCGGCGCCCATCTTCTGACCGGCGGCGACGTGACGGTCGACACCGACACCGGCAAGGGCTGGTTCTTCCAGCCGACCGTAATTGCCGACCTTGAACCTGATGACCCGGCAGTACAGGAAGAGATATTCGGGCCGGTGCTCTCGGTTCAGAACTTCGACACCGAAGACGAGGCCATACAACTGGCCAACGGCACGGAATTCGGCCTGATCGCGAGCGTTTATACCCAGGATGTCGGCCGGGCAATGCGGGTCGCCTCGGCCATGGACTGCGGCCAGGTATCGATCAACGACTACTGGGCCGGCGGATTGGAACTGCCATTCGGCGGCAACAAGAAATCCGGCTATGGACGCGAAAAAGGCTGGGAAGGACTCGATGCCTATACCAAGGTAAAGTCGATCACGATCAGCAACGCCAGTTAGGTCAGGACCTGTTTGATGAAACTCGACCAAATCGAGACCTTCGTTGTCGGAAACCCGCCGCCTCGTCATGGCGGCCGGTATTTCATTTTCGTCAAGCTGGTCACACGTTGCGGTACAGTCGGCTATGGCGAAATCTACAACGCCACGTTCGGCCCGCATCTCGTGGCGGAAATGGCCAGAGATGTGTTCCAACGTCAGTTCGAGGGCGAAGATCCTCACCACATCGAGCGGCTCTGGCACAAGACCTACGGTGCCGGTTATACCCAGCGGCCGGATGTTTCCGTGATGGGAGTTCTCTCCGGTCTGGAGATGGCCTGCTGGGACATCATCGGAAAAGCGGCAGGCAAACCTGTTTATGAGCTACTTGGTGGCCGGGTTCACGAGCGTCTTCGGTCCTATACCTATCTCTATCCCAACGATGGTGACGTTTATCCGGATCCGGACACTCCAAATGTCTACAACAATCCCGACATTGCTGCCGCAGCAGCCATCAAGGCCGTCGAACAGGGCTTTACCGCGGTCAAGTTCGACCCGGCCGGACCCTACACGATCTATGATGGTCACCAGCCGAGCCTTCGGGATCTGGATCGCTCGGAAGGATTTTGCAGGGCCATCCGAGAGGCTGTCGGTGACAGGGCTGATCTTCTTTTCGGAACTCACGGCCAGTTCACCGTGTCCGGCGCCAAGCGCATGGCCCGCCGTCTGGAAGCCTATGATCCGCTCTGGTTCGAAGAGCCGATCCCGCCGGAAAAGCCGGAAGACATGGCCGAAGTTGCACGCTACACATCCATACCGGTCGCGACGGGTGAAAGGCTGTGCACGAAATACGAGTTTTCACGCGTACTGGACACCCGGGCCGCCAGCATTCTGCAGATGAATCTCGGCCGCGTTGGCGGCCTGCTCGAAGCCAAGAAAATCGCCGCCATGGCGGAGTGCCATTCCGCCCAGGTCGCTCCCCATCTTTACTGCGGCCCACTGGTAGCACTTGCCAATATCCAGCTGGCAACATGCAGTCCGAATTTCCTGGTACTGGAGTCGATCCGGACGTTCGATGGTATCTATTCCGATCTGCTGACCACCCCGATCCGATGGGAAAACGGCTACGTTCTTCCCTCTTGTGAACCCGGACTGGGGCATGATCTTGATGAAGACGTGGCCCGTGCACATCCTTATGAAGGCAACGAGTTACACCTGGGTCTGCAGGAAGATCCGGCCCGGCCACTTTGATGGAAATGACGTCGTGAACGGTCTGACACGTTAGTCGGGCAGAAAACGAAACAGTCCGGTCGGCCAGCCTCGTGGCGCGACGCGACTATGTTCCGTGTTTGCAAAAACGATGGGATCCGTCGGGCGAAGGGCCTGCCTGACATCTGGGACACGCTATTTGGGACATGCTATCTGGATTCGATTGCCTCCAAAATAATAGGTAGTCGCTGACCTTGCAGCATCATGTGATCCCTCATGAGATCATCAGCTTCCGCACCTTTGTTTTCAAGAATCGCCTCTGCGATTCTTGCGTGTTCCTCGGTTGACTTCTGAAGCCTTCCGCGCATCTGGAACGGCATCGCGCGATATGGGTTGATATGTCCGGCAAGCTGTTCGATCTGTTCAACAAGCCTGCTGTTGCCTGCTGCCAGATGAATAGACTCATGAAATGCCAGGTTGGCCTTTGCGTATGCGGTCTTGTCATCCCGGTTGACCGCGTCGCGGCACAACTGCATGGCCGTCTCGATCGATGAGGCGTCCTCACCGGTCAATCGCTCCGCTGCCAGGCGGCAAGCCATGCCTTCCAATTCGGCAGCGACTTCGAACAAGTCAATGAGTTCCTTTGCCGTCAGAACTCTTACGAAAGCTCCCTTTCGAGGCCTGGTTTCGAGCAACCCGCTGTCGACGAGAGATCTCACCGCCTCTCGAACGGGTGTGCGCGAAACATCGAAACGCTCGGCCAATGCAGCCTCTTCCAATTGATCCCCCGGTCGCAAGGCACCGGAACGAATTTCATTCCGCAGTGTCTCGATCAATTGGTCAGCAACGCGCGCCATCTTAGTCAATCCCTTGATTTCTGTCTCTTTTTAGACTGCGCCTTTCAGCTTGTCGATACGTGTGTTGACACATATGTATTTTTAAATTATCTATATGTATACATATAAGCCTTATTTGTACCAACAGGAGGAAGCTATCATGAAATCAACCCTGCTCGCCGCGGCTGCAATTGCCTCGATTTTTTCCACCCACTCCGCACAGGCATCGGAACTTCGCCTGTCGCATCAATGGTCCACCAAGGACATTCGCCACAACGTGGCACAGATGGTGGCGGACGAGGTTGCCGCCGCAGACGTGGATCTCACCATCAAGATCTTTCCATCAAAATCGCTGTTCAAACCGCGCGAGCAGTACAAGCCGCTCAGCAGGGGACAGCTCGACATGACGGTCTTTCCCCTGAGCTATGCCGGCGGCCAGCGACCGGCGTTCAACCTGACCCTGATGCCCGGTCTGGTGAAGAATCACGACCATGCGTCCCGCCTTTCGGACTCGCCCTTCATGGATGAACTGAAGGCGGAAATGGAGAAAGACGACGTCATGGTGCTCGTTGACGGCTATCTCGCCGGCGGTTTTGTCGGAAAGGACAAGTGCATCACCAGGCCGGAAGATGTTTCCGGGCTTCAGACCCGTGCAGCCGGAAAGTCCTTCGAGCAAATGCTGGTCGGCGCAGGCGCTTCGATTGCATCCATGGCATCGTCCGAAATCTACAGCGCGATGCAGACCGGAGTTCTGGATGCCGCGAATACCTCGTCATCATCTTTCGTGTCGTACCGGATATTCGAGCAGGTCAGCTGCTACACTCCGGCTGGCGATGTGGCGCTCTGGTTTCTCTATCAGCCATTGTTGATGAACAAGTCCACTTTCGAGGGATTGAACAGCAGTCAGCAGGAATCTCTGCTTGCAGCGGCCGAGAAGGCCGAGGCCTTTTATCTGAGCCAGGCAAAAATACAGGATGCCGCTTCAGTCGAAGTCTTTCGAGAAGCAGGCGTCGAGATTGCAGAGATGACACCAGCAGATTTCAAGGCCTGGCGCGCGCTCGCAAAAGACACTGCCTACAAGTCCTTCGTCGAGTCCGTGCCCAACGGACAGTTCCTGCTGGATTTGGCGCTTTCGGTCGAATGACCCAGTCGGGCGGCCTGACCCAGGCCGTCCATTCCTCAAAACGCAAATGGAGTGAAAAATGGCTCAAGAACGCACTGGTGGTGCGCGGGTCGGAGCGACCGGCGTCATAAGGCAGATTTCCGAAGTCTCCGGCTGGATCGCGGCGACCATGATCCTCGGCGCAGTGTTCCTCACCTGCCAGATGATCTTCATCCGCTTTGTTCTCAACGGCTCGACTGTTTGGCAGACCGAAATCGTCGTGTACCTGGTTGTCGCCGCAACGCTTCTCGGACTGCCCTTCGTCCAGAAGCACAAAGGGCACGTCAATGTTGACCTTCTGCCGATGTGGCTTGGGCCGAAGGGTGCCAAGCTGCTGAGGGTGGCAACCACCTTCTCTTCTCTTTGTATCATCGGCGTCTGCAGCTTCTACGGCTACGAGTACTGGCATCTTGCCCTCACCCGAGGCTGGACATCGGACACCGTTACCGCCGTACCGCTCTGGATTCCCTACCTGGCCCTGCCGGTCGGGTTCGGGCTTTTGTTTCTTCAGCTTGCATCGGATTGCGCGGATACGTTTTTCAACCTTTCCGAAAAATCGAATGGAGCAGTCTGATGGACCCTCTTCTACTCGGGTCAGTCGTCGGACTGATCACAATCCTGATATTGTTCAGCGGCATTTCGGTCGCCATGGGCCTGCTTCTCGTGTCTGCCGTTTTCCTGGTCATCTTCGATGGCATGAGATCTCTGGAACTGATGCCGGAAATATTCTTCGGCAAGCTCGACAGCTTTGCGCTCCTGTCTATCCCGATGTTCATCATCATGGGCGCGTCAATTGCCTCGACCAGAGCCGGTGCCGATCTTTATGAAGCGCTCGAACGCTGGCTGACGAGGGTTCCCGGCGGCCTTGTCGTCTCCAATCTTGGTGCCTGTGCGCTCTTTTCCGCCATGTCCGGATCCAGTCCCGCGACCTGTGCCGCAATCGGCAAGATGGGCATCCCGGAAATGCGCAAGCGCGGCTATCCTGAGGAAATCGCCACCGGGTCGATCGCCGCCGGCGGCACTCTCGGCATTCTCATTCCTCCTTCCATCACAATGATCGTCTATGGTATCGCCACCGAGACATCCATTGGACGGCTGTTTCTTGCCGGGGTGATCCCGGGCCTGTTGCTGGTAAGCCTCTTTATGGCCTGGTCGATCTATGCAACGTGGCGCTCAGGGGAACGATCGGCGGCACAAGTCAGCTATTCCTGGAGTGACAGGGTAGAGATCCTCCCGCGCGTTCTTCCCTTCATCGCGATTATCGTGGGTGTGCTCTACGCGATGTATGGCGGTGTTGCGACACCGTCCGAGACCGCCGCGGTCGGCGCTCTTCTGTGCCTGTTGGTTGCCATGGTGATTTACAGGCTCTTAAGCCCCAGGTCCCTTTGGGCAGTTCTGCGCGACAGCACCAAGGAGAGCGTGATGATCCTTTTCATCATCGCGGCCGCCGGCGTGTTTTCCTACATGCTGTCCAGTCTGTTCATCACGCAATCGATCGCCGCCTGGATCGGTGACCTTGAAGTCAACCGCTGGGTGCTGATGGCGGCGATCAATTTCTTCCTCATCGTAGCAGGGTTTTTCCTGCCACCGGTTGCAGTCATCCTGATGGCAGCCCCAATCCTCTTGCCGGTAATCGTCAGCGCCGGATTCGACCCGATCTGGTTCGCGGTGGTGCTGACCATCAACATGGAAATCGGGCTGATTTCCCCGCCGGTCGGCCTCAATCTCTACGTGATCAACGGAATCGCACCGGATATTTCGCTCAAGAAGATCCTGGTCGGGTCCCTGCCGTTCGTCCTCTGCATGCTTGTTGCGATTCTCCTGCTGTGCCTGTTCCCGGGTCTCGCAACTTGGCTTCCGGACCTCGTCATGGGACCCGCTTACTAAACCGGCCTCGAAAGGAGAAACATCATGACCAACTCATCAAAGTATCGCCGCATCGGACTGATTGTCCCAAGCTCCAATGTTACCATGGAAACCGAGATACCGGCCCTGCTGAAAGCGCGAGAGACGATCCTGCCGGACCGCTTCACGTTCCATTCCTCGCGCATGCGCATGAAGTCCGTCGTCAAGGAAGAGCTGGAGGCGATGGATGCCGACAGCCTGAGATGTGCGACCGAACTCTCGGATGCGGCCGTCGAAGTGCAGGCCTATGCCTGCCTGGTGGCCATAATGTCCATGGGTTTGGGTTATCATCGCACCTCTTCGGAAAAGTTGCACAAGGCTACTGCCGAAAGCGGTTGTCCAGCGCCTGTGTTGAATTCAGCCGGCGCGCTGGTAGAGAGTTTGCATGAGATGAGCTTCAAGAAAGTCGCAATCATCTGCCCGTACATGAAACCGCTCACCAGACTCGTTGTCGAGTACATCGAGAACGAGGGTATCGAAGTGCAGGATTTCCTGGCGCTGGAAATTCCCGACAATCTGGACGTCGCCTCTCAGGACCCGGCAGCGCCGGCCGAACTCTGGCGCAAGCTGGACGTGCGGGGCGTCGACGCGACGTGCAGATGCCATCGCTTCCGGCGATCGAGATGATCGAGCGTGCATCGGGGCTGCCTACCGTCTCGGCCGCTGTCGGCTTGCGTGCAGATGCCATCGCTTCCGGCGATCGAGATGATCGAGCGTGCATCGGGGCTGCCTACCGTCTCGGCCGCTGTGGCGACAACGCGCAAGATCCTCCAGAATCTGGGCCTGACCGAGGTTGCACCGGGCGGTGGCGCGCTCCTGTCGGGCGGGCAGCTCGCACGGCTTCCGAAAGTTGCCTGAGACCACCGAAAAGAGGGGCCTGGATGAGGCTGCGGATCAGGTCGAAACTCGCATTGATGCCGGCTTGGACGCTCGACAGGGCAGAGACCAAATGCGTTTTTCAGGAGCAATTCATAACCCCTCCGGCTCCGGAACGTCCGGCTCATCAAGCCCAAGGACAGACCACCCAAACAAGGACCGAGGCACCCGCGTTCGCATTTTGGCTGTTATTGTCGGTTGCCTCTTTCCAAATCATCGAGTTGTCGCCATGGTGCGCTGATGAGTGCCATGTTTGAAGAACTTGATTTTGCCCCCACGCCAATTGGCGCAATATCGCTGCGTCGGCGGCATATCCTGGCCTTGAAGACCGACGTCTTTGAAATCCTGCTCGGCGACGAGCATTTGATGTCGAGCCTTTTCACGGCCTCCGAAGTGGCGTTGGCCGAACTCGGCCTCTCCGCCTTGGCTGACGACAACCTGGATATTCTGGTGGGCGGTCTCGGCTTGGGTTACACCGCCCAAGCGGTGCTTGCGCATGATGCGGTGTCCAGGCTCACGGTGATCGATCTTCTGGAGCCGGTGATCCGCTGGCATCAGGAGGGGCTTGTGCCCATGAAAACCGAATTGGCCGATGATCACCGCTGCCGGCTGGTGCAAGGAGATTTTTTTGCGCTGGCATCTTCGGAAACCGGATTCGACGCACAACAGCCTGGTCGTCAATACGATGCCATTCTGATCGACATCGACCACACGCCGGAGCGGTTGCTGCATGGCGGGTCGGCCGGGTTCTATACTGTCGATGGCCTCAAAAACTTGCAGCGTTTCCTGAAACCCTCCGGGATTGTCGGGCTTTGGTCCGACGAGAGGCCTGATGAGGCGATAACCGGATTGCTTGGTGGCGCATTCGCACAAAGCTGGGCAGAGCCGGTTGTTTTCGCAAATCCCTTGCAGGATGGGCGCGAGATCACTCAAACAGTTTACCTGGGTCGCAAGGCACCAGCTGAGATCTGATACCGTTCCCTGTTTTCCGCCCCTAACTGGTATTGTCGTCCGGCCAACCCGATCTCGATCCGCGTCCTTGCTGCCTGCTACCTCACGTTCGAAAATGCCGAAGCGCACGACCGGCAGCAGGCACCACCAGGGTCAATATCGGATCAGGTGTTGCCGGTAAGGTCCTGTGCGAGCATCAAGGCATTGCCGTCCGGATCATAGAATGTCGCCGTCTTGACCATGCCCTCGACGACGTCGGTTTCGCCATCGAATTTCACCTTCGCCTGTTCCAGTTTGTTCCTGGCCGTGTCCAGATCCGCGATCCCGAAAACCGGAACGCAATTGCCGGGTGCCGGCTGGGTATGCTCCCCCAGCCCTATGGTCACTCCGGCGGTGTTGGTCTGAAGCTCCGACCAGCCCGCTTCGTCCGCATGATAGAGCACCTCAAACCCCAGCATCGTCCCGTACCAGTTCGCGCTTACGTGACGGTCCTTGACCGACATCGCAATCGTGATGGTTTGCTCCAACGAAATTAACGACATGATCTTCCCTTTCGACTCAAAATATACTAACTATACTTTATGGACATTAGTCATTTTGTCAACATCACGTCAAGGGCCTGGGCAGTCCCGATCCTGTCGAGCCTGCATGAAGGTGTTGCCGGTCGACAGGCACCATTGCTAACGGCAACCGGTGCGAGCAGATCGGCCTTTGCCCAAAGCATCGAGCATCTCATCAAGATGGGTTTGCTGGAAAGGAATCCAGGCCATGGTCACCCTCTGCGACCGGAGTTTCGCCTGACAAAGGCCGGTCAGGCAGCTGCTTCACTGGCAAACAGAATTCACATTGCATCAAAAAACGAAGATCAGAATTTGCTGCGGCGATCATGGACCATTCCCATTCTGACGTCGCTTCAAAGACCTCGTTACTTCAACGAAATCAAACGGGATCTGTCGACTATAACCGACAGGGCACTGTCACAATCCCTGAAAGCCATGGAGACCCGGCATTGGGTGCGGCGAAGCGTCAACGATGCCGCCCGTCCGCCCAGATCCCTCTATGAAACAATTAATTTCGGCAGTAAAGTCAGTCAGATAACTGGCACAGAGATCAATATTCCCACAAAATAGGGCAAGGGCAGCCGATCAATTCCGGGGTCGAATTTTTCTTAGCTCGGGATCTGAACTCGCAGTCGGGCATGTGCAAATCCCTGTCGTTCAAAGAACGCACAGGCAGCCTGGGAACCGCCCCTTATCGCCCCTGATTTTTAGCATTGCCCGGACGCTGTGCCTCCTCGTTACAAGTATCCGAAAGTCACATAGCGTCTCCGCGACAGCAATGTAGTCTTTACATACGACTTTGCGACGCGCTTTAATTTCAACAGCCAAACGTCTTGGACTCGATGGGAGGGGAGAGGACTTGCAAGCCACCGACACGACGAATCCGGAATATTTCCACAAGGTCGTCGACTGCCAATATGCCTGCCCAGCTCATACGCCGGTGCCTGCCTATATTCGCCTGATCGCTCAGCAACGATACACCGACGCCTATCTGATCAACTGGGAAAGCAACGTGTTTCCCGGCGTGCTCGGCCGCACCTGCGACCGGCCGTGCGAACCCGCCTGCAGGCGCGGCCGTGTCGAAGCGGAACCCGTCGCGATCTGCCGGTTGAAGCGTGTTGCTGCAGACTTCAAGGATGAAGTAGCCGACATGCTTCCCAAGGCCGGTCCTCCCAATGGCAAGAAAGTCGCGCTGATCGGTGCAGGTCCTGCGTCGCTGACGGTTGCCCGGGATCTTGCCCCCCTTGGTTACGAGGTGCACCTTTACGACGCGCAGGCCAAGGGCGGCGGCTTCATGCGCAGCCAGATACCCTCCTTCCGACTGCCAGAAAGCGTGCTGGATGAAGAAATCGGCTACATCCTGAACATGGGTATCTCGACAGTGTTCAACACCTATGTCGACAGCATGGCCGGGATGTTGACCAAGGGATACGACGCGATCTTCGTCGGCTCCGGTGCGCCGCGGGGACGAGATCTTCCCAAGCTGCCCGGCCGCAAGGAAGCTGACGCGAACATCCATATCGGAATCAACTGGCTGGCCAATGTTGCCTTTGAACATACAAAGGAGATCGGCAAGCGCGTGATTGTCCTTGGCGGCGGTAATACCGCCATGGATTGCTGCCGGACTTCGCGCCGACTTGGCGGGGAAGAGGTGAAGGTCATCGTCCGCAGCCCGTTCGCCGATATGAAGGCCTCGCCGTGGGAAAAGGAAGATGCTGTTCACGAAGGCATTCCGATCATCGACAACCACGTCCCGCGCGAATTCGTCATCGAGAAGGGCAAGCTCGTCGGCATGACATTCGACAAGGTCGAGGCGATCTACCAGGAAGACGGTCGGCGTGACCTGGTATCAACCGGGGAAGACCCGGTGTTTTTTCCATGTGACGATGTGCTGATCGCAATCGGCCAGGAAAATGCCTTCCCCTGGATCGAAAAGGAGACCGGCATCCGCTTCACCAGCTGGGGAACGCCGATCATCAACGACGACGAGACATTTCAATCCACCCGAAAAGAAGTTTTCTTCGGCGGCGATTCAGCCTTTGGACCTTCCAATATCATCACCGCCGTGGCGCATGGGCACAAAGCGGCGGTATCCATCGACCTTTATTGCCAGGGCAAGAACCTGTCCAAGCGACCGCCACCCCACGTGACCCTGGTGGGACAGAAGATGGGTATTCATGAATGGAGTTATGATTCCATTCCAATCACGGACGAGCGCAAGATTGTGCCGCTGGAGGATCTCAAGAAATCCCTGAACGACCGCATGGTCGAAGTCGAACTGGGTTTCGATGTCGAGACCGCCTTTATCGAAGCCGAACGTTGCCTGAATTGCGATGCGCAGACGGTGTTCACGGACGCCAACTGCATCGAGTGCGACGCCTGTACGGACATTTGTCCCACAAGCTGCATAACGTTCACGCAGAACGCTCCTGAAGGCGAACTGCGCAACAAACTTCTGGTTCCGGCCGAAAACACCGATCAGGATCTTTATGTTTCCGGCACTCTGCCGACCGGCCGCGTGATGGTGAAGGATGAAGATGTCTGCCTGCACTGCGGGTTGTGCGCCGAACGTTGCCCGACGGCAGCCTGGGACATGCAGATGTTCCTCTACAACATGGCGAAAGCGACGCCTGACCTGGTGGACGTCAAATGAAGCAGATCAAGGGTATCAACGATTTCGTGGTGAAGTTCGCCAACGTAAACGGTACAGGTTCGGCTTCGGCCAACCATCTGTTCGCGAAAGCGATTTTCCGGATGGGTGTCCCCGTCAGCCCGCGCAATATATTCCCGTCCAATATCCAGGGCCTGCCAACCTGGTACGAGGTGCGCGTCAGTGCAAAAGGTTATCTGGGCCGCCGTGGTGGCGTTGATCTGATGTTGTGCGTCAATCCGCAAACGATGGAAGACGACATCGCCAGCATCGCGTCCGGGGGATATTTCGTCTACGATTCCACCAGACCGCTGGCACCGCATCTCAAACGCGACGACATAAGTTATTTCGGTATCCCGCTGACCGCGATGTGCATGCGCGAGTTCAAGGTTGCGCGATTGCAGCAACTTTTGAAAAATGTTGTCTATGTGGGTGCACTTGCGGCTCTGCTGGATGTCGATTTCTCGATCCTCAAGGACCTGTTGAACGACCAGTTCAAAGGCAAGGAAAAACTGATCCTGCCAAATGTCCATGCGCTGGAAATGGGGTATCAGTTCGCACAGGACAACTTTTCCTGCCCGCTGCCGATCCGGCTGGACTCCAGCGTGATTGACGCGCCGCATATCCGCGAAAGCAAACACATCCTGATGAATGGCAATACAGCCGCCGCCCTTGGCGCAATCTATGGCGGGGCGACGGTTGCGGCATGGTATCCCATTACCCCTTCGACATCCGTGGTCGACGCATTTTCCAAATATGCCGAACGAATGCGGATCGACGCGGGCACCGGCAAACGGAACTTTGCGATAATACAAGCGGAAGACGAACTGGCGGCCATGGGTATCGTCGTCGGTGCCAGCTGGAATGGTGCGCGGGCATTTACCGCCACCTCCGGCCCGGGCCTTTCGTTGATGAGCGAATTTCTGGGCCTGGCATACTTCGCGGAATTGCCCGTCGTGCTGATCGATGTCCAGAGATCCGGACCGTCGACCGGAATGCCGACGCGAAGCCAGCAATCGGACATATTGGCCGCCGCATATGCCAGCCACGGCGACACCAAGCACGTGCTGCTCTTCCCCGCGACGCCGCGGGAGTGCTTTGACATGACGGTTCAGGCCTTTGACCTTGCAGAGCAACTGCAAACACCGGTTATCATGATGTCCGATCTCGATCTGGGCATGAATGACTGGATGTCGCCGCCGCTGGAATGGGACGACGATTACGAGATGAGCCGAGGAAAGGTCCTGGACGCCGAAGCGCTGGACGAGGCTGAATCGTGGGGACGCTACCAGGACGTCGATGGCGACGGTATCTGCTATCGTACACTGCCTGGCGCGCATCCGGACAAGGGCGCATTCTTCACGAGGGGATCGTCAAAAAATGAAATGGCGATCTATTCCGAGAAAGGCGAAGATTACGTCCGGAATGTCGATCGGCTTTTGCGCAAGTTCGAGACCGCAAAATCCTATGTTCCAGAACCCAAGGTTCACGACCCGATCCCGGTAAAGAAGCCGAAAACCAAACTGAAGCTTGGTGCGCTCTTCTTCGGGACCTCGGCCTCGCCGTCTTACGAGGCGGTTGAAATACTGGCTGAAGAGGGCTACCCGATCGACGTCATGCGGATCCGCGCCTTTCCTTTCCACAAACGTCTCGACGCGTTCGTTCACGACCACGACATGGTTTTTGTGATCGAGCAAAACCGGGATGGTCAGATGCGGCAGCTCATCATGAACGAGTGCCATATCGCGCCCGACAAGTTGACTTCGGTTCTCAACTACTCGGGGACACCGATCACGGCGCGCACGATCGCCCGTCAAATCCGTCAGGCGTTGAATGTCGATAGCGCCGATATCGTCGAGCTGCATCCGGAGATTGCCTGATGTCCTATTACAAGCCGAAATTCCAGCATCCCAAACTCCCCAAAAACGAGCTGGGCTATACGGTCGCCGACTACGATGGTGCCGTTTCCACGCTTTGTGCGGGGTGCGGGCACGACAGCATTTCAGGTGCAATCCGAAACGCCTGTTTCCTGTCGGCAATCCCCCCTCACCGCATCGCAAAGCTTTCCGGCATCGGCTGTTCCTCGAAGATGCCCACATATTTTCTTGGCAAGAGCCACGGCTTCAATTCCGTGCATGGCCGCATGCCGTCCGTTGCGACCGGTGCCAGTGTCGCCAACCGTGATCTGATCTATCTCGGTGTGTCCGGTGACGGCGACACGGCCTCGATCGGCATGGGTCAGTTCGTTCACCTGATCAGACGCAACGTGAACATGACCTACATTGTCGCCAACAACGGCTGCTATGGATTGACCAAGGGTCAGGACAGCGCCACTGCAGATCTCGGGTCAGTCGGCAAATACGGTGTAAAAAACCCGTTTGACGGTATCGACCTGGCCAGTCTCGCGGTTCTGCAAGGGGCAAGTTTTGTCGCACGCAGTTTCTCGGGCGACAAGGAACAGCTGGAGCCCCTGATCCGAGCCGCGATGGCTCACAGGGGCTTTGCCTTCATTGATGTCGTTTCTCCCTGTGTCACCTTTGCCAACAATGTCGGCTCGACAAGAAGTTACGCCGCCACCCGTGACAATCTGGATGCAATGCCGATCGACTTCGTGCCGATGCGCGAAGAGATTCGAACTCAATACAAGGAAGGCTCAAGTCAGACGGTGACACTGCACGATGGCTCCATTATCCATCTGCACAAGGCGAGCAGAAAATACAAGCCGGACAGCCGGGAGGACGCCCTCATGGCCTTGCAGACAGCCAATCGCACCGGAAAGGTTCTGACCGGGCTGCTCTACCTCGACACCGACTCGCAGGATCTCAACCACACCCTGGCACTCGCAACCAAGCCGCTGAACAGCCTGGGCAAGGATGAACTGTGTCCCGGAAGCCGGGTGTTGAAAAGCATCAACGAAGGACTGCGATAGTCCCCGGTCGGGTGGAGACCTGCTCCCGGTACGGTTCTCCACCACACATTCAGCTCCGGTAACGAGAAAGAGGACGCAATGCCGTGGAAGCACGGTGTCCGCTGACTGCACATTGCAATGTCTTCGGCAAGCAAGCCTGGTGGGGCATGCTTGCCACCGATCCTTCTTGTCGAGGTCAGGGGCTCGCGCTTGATCTTGGTGCACAGGCTATTTTGGAGATGAACTCAGATTTCGGTGTCAAAGATTTCATGACGGGCGTTCAACCAGGAAATGCCGCTTCGGAAGCTGTTTGCGGGCGTATGGGCCTCGTCCCGGGGAAATTCGCCAATGTCGGGTGCGCCGACCCGCAAGCATTGGCAAATGGCCGGATGACGAAACAGGATCATCCCGTGTCGAACTGACTTGCGAGGCGGCCCTGCCGGCCACCTCGTTTCCCCCTCAGCCAACCGGCCCGGAAGCCGTGTTTGTCGTCAGGCAATCTTCGCCTTGAACTCGCTCCGGCGACGATGAAGAACCGGTTCCGTGTAACCGTTCGGCTGGCGTGTTCCATCGATCACCAGTTCGCAGGCGGCCTGAAAGGCGACGGACTCGTCATAGTTTTCAGACATCGGACGGTAAGCCGGATCACCGGCATTCTGGCCATCCACGACAGCTGCCATCCGTTTCATGGTTTCCATGACCTGGTCCCTTGAGACCACGCCGTGATGCAGCCAGTTGGCGATGTGCTGCGACGAGATCCGCAAGGTTGCCCGGTCTTCCATCAGCCCGACATTGTTGATGTCCGGCACCTTGGAACAGCCGATCCCCTGCTCAACCCAGCGCACGACATAACCCAGAATACCCTGGGCGTTGTTGTCGAGTTCCGCCTGGATATCCTGTGGTGTCCAGTTCGGGCGTTCAGCCACAGGAATGGAAAGAATATCCTCCAGCTTCGCGGATTCACGAGATTTCAGCTCTGCCTGCCGCGCCGAAACGGAAACCTTGTAGTAGTGAAGTGCGTGCAACGTTGCCGCCGTCGGGGACGGAACCCAGGCAGTGTTTGCGCCCGACATCGGGTGACCGATCTTCTGTTCCAGCATGGCCTGCATCAGGTCCGGCATTGCCCACATTCCTTTTCCGATCTGGGCATGACCCGGCAAGCCGCAGGCAAGACCGACGTCTACATTGTTGTTTTCATAAGCGCTAATCCAGGTCGAGGTCTTCATGTCACCCTTGCGGATCATCGGACCTGCTTCCATGGATGTGTGCATTTCGTCACCGGTGCGGTCGAGGAAGCCGGTATTGATGAAGAACACACGGTCCTTTGCCTGGCGGATACATTCCCCCAGGTTGAGTGTCGTGCGACGCTCTTCGTCCATGATGCCCATCTTGAGCGTATTGCGCTCCATGCCCAGCGCATCCTCTACCCGATCGAAAAGCCGGGACGCGAACGCGACTTCTTCAGGCCCGTGCATCTTGGGTTTTACGATATAGACGGAACCTGAACGGCTGTTGAGATTTCCACCGTTCGGGCCGATGTCATGCAGCGCGATCAGCGACGTGATCATGCCGTCGAGCATACCTTCCGGCACTTCGTTTCCGTCTTTGTCCAGAACAGCGTCAATGGTCATAAGATGCCCGACATTGCGAACCAGCAGAAGCGAGCGGCCGTGAAGTGTCAGCGCGCTGCCGTCGGGCGCCGTGTAGTGCCGGTCGGCATTAAGCCGGCGCGTCACCTCTTTGTCTCCCTTGCGGAAGGATTCTTCCAGATCACCCTTCATCAACCCGAGCCAGTTGGTGTAAATGACGACCTTGTCTTCCGCGTCGACAGCTGCGACCGAGTCTTCGCAATCCATGATCGTGGACATGGCCGATTCCAGAACCACATCGGACACATGTGCCTTGTCGGTCTTTCCGATCGGATGCTGCGCATCGATGTTGATTTCCAGATGCAGGCCGTTTTTCACCAACAGGATCTTGTATGGTGCTGCCGTCTCGCCCGAGTAACCGGCAAACTGAGACGCATCTTCCAGGGTGGTCTCACCATTTTCTGTCGCGATTTTCAGGACTTCGTTCTGAATGCTGAAACCGGTCGCATCCGACCAGCTTCCCGCAGCAAGAGGAACCGCTTCATCGAGTACGTTGCGGGCGTAGGCAATCACGTCCGCAGCACGTGCCATGTCAAATCCACCGGCTTGCGGTTTCGATCCCATGGCGTCGGTGCCATACAGCGCGTCGTACAGTGATCCCCAGCGGGCGTTCGCAGCGTTCAGTGCGTAGCGCGCGTTCATGACAGGTACGACCAGTTGTGGGCCGGCGACAGTTCCGATTTCCGGGTCCACCTTGTCAGTGCCAACCGCAAAGCCTTGGCCCTGTGGCACAAGATAACCGATTTCGCTCAGAAACGTCTTATATGTCGCCATCTCCGGTGTGCCCGGATTCGCCTTGTGCCAGGCATCGACCTTTTCCTGAATTGCATCGCGCTTTGCCAGAAGATCCCGGTTTTCTGGAGCCAGATCATGAACCAGTGCCGAAAGGCTCTTCCAGAAATGATCCTGATCTACACCCGTTCCGGGCAGGGCCTGTTCATTTACAAACTCGAATAGTTCGTTGGCAACTTGCAATCCATGGGCGTCTGTACGGGCGGTCATAATTGTCTCCACGCGATGGGCTCGTGTCATGTTGTATGAATGTGTGTTTTGGGGGCAAAGCGGGTCATCGTCAATTGCACGACAGCACTCATGACTTTTTCCATTTTGGAAATAATACAGATTATTATCTCCATCATATTGTCTTCCAGGTAAAGAATGGGCTTTTCGTCTTCTCCGCAATCCGGTACCGGTGACAACTCTGCCAGGATTTCCTCACAAGGCTCTTCATGTTCGCGATTGCAAGACGATTTGGTGACCTCACCTATGGCAATGCCTTTGTCATGCTGACGCTGACAACCCTGTTCTGGGGAGGCAACACCATCGCAGGCCGCCTCGCTGTCGGTGAAGTGTCCCCCATGATGGTCGTGTTTCTGCGCTGGCTGATCGTCGCGGCTATTTTCGTCCCCTTGTTCTGGTCCAGAATACGATCCGACTGGCCTCTCATGCGTCCCTATTTTGCACGCATGATCCTGATGGCCGCCTTCGGCTTCGTCGGCTTCAATTCGCTTTTCTATATTGCCGCCACCCAGACCACTGCAGTCAACCTGGGCATCATCCAGGGGTCGGTGCCGATCATTGTTCTGATTGGCTCTGTGATCGCATTCGGAACAAAGGTCCGCGTTTTGCAGGTGCTGGGAATTCTGCTGACGCTTGTGGGAGTGACCATAATCGCAGCCCAGGGCAGCCTCGATGTCCTTCTTGCGCTGGCCGTCAACCCGGGTGACGGCTACATGCTGTTGTCCTGCGTTCTGTATTCCGGGTATGCGCTTGCGCTCAGGGACAGGCCGAAAATCTCGGGGCTGACATTCTTTGCGGTGCTTTCCGGCATCTCCGTCCTTGCCTCGATACCGGGGCTCATTTTCGAGGTTTCGACCGGAACAGCTCAATTGCCTTCGTTCGACGGATGGCTCGTGGTTCTCTATATCGCGGTCTTTCCGTCGTGCCTTTCCCAGATTTTTTTCATGCGCGGTGTCGACCTGATCGGCCCGGCACGGGCCGGTGTTTTCGTCAACCTCGTTCCGATCTTCGCGGCGGCCCTTGCCGTAACCATCTTGAATGAGCCTTTCAAATGGCACCACGGTGTCGCGCTCACGATGGTGCTTGGCGGGATCTGGCTTTCAGAACGGAAGGCAGGGCGCGGGAATTGAACGTACAACCCAACTAAAAACGCGGCGAATTTGATATCGCCTCATTCGCAAGGCACAGTGCGTTTATGGAAACACCTTTAATTACAGGCGCCTTCGCGCTTTTATTGATAACGATCTCACTATTGCAACCGCTCGCCCGGCGGCTGGGGCTTGCCCCAAGTGTTCTGCTCGCCATCGTGGGAACGCTGATCGGAATTTCGGCGACCTATCTTTTTTACACAAGCCACACCAACCGCTTCGACGATTTTGCCCAAATCTTCGCGGATCCTCCCCTGGACTCGGAGATGATCCTCTACATGTTCCTGCCGCTCCTGCTGTTTCAGACAACTCTGACACTCGATATCAGGCGTATCCTGGAGGATATTGTTCCGATCCTGGTCATGGCGGTCGTGGCGGTGTTCGTGGCAACCGGATTTATCGGTTTTGCGCTCTTTCCGCTCACGTCGTACTTTCTGTCGCCTGAAATAACATTGATCGTCTGTCTCCTGCTGGGGGCGATTGTCGCGACGACCGATCCGGTTGCCGTTGTCGCGATCTTCCGGGATATCGGTGCCCCTGCAAGGCTGGGTCGGATCGTGGAAGGCGAAAGCCTCTTGAACGATGCCGCCGCCATCGTGATTTTCGTCATCCTGCTGGGAATTTTGACGCAACAGCAATCGCTCACGCCGGGTGAAGCTGTGGTTGCCTTCGGTCGTTCTTTTGTCGGTGGCCTGCTTGTCGGTGCGGTTCTGGCGCGCATTGCCGTCAGCCTGTTGTCCCTGATGCGCGATCTGCCGCTTGCCCAGGTTACGCTGAGCCTTGCGCTTCCCTACGGCACCTACGTGCTGAGCGACCAGTTTGTCGACGTTTCAGCTGTCGTGGCCGTTGTCTGTGCAGGAACCATATTCAACCTTTATGGGCTTGCGCGTATTCAGCCCGCCAGCTGGCAGTTTCTTCATGCTGTCTGGGAACAGCTGTCCTTCTGGGCTGCCTCACTGATCTTTCTGCTGTCCGCGATCCTGATCCCGAAACTGGTGGCGGGGTTTGCTCCGATCGACATCCTCCTGCTCATCGTGGTGATTGTCGCCTCGCTAGCAGCACGGGCAGTCGTGATATTCGGGCTGCTGCCTGTTATGAGCCTGTTCGGTGCGGGACAGTCGGTCAGCAACAAGTACAAGACCGTCATCCTTTGGGGTGGAATGCGCGGTGCGGTGACCCTGATCCTCGCACTCAGTGTTTCCGAACACGCCATTCTCTCCGAAGAGGTGTCCGGGTTCGTGACGAAGCTTGCAACCGGCTTTGTCCTGTTCACCCTGCTCGTCTACGGAACCAGCCTTAAGCCGCTGATCCGCCTTCTCGGGCTGGACCAGCTGAACGCAAGGGACGAGGCTCTCAGGACGCAGTTTCTGTCACTGGCCCTCTTGGATGTGCGTTCCGAACTCGAGACGGCTGCGAAAAGCTATCATATCAACGAACGCGTGACGACGAACGTTCTCAAGGGCTACGAGAACCGGGCTGCCGCGGCCGCTTCGGAAACGAACAAACTGGAAGAACTCAAGGACTGGGACCGTGTGCGCATGGGTCTCATCGCCCTTGCAGATCGTGAACAGCAACTCGTTCTGGAACATTTTCACGAAAAGACGATCTCCGGTCGCGCTGTCTCACGGTTCCTGACCCTGACCGGACGGACAGGCGACCTGACCCGCAGCGACGGCCGCTCCGGCTATAACAAGGCAACGCGGCAACCCTTGAAGTTCGGCTTCGGCTTCAGGCTGGCACAGACGCTTCAAAGACGATTGCGGATCACCCGGCCCCTTGCCAATCAACTCGCCGACCGTTTCGAGTTTCTGCTGATTTACCGGATACTTGCCGATGAACTGGTTGATTTCAACGACAGCCGCATCCGTCCCTTGATGGGAGACCGCGTCGCCGACATTCTTCTCGATACTCTCAGCCTGCGGCAGGATGAAACGATCCAGGCGATTGATGCGCTGCGACTGCAATATCCGGATTATGCCGACTCGCTCGAAGGCCAGTTCCTGTTAAAGGCCGGTGTGCGGCTGGAAGAAACGGCCTATGACGAAGCCAAGGGCCAGATGCTGATCGGCACCGAATTGCATCGGGACCTGTTGCGAGATGTTGAAAGGACGAGAAGAACGAGCCACACGAGGCCAAAGCTTGATCTGGGTCTGAAGACCGGTGACCTGGTGAGCGCGCACCCTCTGTTCAAGGATCTGCCCCGCAAGCAGCAGAAGGCTATCCGGCGAATGATGCGGCCCCAATTCGCAACCCCACGCGAGAAGCTGATCCGTCGGGGCGACCGGGGTGATGCAGCCTATTTCATCGCCTCGGGAGCAGTGGAAGTTCAGGCACCCACGCACAGCGTTCGTCTCGGGCGAGGCGATGTCTTCGGGGAAATCGCACTCATGACCGGTGGACGGCGCAGTGCCGACGTTGTCGCGCTTGGCTATTGCCAGTTGCTGAGTCTCGGCGCTCATGATTTCAAGTCCCTGATGGAGCAGCACCCGGACTTGCGCGAACACGTTGTGGCGCTGGCCACCAATCGGCAGCTGATGAACACGGACAAGGCCGAACACGAAATCGAAGACCCTGTCGTTCCCCAATTCACACTAGACGACCCACCTGAAGACCAGATGTCTGAAAATGACGAAGGCGGGAACATGGACGGCGATCTGGATCAATCGACAAGTGAACTGCCGGAGGGTCCAGAAACTGACACCTCGACGGTGGAAATAAAGATCACTGAAGAGATCAAGGTGACCGAAACCATCAAGATCGCCGAAGACAAGGAACTGCCTGACACGCATCAGGACAGTGATACGGACGCTGACGAAAAGACAGGCAATGTTACAAAAAAGGAGACCGCATCCGGGTGATGCGATCTCCAAAGCCGATACGGTTCCGGCGTCTTATCCCGCCTTTTGAATTTCGACCGAATGCGGATAGGGGATAGAGATGCCCCCGGCGTCGAACGCTTCCTTGACCGCCTTGAGCATGTGGAACTTCAGTTCCCAGTAGTTTTCGGCGGCACACCACAAACGCACGCCCAGATCGACCGAGCTGTCACCGAGATTGGTCACGCGCACCCACGCCTCCGGGTCCTTGTGTACGCGCTCGTCCGCATTGGCGACATCCAGGATGATCTGGATCGCCTTGTCGACGTCGTCGCCGTAGTCGATGCCAAAGGTGAGGTCCAGCCGCCTCGTGTCATGTGCCGAATAGTTGGTCACGACCGACCCCCATGCCTGGCCGTTCGGCATGATGATCTGGACATTGTCCGGTGTCACGAGTTCGGTCACGAAGATGTTGAGATCCTTCACCGTGCCGGAGGTTCCGCCAACGTCGACAAACTGGCCGATCCTGTAGGGCCGGAAGATGATCAGCATCACCCCGGCCGCGACGTCACTCAAGGTTCCCTGCAACGCCAAGCCGATCGCCAGCGTACCGGCGCCGAGCACCGCGACCAGGCTGGTCGCCTCGATGCCGAACAACTGCAGGACAGCTATCAAAGTGATCAGCAGGACCAGCCAGCGAACGATCGACGCGGCAAAACCGCCAATCGTGTCGTCGATCTGAGGGTGGCTGACAATCCGTCGCCGCACCAGTCCGGACAGCATACCTGCGACTATCCAACCTATGATCAGGACAACGACGGCTTTTGCCGCGTTGATGAGAAGCGGAGCGTAAGCACTCACCTGATCCATTGCGCCTTCCATGAAGCCCCTCCTTGATAACCGAGCCTAACGATAATGTTTCAATACCGGACTGAACGACCAACCAAAACAACCGGTCCTTCCACCGGAAATTGGGGGCGGACCAAGCCGTCCACCCCCAAACACTACTAGCGGCTAGCGTCCCGCCAGTCTTCGAGAAACTGCACCATATCCTCGTTGCCACACCCTGCAATGAAGTTCGGATAAAGAACACTGCCTGCTTCCAGGAGCAGTCGAGCGCACGCCAAGTGATCCGCTTCCGGTCTTTTGGGGGCAAATTCCGAACCGTGAATGACAGTATCGAGTGCATCCCCGCCGTAGTCATTCTTGCGGGTCAGGTCCGGGCCGAGTGACAGAAAGTAAGCCATTTCTTCGCGGAGCCCGTTCCAACCGGCCACATGCAAGGGTGGCAAGCCCATGCTGTCCGTCACATCCGGGTCCAGTCCGGCTGACACCAGCCGTTGCATGTGACCGAGATTACCGGGAATGAAGGCAAGTCGCGTCAAAAGTCCCTTGTCCTCGTCGCTCAGATGCGTGACATCCAGAGGACCCGGCGCAGGACCGTTGTCAGCGCACGCGGCGAGAACCAACTCGTTCCGGTCAAGCGGTTCGGCATATCCCTTCTGGTCCAGAAATGCGGCAACCGGTCTGTTTCCGTAGATCATCGCCATGGCGTAAGGGGTGTGACCGTCCCAGCGGGCAACCGGGTCGGCGCCAAATTTCAGCAACAACTCGACGATTTTCACCGAGCACCCCCGTCGCGCTGCCTGATGGAGCGATGGAATCGTGTTCATCGGTTGCCCGCTCGGGTGGTCAGGCACGGTCAGATTTGGGTCGGCTCCCGCTTCCAGCAACAGACGGACCATCTCCGCGTTGTCGAAATCGAGTGCGCGTGGCAACGCGTTGGTACCATCAGGCTTGGCCCCGTGCCTCAGGAGCAATTCAAGCGCTTTGGTATGTCCAAGTTCGGTGCTGTGATAAAGGCTTTCGTCGTCGTTCGGATTGGCACCTTGTTCCAGCAACCATCTGCCGAGAGCAAAATTGTCCGCGTGGCAGAGTGCTCCGTAAAGCGCAGACAGTTTGTAGTCACCCTCTGGCTCCGGAGAATAACCTTCGTCCACATCGGCTCCGTGGCTGATCAACAAATCGGCTACCGCGATCATGTCTGTTGATTTTTCAGGCCTGCGATGAATGTCTTTTGAATAGGCCAGGTGAAGAATTGGAGACCGGATGCCAACAACGCGGGTCGCCGCCGAAGCATCTGTCTCGATTGCTGCGCGGACGGCTTCAAGATCGTAAAGTGCAATCTGGAGGCCCAGATTGTCATTCTTGAGGTCCGGATCGCCCTGAAGCAGTTTCTCCGTTACCCAATGCTGGCCGAAATATAGTGCCACCTTGAGCCGTTCGGCACGCTGTGCCCGGCTCATGGCTCCGCTTTCGATCGCAAATTTCAGTTTTGGCCAGCTTTCATGGCCTCCTTCTCGCGCGATTACGTGGAGAAAGTCAGCATGCCTGAGCTTCTTCTCAACGCTCACGTGTTTCACAACACGCGCAATCGCTTCCGGATCACCTTTGGCATGCGACTTGCGCAACCGGCGCGCCGCATTCTTGAAATTTTCGAGTTCCTGGAAATTGCCGTCCGACATGGCTTTTCTCCTGTTCAAACTGCCCGGGCGATCCGCTGGGTTCGGGCGCAGGTGAAAAACCGGCTATCATCGTCGTGTGTCAGGGTACTTTCGCTTTCCGCGGATCCGGCTGCCGCCCTCGTCGGCACCTAAAAGCTGCATGAACGAGCCGCGGAATGCAAGCCCGTTCACAGGTGATGACCATCATTCAATCCTTGGCCGGTCCAAGATCGGCCGGCGCGTCGACGTCCTCGGGGACGAAGAAATCCGGCGCAAGTGCAAGACTGGGGTCGACCCGGTACTTGTCAAAATCGGTGACACCCCTGCTTGCCAGGAATGTATCGTCGATCACGAACTGACCGGTAAAATCTCGTGAGGGCGAGACGAAGATTTCATGGGCCGCATCTGCAAGAATGTCCGGCGTACGGCTCTGCTGCATCATCTTGTCGCCGCCGATAATGTTCTTGATCGCTGCCGTTGCGATGGTCGTCCTCGGCCAGAGCGCGTTCACCGCAATCCCCTTGGATCTCAATTCCCCGGCAAGGCCAAGAACAACGAGGCTCATTCCGTATTTGGCGATGGCGTAAGGCGTAAAGGGTGCAAACCACTTTTCCTGCATGTCGAGTGGTGGCGACAACATGAGGATATGCGGGTTGTCGGCGTTTTTCAGATGCTCAATCGCGTGTTTGGAACAGGCCATTGTCCCACGCGTGTTCACCTGGTGCATCAGATCGAACCGTTTCATGTCGGTCTGCTGCAGGGGCGTCAGCTGAATGGCGCTCGCATTGTTGACCAGAATGTCCAGGCCTCCGAAATGGTCCGCCGTCCTGTCTATTCCCGCCTTGACAGCTTCATCGTCGCGTACGTCAAGGACAAGTGGCAGCGCCTTGCCACCTGCAGCCTCGATCTCTTCGGCTGCCGTATAGATCGTGCCTTCGAGTTTCGGATGCGGTTCGGCCGTCTTGGCCGCTATTGCGATGTTTGCACCGTCCCTGGCTGCCCGTAGCGCAATCGCCTTGCCGATACCGCGCGAGGCGCCGGTGATGAAGAGTGTCTTACCCTTCAAGGACATGATTTTCTCCTCCAGAGTGTCGCCATGGCGGCGATGGTTTGATTGTGCTGATCATTCATCTCGCGTTTCGTGTCCGTGCACCATTCCGGATTGTAGCGCGAGCGGCAATGTCGGCATCCGGCAAGCACTTGGCAACAGTCCGACCGGAGCACGTTCATCGCCTGCATTCATTGTCAGGTCAGGCCTTCTTTTTCGACATGAAGGCCTGGAACGCGGCGATTGTTTCAGGTGCCGTCAAGCGCTCCGCAAAGATCCTGATTTCTTCTTCGACCCGTTCGGAAACGGCCTGCGTGTCTCCTCGCAAAAGTTTTCGCGACAAGGCCATGGCTTCCGGTGGCTTTGCCGCAATCTGCCTGGCGCAGGACAGCGCGGCAGTCTCGACGTCTTCTTCCACGATTTCGTTGACCAGTCCGATCTGCGCAGCCTTGTCCGCCGTCATTGGATTGCCCAGACACAGCAATTCAAAAGCTCTTGCGTGACCCATGAGTTGCGGACCGAGCAGGCTGGATCCGGCTTCCGGCACCAGTCCGAGATCGACAAACGGTGACCGGATAAAAGCGCGCCGGCTGGCAAATACCATGTCGCAATGCATCAGCAAGGTGGTGCCGACCCCAATCGCAATGCCGTCAACAGACGCGACCAGCGGCTTTTCGTTGCGCACGAGCGCGCGCAGGAAGCGCACAACCGGCGTCTCCGAGATTGCGACCTTGCCTGCATACTGAAGGAAGTCACCAATATCGTTGCCCGCTGTAAACACGTCCGGCTGCCCGCAGATGAGATGACACCGCACCTCGCCATCCGTGTTTCCTGTTTCCAACGCTTCGGCAAGCTCGGTGTACATGGCGCCCGTCAAGGCGTTTTTCTTTTCGGGCCTGTCCAGACGCAGGATCTGAACGCCGTCTTGCAGGCTTTTGCGGATCATTCCAATACTCCGATCAGGCTGTTCAGGACGCAAGGGCTTCGGCGTCAAAGGCCTGAATGGCTTCGGCCGACAAAACGATATCCGACTTCAGGCCTGCCGTTTCGCCGAGCACCGTTTCACAGAAACTCCGAGCCAGGAGCGTCCGTTCCGCCAAACGCGCGGCCGGCTCCGACACGGATCGCAGCGCCCCCTTAGCCAGCAGTGCGCCGCCCAGTGAAAGGCCCGCGACACGCAGATACGGCGTCGCACCGGAAAGTGCGTCCGCAATCCGGCCTTCGGCCTGAGCTGAAAGCATGAAGTCGGTGGCCTCTTCAAGATCTCGAATGCTTGCGTTCAGCCGGTCTGCGGTCGCACCGAATTCTGGGCGATTTGATGCCGCAACCTCATCTGCGATCGCCTTGAGTTCTGCGATAAAACCGTTGATCTGAGTGCCACCCGATAGTGGCAGTTTACGCATAACGAGGTCGATCGACTGAATGCCGTTCGTCCCCTCATAGATTGGTGCAATGCGGGCATCGCGCAGGTGCTGCGCGGCACCGGTTTCCTCGATGTAACCCATACCGCCGTGAATTTGGACGCCAAGTGACGCCACTTCAACGCCGAAGTCTGTTGAGAGAGCCTTGGCTATCGGTGTCAGAAGACCAGCACGTTCGTTCCAGAATGTTCGTCCCTCGTCGTCGTCCGCGATATTGGTCATGTCGATGGCATGCGCGCAGGCGTAACAAATCGCGCGGGCAACCTGGGTCTTGGATTTCATTGTCAGCAGCATGCGTTTGATATCAGGATGGCGCGCGATCGGGCTCATGCCTTCGCCCTTGTCACCTGGCGCCCTGCCCTGCTTGCGCTCAACGGCATAGTTCAGCGCATGCTGATATGCCCGTTCAGCAACACCCAACCCCTGGATGCCGACCGCAAGGCGCGCGTTGTTCATCATCGTGAACATGCAGGCAAGGCCTCGGTTCTCCTCACCGATCAGCCAGCCTGTCGCGCCGCCGTCGTCGCCGTAAATCATGGTGCAGGTGGGCGACCCGTGGATCCCCATCTTGTGTTCAACACCGGCCACGCGGACATCGTTCCGAGCCCCAAGAGCACCGTCGTCGCCGACCAGGAACTTCGGCACCAGAAACAAGGAAATACCCCTGGTCCCGGCGGGCGCGTCCGGCAAGCGTGCAAGTACCATGTGAATGATGTTGTCGGTCAGGTCGTGATCTCCGTAGGTGATGAAGATCTTCTGGCCAAAGATGCGGTATGTTCCGTCATCATTCCGCTCTGCGCGGGCTCGTAACGCATTGAGATCCGAACCGGCCTGAGGCTCGGTCAGGTTCATGGTCCCCATCCATTCACCGCTCACCAGCCTGGCCAGATATTTTGCCTTCAGTTCATCCGAGGCATGTTTTTCCATGGCCTCCACCGCGCCAATGGTCAGCGTCGGGCCGATCGCGAATGACATGGACCCCGAGTTCCACATCTCAAGCGCAGCTGCCGAAAGCATTTGGGGAAGCCCCTGCCCGCCAGATTCAGGATCCGCCGACAAACCATTCCAGCCACCGTCGATCCATGCATGATAAGCTTCGCGCCATCCCGGTGGTGTGGTTACCTTCCCGTCTTGAAGCGGTGTACCGTGCTTGTCAGCAACCGCGTTCAGCGGTGCAATCTCTTCGGCGGCAAACCTGCCTGCTTCCGCGACAATTGCGTCGACAAGATCATCTCCCAGTTCAGCGTAACGCGTATTTTGCTGCAGGTCGCCAAGGCCGCAGACATGTTTCAGCGTGAAGGCGATCTCGTCAACTGGAGCGCGATACATTCAGGTCCTCCCAAGACCGGCCGTTTTCGGCAATTGTCGGTTTTCGCCATCCCAAGCTTGACGGAGGCGGTACTTGTCCGCAAAAGGCGCATGAGACAGGTATTTGACAGGACAATAGACCAGTTGACGTTAACGTCAACCCGTACCGCAACGGCATGTCATCGTCTTTTTGTTTAATACACAATGCCGGAAGCCGCAGAGATCAGGACATGCAACGCTGGACCCTCGATTTGAACAGACCGGACTGGCGGAACGCTCTCGAAGCCTCTGCCGTTTGCTCGGCGATTACAAACGGTGAACTGGTGGCGGTGCCAACTGAAACGGTCTACGGACTGACGGCTGATGCCACCAACGGAGAAGCATGTGCGAAGATTTTTGCAGCCAAGGGCAGGCCGCAATTCAATCCGCTGATATCGCACGTCGCTTCGCTTGCCGATGCACAACGGCATGGAGAGTTTGACAGCCCGGCGCTGGACCTCGCCAAGGCCTTCTGGCCGGGACCCTTGACCCTTGTCGTCCCGAAAAAGAAGACTTCGACCATTTCCGACCTCGCAACAGCAGGTCTGTCGACAGTTGCCTTGCGCGTTCCGGAGGGGCCAGTCATGCGGTTCCTGTCGGAAAAGACGGGCTGTCCCCTTGCAGCGCCCAGTGCAAACCGCTCGGGAAAAATCAGTCCGACACGGGCTGACGACGTGATTGCCGACCTCGAACCCTGTCTCAGCTTCATTATTGATGCAGGGCCGTGTTCCATCGGGATCGAATCCACGATTGTCGGGCTCACAGACGGTACGCCCAGACTGTTACGGCCGGGTGGGATAACGCGTGAAGACCTGCAAGGCGTCCTTGGTTCAAGCCTTCAAGGTGCACCCACAAATGTGCAACCAGATGCGCCAGAGGCACCCGGCATGCTCCTGTCACACTATGCGCCGAACGCAACAATGTCCTTGAACGCTTGCGAAGCGGTGCCCTCAGACGCCTTGCTGTCCTTCGGACCCGACAGGGTGCCTGGCGCGGATCAAGCTTATGCGGAATTCAACCTCAGCCCGAGAGGGGACTTTGCCGAGGCGGCAGCCAACCTCTTTCGGGGGATGCGGACCCTCGACGCCAGCGGTGCGAATACCATTCGGGTACAGTTTATCCCCAGCTTTGGGTTGGGTGAAGCAATCAACGACCGTTTGCAACGAGCAGCCGCACCTCGTTGACGGAATGGGGCTGGCCACGCGCGTCTGCGACAGGTGTTGTGTTGTCCCTACCTCGTTGATGCAATTTTCAGCTGCAATCGAAAACGGCATATATTTCAGCGTTTCACGATAGACACTTGTTTTGTCAGTTGAACCACGTCCACCTAAAGTTATCACAGCATCAAGGCAAGCTTCCAATATAACAGATAAACAAAAATCAAGTTCACTCGCATTTAAAATCTTGGCAATTCATACAAGGAACAGTGAGTGCAAAGGTCTGCTTCCAGACTTATCAACAAGTTGCATAGGCTGAGTTACGGTAAAAAGCTCGCTTTACGTTACGAGAATCACTTAGTCTTGTTGTCAGAATTGAGATGCAGCGGACCTCCCCTCGGGCATTGCGGTGCTCGCACCTTTAAACGGCCGGCCAAAGAGCCGGCCTTCTTTTTGAGCCGCTCGCCCGCCGCAATCACGCATTTGTCGCTCTTCTTAAGACCTATCATCAATTGACAGGCCCGCCACCGGCGGCTCAGATGCTCCTCTGTTGCTCAAAAAACAAAACTTTTCGGAAACGCCACCTTGTCCACGCTTCTCTTGCATCATTCCTGCTATCTCGACCATCTGACCCCGCTCGGGCATCCTGAACGGCCGGACAGGATTCGGGCGATAGACAGGATCCTGGAACATGAAAAGTTCCAATCCGTCGAACGCGACCTTGCCCCGGTGGGTGCATTGGAGGATATCGCGCGCGCCCATCCCATGAGTTACGTGGACCAGCTGCACCGACTGGCCCCGGACGAAGGCGTGGCGCGGGTTGATGCGGACACGACAATGTCTCCTGGCACATGGGAAGCGGCTCTCAGGGGGGCGGGCGGGGCCTGCCGTGCTGTCGACGAAGTGTTGACGAAGAAGGTCGACAACGCCTTTTCCGCTTCCCGCCCGCCGGGCCACCATGCGGAAAAAGAACGGGCGATGGGCTTCTGCTTTTTCAACAACGTTGCCGTTGCCGCCAGATACGCTCAGGAAAAGCACGGTGTCGGCCGAGTGGCGATCATTGATTTTGACGTCCATCACGGCAATGGCACACAGGATATTTTTTGGGACGACGCCAGCGTGATGTACTGTTCCACGCATCAGATGCCGCTCTATCCAGGCTCCGGCGTTGCGTCTGAAACCGGTGATGCGAACACCATTGTGAACGTTCCGCTTGCCCCTGGTGAGGATGGCCTCGCCTTCAAGGAAGCATTCGAGGTCGCGATCCTTCCCCGGCTCGATGATTTTGCTCCGGAATTCGTGATCATTTCCGCAGGTTTCGATGCACACGCCCGCGACCCCCTGGGGGGGCTCAACCTTGTCGAGGCCGATTTCGCCTGGGCGACCCGCGTATTGATGGATGTCGCCGACAAACATAGTAATGGACACCTGATTTCTGTTCTGGAAGGAGGCTACGATCTGGAGGGACTCGCCCGGTCGACGGCGGCGCACGTCATGACTCTCATGACCGGCTGACCTCTCCGAATTGAAAAACGACGGGGATGATCCTGTCTATCTGACACTTCACGGCTTGACCTGCACGCTCAAGCCCGCAAGTTTCCAGATGAACTCATGCTTCAGACAAGGACCGCACCAATGAGCGACGCTGCAGGCGACATTTCCAAACTCTCTTTTGAGGACGCACTCAAGCAGTTGGAAACGATCGTGCGGGAACTCGAGCAAGGCAACGTCGCCCTGGAACGCAGCATCGAGATGTATGAACGCGGTGATGCCTTGCGCAAGCACTGCGATACGCTATTGAAATCTGCGGAGGCAAAAGTGGAAAGAATCCAACTTGGCCAGAACGGCGAAGCCAATGGATCCGCCGAATTGGACGCCCAGTAAGCCAAGCTGGTCCGACGACGGCGAATGACGGGCGGAGCCTTTCGGTGCGTGGTTTTTCCAAAAAACTCAATTCAGACAGAATTCCTTATTCCACCCGTTTGTTGCCATCCGGTTCCGCGAACTGCCGAGTGCAAAACCGAAACGTGCTCGCACCGGTCCCGATCTGCCGATCGTTTGCCAGGGTTGTTGCCGATCACATCAAGAGGTCGAGACGATAATCCGATGGCTCGGTACATGTCCGTTACGCCATAGCCCGATGCCCGACTAACGTGCTGATCATGTCCCTTCAACTTGTAACCGCTCCGGAGGCATCCTGGCAAAACAGCCAAGCCTTCTCGTACGATCCAACCCGTTGACAGCGTAAAGAGTCACAAGCTCCCTCAAGCGTTTCATTTGCTATTTCTCAAAGAAATTGATAGTAATATTTACAAGTTTAAGCGGTCTTTATGTAATATTTAGTAGATGCTTTATAACATGCCGTCACTTAGTAAATCAGATGAAGTAGATCTACTTTTACGAGTATTGAGATGCCCCACACAATCGGCCGATTGGACGAGCGTGCTGGATTTGATCGATTCAAAACTGAACTGTACTTCGTTTCTGGTGGAGTTTGCGAAAAGCAATGTTCCGACCAACCGGTTCGGAGGGGATCACTCGACACGCAAGCTGAACGGAATGTTGCAGACTTCAGCAACCGGCGGAAGCCGCAAGGCTTTGCAGTTCCTGCTGACAGAAGCCCCTCTGCATTATCCCTTTTGCAGAACAACGCTCGGCAAAGGCGAATTCAATGGCCGCAAGCCCCTCGGCGAGACTGAAAAGACATCAGAAGACCTTGCACGAGCGATGGAATACGATGCCGATGACAATCGCCCGGACCGTCATGTCATTCAGCCCGAGATACCCGGTCTGGTTTCTCCTCTGAGACGCACTGAAAGCTCCACGATCCTGTTCGGCTGCCTCTTTCCCGAACACACGATCACGTCGATTGACGTCGCTATTGCCAATAAAACGTTCAGCGTGCTTGCAACATTGCTGTCTCCCGGGCTGGACGCCTTTTTCCAGATCGACCAGGAGCGTGCCACCAACCGCATCCATCGAACACTTCTTTCATTCACTTCCTGCCCCGCCGTCCTTGCAACGCAAGAAAGAATTGTGCTCGGCCAGACGGCATCGGGAATAGACAAACTGATTGCGACCGGCGGTGTCAGCCTTCGGGATGAAAAACTGGATTTCAAGAACAGGAGAATGGAAACCTGTCTGCAAGGTCTCTTGAACGAGATACAGGGGCAGGAACATTTCCAGGACGCTGAAAACAAATCGAATAGTGCGACAGAGAGCCAAAGCCAGGAGCATGCCGTCTTTATTGAAGACCCAAGCGGGCGTCTGAACCGGATTACCTTTGGTGCGATCACGCCCGCGCCGGTAGATGACAGATGCAGGTCTGCACCCTGGATCCTGATCAGGATGACCGAACCTTCCGAACTGCCGCAAGCTGTCGAACTCGCTTTGCAGGACTATTATCTGCTGTCCCAATCCGAAGCGCATCTGGCCCGCTATCTGACGATGACCGGTTCGATGACCGACACGGTCGAGCAGCTTGGCATCACCAGGAACACGGCCAAAACACACATGCGCCGGATTTTTGAAAAAACCGGTATCAACACACAGCTTCAGCTGGCGAGGCTGGTGCACAAGCTATCGGGATACTTCTAGGTTAATCAAAGCAAACTGGTCGGAACAACGTCCAAGCGCTCGAACATCTGTTCGATTTCCGGTCATTTCGGCACAAAAAGGGGCCGCAGGTGTGCGACCCCAAGTTGATCACTGTGCACGTGGCCCCATCGACCACAACCAATGCATTAGGCCAGATCCGACTCAGATGCATCACCCAAAAGGGTGACTGATTTTCAAAATCGCGCGATAGCGCAATAAATGCACGCGATCTGCACCTGGTTTGAAAAAATCTGTTCTACAAAATGCTGCAAGTCTCTTGTTGAGAGCACGCAACATTTTGGCGCATTACTGTTGAGGCATTTGCGCCCTATAATTGGTTAGTGTATGCCTGCCCGCCAGATTTAGATTCATGGAGCCATCAGCAGAGTGTCTTCAAAACCCAATACCCCTCTCCTCGACAAGGTCAGGTCCCCCAAGGACCTGCGCACGCTCGAAGAAACAGACCTTCAGCAGCTTGCCGAGGAGTTGCGGTCGGAAACCATCGATGCCGTGTCGATCACGGGCGGTCATCTAGGAGCCGGTCTGGGGGTGGTCGAACTGACGGTCGCGCTCCACTACGTGTTCAACACTCCGGAAGACAGGATCATCTGGGATGTAGGACATCAATGTTATCCTCACAAAATCCTGACGGAACGGCGTGATCGTATCCGGACGCTGCGTCAGGGCAATGGTCTTTCCGGTTTCACCAAGCGCGCCGAAAGCGAATACGATCCCTTTGGGGCTGCGCACTCTTCCACATCCATTTCCGCAGGTCTCGGCATGGCGGCCGGGCGCGATCTAAAGGGCGAAGACAACAACGTAATCGCGGTGATCGGTGACGGCGCCATGTCTGCCGGCATGGCCTACGAGGCCATGAACAACGCCGGACATCTCGGTTCACGCCTGATCGTCATTCTCAACGACAACGACATGTCCATAGCCCCGCCGGTCGGAGCGATGTCGGCCTATCTTGCGCGGCTGGTTTCCGGCCCGACCTATCAAACGCTGAGAGATGCGGCGAAAAACATCGTCAAGAACCTGCCGAAACCAGTGTTCGAAAAAGCTGCACGCGCCGAAGAATATGCCCGCGGCTTCTGGACCGGTGGAACGATGTTCGAAGAACTCGGGTTCTACTATGTCGGTCCCGTTGACGGACACAATCTGGAGCATTTGCTGCCGGTTCTCAAAAACGTACGCGACACGCATCACGGTCCGATTCTCATCCATGCCGTGACCCAGAAGGGCAAGGGTTATGGCCCGGCCGAAGGTGCCAGGGACAAGTATCACGGCGTCGCAAAGTTCGATGTCATAACCGGCAAGCAATCCAAGCCGAAGGCGAACGCTCCCAGCTATACGAACGTCTTTGCGACATCACTGATCAAGGAAGCGGAAGCGGACGAAAAAGTCGTCGCGATTACAGCGGCCATGCCAGATGGAACCGGACTGAACCTGTTCGGTGAAGCGTTTCCCAAACGCACATACGACGTCGGCATAGCAGAGCAGCATGCGGTAACCTTTGCCGCCGGCATGGCGACCGAAGGCTTTAAACCGTTCGCGGCAATCTACTCCACATTCCTGCAACGCGCCTACGATCAGGTCATCCATGATGTGGCAATCCAGGGTTTACCGGTGCGCTTTCCGATCGACCGTGCCGGCCTTGTCGGCGCGGACGGACCAACGCATGCGGGTGCATTCGACACTGCCTTCTTGTCCTGCCTTCCCGGCTTTGTGGTGATGGCGGCTGCCGATGAAGTCGAACTGCGTCACATGGTGGCAACAGCCGTTGCCTACGACGAAGGTCCGATCTCCTTCCGCTATCCGCGCGGCGAAGGTGTCGGGCTCGACATGCCCGAGCGCGGCAGCGTTCTCGACATCGGCAGGGGCGTCATCCGCCGTGAGGGTACAAAGGTGGCGCTCCTCAGTTTCGGTGGCCGGATGAACGAATGTCTGGAAGCAGCCGACGAACTTGATGCCGCCGGTCTTTCGACGACAGTTGCCGATGCTCGCTTTGCCAAGCCGCTGGACATGGACCTGATCCGGCGCCTTTCGCGCGAACACGAAGTTCTGGTGACGATCGAGGAAGGATCCGTCGGTGGATTCGGCAGCCACGTACTGACGAATCTCGCCGAAGAAGGCCTCCTCGACAACGGTCTCAAGGTGCGTACTCTGGCCTTGCCGGATCTCTATCTCGATCATGACAAGCCGGACACGATGTACGCGAGAGCAGGCCTGAATTGCGAAGGCATCATGAAAGCCGTTTTCACCGCACTTGGCACGGAAAGGCTGAGTGCGCCGCAGCGCGCGTAAACGGCTTCGCAGACTGACAGAATCGACGCCGGCAAGTGCGCATGCGTCACGCTTCAAATCGTGATTGACACGAGCTGCCATAACTGAAAATGCTGGTGCTCAGGATCAAACGCGCCGGTTCCAACCGGCGTTTTTTGTTTTGGAACGAGTCACCGGGAGGCAGCCATGGCTCAGACACTCATTTCCGTGTCCGCTCTTTTGTTGTCCGTTGCCATGCTCATTTTCGGGCACGGTCTTCAGACCACGCTCCTGCCGCTGGCCGCGGACCGGTTCTATTTCAGTGATTTCGAAATCGGTGCAATCTCTTCAGCCTACTTCGTAGGACTGGTTCTGGGCTGTCTCGGTGCACCGCTGCTGATCATGCGCGCCGGGCATATCCGCGCCTTTGCGGCGCTCGTTTCACTGATGTCCGGAGCCGCGATCCTGCATCCGGTTCTGATCGACCCCTACTCATGGTTCATCATTCGCGTTGTCTCTGGCTTCAGCCTGGCCGGTTTTTACATGATCGTCGAAAGCTGGCTCAACGAAAGCGCGACCAACGAGAACCGCGGAACGATCATGTCGGTCTATATCGTTATCGTGTTCGGTGCGATGATCCTCGGGCAGGTTTCGATTGCCAGCATGAATATTTCGTCCTTCGTCCCGTTCGCCGTTGCCTCTGTTGCGTTGAGCCTTGCCGTAATGCCGATTTCGCTGACGACGGCAACGCAACCAGCACCGATCACGCTTGTGCGCTTCCGGCCGATACGCCTCTACCAGACCTCTCCGGCAGCCTTTGTCGGAATTCTGCTCATCGGGGTTTCGCAGGGTGCCATCTTCACACTTTCTCCGCTGTACGGGTCACAGATAGGCCTTTCAACCAATCAGTCAGCCTATTACGCGGCTGCAATCATCGGCGGCGGCATGATGGCACAGTGGCCGGTCGGCCGCTTGTCCGACCGGATGGACCGCCGCCTTGTCCTTGTGGGCCTGGGTGCTGCGACTGCGGTGGCTGCACTCACAATTGTGGTGTTCTCACCGACAGCATTTCCGATTGCGATCCTGTCGGCGGTGCTTGTCGGCATATTCACCCAGCCACTTTACGCCATAGCGGTTGCCCACGCTTTCGACCACGCCGCGCCGGAGGACTTCGTTGAAACCTCGTCCGGGATGTTGCTGTCATTCGGCATCGGTTCGATCATCGGCCCGTTGGTCGCCTCGCTGATTATGGGACAAATCGGACCTTCCGGACTTTATGTCATGATTGCCGCTGTCAGTCTGACAATGGCTGCATTCGTGCTGACACGCGTGTTTACGAGAGAGGCGTTGACGGACGACGAGAAAACGGATTTCGAGTACGCTGCAACGGCGCAGGTCGGTTCGGTCATTTCGCCCGAACCTCTCGACGCGGAAGCCGAGGAATATGTCATTCCGCCGGAGGAATTCCCGGCCTATGAAGACGATATCTATAATTTCGATACGCCTTCGGACGAACCCGAAGATGACACCGGTGGCGGGAACGGGCCGTCCGAAGATGATCCAGCTGCCGACAACAAGAACGCCGGGGCCAAGGGCGACCGCTCCGGTGAAGCCGTTCTTGAAACACATCCGGAGACTGGCAAATCCGAAAAGCCCGACGGCTCCTGACTTATTGTGGTGACATGCGCGGTTTCGCCGCTCGACAGAAAGACGGAACAGGCCTATAGCCCTCACATGGCTTTGCGTGGCGCATATCTGCAGACCTTGCGACGTGAGCGTCATCCACTGGTGGCGTTTGCTGCGCTTGCGTTTTCGTTGCGTCTGGGCCTCGTTGTGCTCGCAACAGCCATTTCACCCGACTATGCAGCCGCGTCGGGCCTGACAAGCCTTTGTCAGCCTTCCGGTCAAGAGCAAAGCACCCCCTGGCCGCACGACATGCTGGCCTGTCAGTGCGGTCCCGCGTGCGCAAGTGGCTGTGCGCCCGGATCGTGTCTGCCAGGCATCTCCTCGGTGATGCCGTTCGAGGCCCCGGGATCGTGTGCTCCATCGGACGTCGCAGACAAGCCAATCTGCATTGCTGACAAACGTCGCGTCACGCCCATTCGGGGTCCCCCCTCTTCCTTGGTCTGAAACCGTTCAAAAACCCAGATTCCAAGGATACCGAAATGAAACTCTGGACATCCATCGCCGCTGCGACGGCGCTTACCGTCTTTTCTCTTTCCGCACTCGCGTCCGACTACCAGGCGGGCGACCTTTCACTCTCAAAAACATGGACGCGCGCAACCCCGCCCAAAGCCAAGGCCGGCGGCGGTTTTGTGGAAATCGTCAACTCCGGTTCAGAAGCAGATCGCCTGGTCTCGGCAAGTTCCGATGTCGCCGCCAAGGTTGAAATTCACGAAATGGCCGTGACCGATGGCGTGATGAAAATGCGGAAAATGCAGGACGGGATCGAAATCCCGGCCGGTGAAACCGTTACCTTGAAGCCCGGCGGCCTGCACATCATGTTCATGGGACTGAACCAGGCATTCGAAGAGGGGTCTACTGTTCCAGTGGTGCTCACATTCGAAAAGGCGGGGGATGTCGCCATTGATCTTGATGTCGCCAAGATGGGCGCGAAATCGATGGATCACGGCCACATGAAGCATAGCAAAAACTGATATTTCCTGAAGAGGACGACCCATGTCTGGCTTGAAACTCTTCCGGTACGTGGCCTGGGCGGCAGTTGCCGTCCTTGCCGGCGTATCCGGGGTGCTTGTGTATCAACAAACGGCCGGAAACGAAAATTCCGGTGGCCTGATTGAACCGCTGGCGGCGATCGGCGGCCCATTTGAACTTGTCGACGGAAACGGCGAGACCGTAACGGACGCGACTTTTGCCGGAAAACCGACCGTCCTGTTTTTCGGTTTCACCTATTGTCCGGACGTGTGTCCGACGACCCTCTCGGAGTTGCAGGGCTGGATGGACGCACTCGGTGACGACGCGGAAAAGCTGAACTATGCCTTTGTTTCCGTTGATCCGGAACGCGATACCCCCGAAGTCATGCGTGACTATGTCTGGGCATTCGACAAGCGCATCACACCGCTGACCGGATCGCGTGAACAGGTCGATGCCATGATCAAGGCCTATCGCGTCTATGCCAAGAAGGTGCCTCTTGACGACGGCGATTATACGATGGACCATTCCGCCGCCGTTTATCTGATGAACGCGGACAACAAGTTTGTCGGAACCATCGCTTATCAGGAAGCGGAAGATACAGCCTTGCCGAAGCTCCGCCGCCTGATCAAGAACGCGCCTGCTTCGTCGTAAGGACCAGTGAAGCGGAAACACATCCATGCGCATGCCGCTCTTTGTAGGACTGATTGCCGGCGCGACGGGTTTCGTCGCGCTATCGGCAGTCTTGTGGCTTTACGCGGGAGAGCGTGTCTACGCTGACCGCCTGCTGTCCGCGATTGCAGGTTGTTTCGGCTGAGGTACCAGCTTGTGCTTTTCATTCGTCCGGACTGTGCCTAAAAGACCGCTCATGTCCACGAAGCGTCTTGATCAACATCTTGTCGATACCGGCCACTTCGCAAGCCGTGCCCGCGCGCGGGACGCGGTCCTGCGTGGCACGGTCAGCGTCGCAGGCAAGATCTGCAGGAAACCGGCCCAGAAGGTCAGTGCGGATACTTCTCTTGAAATAGATGACCCGGCCTCCAGATACGTTTCCCGGGCAGCGCTTAAACTGATTGAAGGCCTGAACCGGTTCGGTGTCGATCCAAGAGGCAAGATCTGCATTGATATCGGCGCATCCACGGGGGGCTTTACTCAGGTCCTGGTGGATCGCGGAGCAGAGAAGGTCCATGCGATCGATGTCGGTCACAACCAGTTGCACGAGAGCCTGCGTTCCCATCCGAGGGTTTTTGCGCAGGACGGATGCAATGCGCGGGATCTGACTATCGATCACCTTGAAGGAGACCGGCCCGGATTGCTCGTTTCCGATGTCAGTTTCATCTCGCTGAAACTCGCACTCCCGCCGTCACTGGATCTTGCTGCGCCCGGCGCTGAGGGGGTTTTTCTGGTCAAACCGCAGTTCGAGGCTGGCAAAGACAGGATCGGCAAGGGCGGGATCGTGGAACCCACGGTGGCCGAGGAAACAGCTCGCGAGCTTCAAAAGTGGCTGACGACTGTTCCCGGCTGGGCTGCGGGCGACTTGATCCCCTCCCCGGTCAAGGGCGGCGACGGCAATGCCGAGTGGCTGCTAAACGGCAAGAAAACGGACTGAAGCGCTCATACTCCCTTTCCAGAACTGCTCAGGTGGACGCCGGCAATCCGTCAGATCTCACACTGTGCCAAGTGTAGCGAAGACGTTTGCAAAATCACCTGATTGCAAATCAAGATTTCTATCAAAAGTTGAAATTTATCCAATTGCATTTTCCTTTTGAGAACGATTTCAGGCTTATAAAACGGTCATATGCAAAGGGAGACACTCATGGATATTCCTGCTTTGGACCGCGTGGAATGCGCAATTCTCCATGACCAGTTCAATCCGTTGGATGGTGGCGTCATTTTCGAGGCTGTCAAAGAATTTTCCAGTCATCTTGGGTATGCATCGGAGGTACAGCTGATCGCCTCGTCGACCTCGAAAGACATACATGTCAACGCGGGCGGGCATCGCGTTCTGATCAGCCAGAACGACGAACCGCTTGGGCTTGCGGGATTCCGTACGGCGCTGACGACCCCCTATACCGGCCTAGTGCTTCCCAACGCACAGGACATCGTACGACGGCACAAGGCGAACACGTTCGTGACGATCGCCAAGGGCATGCTGGATGTGCAGCTCTTTTCGGAAGAGCTGCGAAAGCTCGGAGACGAGTTTGTGGACTCGCTTGCGGCGGAATCGTCCTTTGACAGCCTTGGCGAAGCCGACCGGGCGAGATTTTTCTGTTACTGGCTGAGCAAACTGATCATCAGAAATAATCCGGCAAGCGCGGTTCATTGGTGTGTCAGCGACAATCTTGTGCCGCAAAGCTTCTTCGAAAGTGCCGGAGAGGCTGGCGATCTCGCTCTTTTGAATATCCGTCCAATTCTCACCTCCAGCGCAGGGCGGTTCGGAGAAGACCTGCCTCTTGGCATGATCGTCAGCGGCTCCCAATGGGTGATCGGAAAGGTGATCGAATTCCAGGAGGCTCGTGTTCCCCTGCCATGGATGATGGAAGTGGTACTCGGCTTTATTAATTTGTGCCAGGTCCGCGGATCGATCTTGCCGCACAACAACTCCTTCAGCGACGAGAGCAACGCGTGGGCTGTTGCGGTCTATCACGAGAAACTGGAAGGGCACGACAGTTGGGAAAAGGTTCGACTGGTCGTCGTGAATGCGCCGCAATTCGGCATTCACGGCGAGGTGACGGCGCAACGTTCCTATACCTACAAGAATGCCGACGATGTCAGGAAACGGGCCGAAGAGGAAAGAACCGAGGTTGCCGCTGCCAACGACCCGCAACCTTATGACAGACGACCGGAAACCGTTCCGGAGGCCGGTTCGTCACCTTCCGGCATGCAGACGGAAGCTGCAGTTGCAAACGATCCGCACCGGGAGATCAAGATCACACAGCAGAAACAGGACATGAACGCGCTACGCGACTTTGCCAAACGCTCCAGCACTTCAGACACGCCAGCCATCAAAAGTGCATCGCGCGATCTACTGTCACGCGCGCGAGGATTGTTTTCGAACCGCCGTTGAGACTTCCGCCATATCGAAATTCACGCTGCCGCTCTTGCAAGAGCTTGCTCCGTCCCGCCGTTGACGGTATCGCTCTGCCATGAGTGAACAAGAACTGATTATTTCGGAACTGGGCCATCGTGGTGACGGAATTGCGCAGACCGACAATGGTCCGGTCTATGTGGCAGGCGCATTGCCGGGCGAGAAGGTGCGAGCAAATGTGGTCAACGGTCGGGCGACCGAGATCACAATCGTGACCAGATCGCAGGACCGCGTTTCTCCTGTGTGTAGCCATAGCGAGGCATCCGGCAGCTGTTCCATGCAGCACCTTGCCGAGAAACCCTATCTTGAATGGAAGCGTGATCTGGTCAGCCGCGCCCTCAAGGGCAGCGGCATTGAAGCCTTCGTATCTGAAGCCGTTTCAGCCACCGCCGGCGGGCGTCGCCGCGCGGTGCTGACCGCCGGACGTGCTGGCCGCCATGTCATCCTCGGCTATCACGGCAAGGCGAGCCACAAGCTGGTTGACGCTGCCGGCTGCAAGGCGCTTTCGCCCGACATTGAAAAGGCGTTGCCCGGTCTCAAGCAACTCGCGGCAAAGGTCCTGCCCAAAAAAGGCGAAATGCGCGTTACCGTTCTTGCCACCACGTCAGGTCTCGACGTTGCCCTCGACAAAGCCGACCGAAATTACGACCGGATGATCGCGGAGCTGTCGCAAAAGACCATAGAACTCGACCTGGCCAGACTTTCCGTGAACGGCGAAATTCTGCTGGAGGTCCGCGCACCGGTGCTCGACATGGACGGCATCGATGTCGTCCCGGCTCCCGGAGGGTTTACCCAGGCAACCCATGCGGCCGAAGACGCCCTCTCCCGTCTTGTGCTCGATGGTGTCGGCAAGGCCAGGACAGTTGCCGATCTCTATTGCGGGGTCGGAACATTCGCGCTGCGCCTGGCGCGACAGGCAAATGTCCACGCCGTAGAGGGCGATGCAGCTGCCATTGCAGCACTCGACAGGGCCTTGAGAAGACCGCAGGGGCTGAAGAAGGTCACTTTCGAACGGCGCGACCTCTTCCGGCGACCACTGGTGCGCGAAGAACTGGAGCCTTTCGACGCGGTGGTTTTCGATCCGCCCCGGGCCGGAGCGCAGGCGCAGGCGGAGCTGTTGGCGAGATCGAAGGTAAAAACCATTGTTGCCGTCTCCTGCAATCCTGCCACCTTTGCCCGGGATGTGCGCCTGTTGCTCGATGGCGGCTACACGCTTCAAAGCGTCACGCCGGTGGACCAGTTCCAGTATTCGCCCCATATTGAAGTGGTGGCAGTCTTGAAAAGGGAGTGAGCCATGGGCTTGGTGGATGAGAAGCTTCAACCCTCAAAGGGAAACGGGAGGCGTCCACCTATCAGGGGTTTGGCGCGGCGCGCTCGATATGCGCTGCACCAGGGCAGCCGTGTCGCGCTTTACACACTGCACTCGGAGGCCATGCGCCGCATGAACCGGCGCCTGCAAGAGGACTTGCCGGAAACACCCAAAGTTCAACCGGACGGCCCGGTTCCGGGGCAGCGACGCATGCTGGCCGATATCTTCAAGCTCTTCGCGGACGATATGAAGGCCGTCGAGGACGGGCTCTACCCGATGCCTTCTGACGGAAGCCTGACCGCGCGCGAGCTTCTTGATACCAGCAGAGCCTTCTTCAGGGATGTGCCGGAAGTCGCCCGGCGCCGAGCAACCGGCGCACATCAGGAAGTCAACGAAGACACCGGCGGATTTGCCGAAGCGCTCCCTCGCTACTATCGCCAGAACTTTCATTTCCAGACTGACGGCTGGCTGTCGCAGGAAAGTGCGAGGCTTTACGATTTCCAGGTGGATGTCCTGTTTTCCGGTGCAACGGCGGCCATGCGCCGCAGGGCTCTTGTGCCATTTGCCGAGATCCTGAAACGCAAGGACCAGCGCAAGATCACGTATCTCGATCTTGCCTGCGGCACGGGCGGACTGCTTCATCCCGCGCTCAAGGCCTTTCCACGTCTCAGGGGCATTGGACTTGATCTCTCCGAACCCTATCTCGGCGTCGCAAAAGAACGGGGGAAGACGCGGCGCGCAGGCTATGTGACCGCCATGGCCGAGGCGCTGCCTTTTGCCGACAGTTCCATCGATGTTCTGTCCTGCGTCTTTCTCTTTCACGAGTTGCCACCAAAAGTCCGGAGGCAGGTGATCAAAGAGATCTCCCGTGTTCTGAAACCCGGTGGCTCCTTCCTTTTCGTCGACAGCCTGCAGACCGGCGACGTGCCGGACTATGACGGCCTCCTGTCGATTTTTCCGCAACTCTTTCACGAACCCTACTTCAGTTCCTACCTCAAAGAGGACCTTTCAGCTCTTTGTTCTGCCCAGGGCCTTGAGCAACGCTGGATCACACCTGCCTTCGTTTCGCGTGCCGCTGAATTCGTGAAAACGGGATGATAGTAACGCCGACCTTTCAGTGTCACTGAAATTTCTTCAAGACATCTCTTGTGACTGAAAGCGAACGCGCGTATATGCGTTTGCATGAGACTCGATCAATGGCTCTCGCAGACCGGAGAAAACCGGAGCGCATTCGCGCGCCGCGCAAACCTGTCTCCTGCCTCCGTAACAGCCCTATGCAACGATCCGAACGTCTGGGTGTCGCGGGACATGGCCCGCAAGATCGCCATCGCGACCGAAGGCGCCGTCACACCCAATGATTTTCTCGGACTGTCCACAACCAAGGAGCATCCCGTGTCCCAGGCCCGTGTCGCAGAAGCCATCCGCGCGTTCGAACGCGGTGAAATGATCGTCGTGACCGACGATGACGACCGCGAAAACGAAGGTGATCTGATCGTTGCCGCGTCGAAGATCACCTCGGAGCAAATGGCTTTCATGGTCCGCCACACATCCGGCATCATCTGCGCCCCGATGACACCGGCCAATGCGCGCCGTCTGAGACTGGATCCGATGGTCGCGGAAAACGATGCCCCGCTCGCAACCGCCTTCACCATCTCCGTTGACTATCGCCAGGGCCTGACAACGGGTATTTCGGCGGAAGAACGCGGCGCGACCGTGCATGCGCTTGCCAATCCGAATGTTGCAGCCGACGATTTCGTCCGCCCGGGTCACATCTTCCCGCTCGTCGCGAAAGAAGGCGGCGTAATGATGCGTTCAGGACACACGGAAGCTGCGGTAGACCTTTGCCGCCTTTCCGGCCTTGAGGAAGTCGGTGTGCTCAGCGAACTGGTCAATGATGACGGCACAGTCAAACGTGGACCGCAGGTTGCCGAATTTGCCGCCGAATTCGATCTGAAAATGGTCTCCGTCTCCGATCTGATAGCATGGCGTCAGCGCACGGAACGGATGGTCGAAAGGGTCAATGAGCAGCCCGTCGAAACCATAGCGGGTCCCGCCTATGCCATGACATATTCGACGCCCTATGACCCCATGCACCATCTTGCAATCGTGTACGGCGACATCCTCGACGGTCGAAGTGTCCCCGTTCGTCTGCAGCTGGAATCGGTTCTGGACGACGTCTTCGGCGAGACGAGACCGCTCGATCCCATCATGAAACACTTCGCCGATCGCGGACGGGGTGTCATTGTCTTCCTGAGGGAAGGATCCGTTGGTGTAACGCGCCAGTCCCGGCGCACCCGCTCCGATTTCGAGGCCGCGGACAGCGAAGAACACAGTTCTGCACAAGCGCGCCAGGAGCAATGGCGCGAAGTCGGCCTCGGCGCCCAGATCCTCAAGGATCTCGGTGTCAGTTCAATCCGGCTTCTGGCTTCGCGCGAGCGCCACTATGTCGGTCTGGAAGGCTTCGATATCAAGATCGATGATACGGAGATCCTCGACACCTGATCCAGAAACGAAACGGGTGCGGACGACCCAGCGTGCGCACCCGAATTCTTTCTTCACATCAGGTTTTCCTTGAAAAACGCGATTGTGCGATCTTCGGCAAGCTTGGCAGCCTTCTCATCGAAACGAGGTGTCGTATCGTTGTGGAAGCCGTGGTTCACACCTGGATACATGTGTGCAACGTAGTTCTTTCCGTTGGCCTTGAGCGCCTCCTCATAGGCAGGCCAGCCGGCATTGATACGTTCGTCCAGTTCGGCGAATTGCAGCATGAGCGGCGCCTGAATTTTCGGCACATCCGCAGCATCTGCCTGGCGTCCGTAAAACGGCACACCGGCGGCCAGTTCGGGGTATGCCACGGCAATCGCATTGACAACGCCACCGCCATAGCAAAAACCGACCGCGCCGACCTTGCCCGTGCTGTCGTCGCTTTTGAGCAAATACTCAAAACCGGCAAAAAAGTCGTTCAACAGCTTTTCCCGGTCGACCGTGCGCTGTAATTCGCGCCCCTTGTCGTCGGTGCCGGGATAGCCTCCGACAGATGTCAGGCCGTCCGGCGCCATTGCCATGAAACCGGCCTTGCCCAGGCGGCGTGCGACATCTTCAATGTAAGGGTTCAGGCCACGGTTTTCATGGATGACCAGCACTGCAGCAAGCTTGCCAGTGCTACCGGCCGGTTTGACCAGGTAGGCGTTGACCTCTCCGTGACCGTTCGGGGAAGGATATGTAATCCGTTGGGTCTCGATGGAGGCGTCTTCAGGATCCACCTGCTGCGCGAGCGCATAGTCCGGCGCCAGTTGGTCGAGGAGCATTGCAGCGGTCACACCGGCAACGGTGAATTTCGCTGCGCCGTTCAAAAACTCCCGCTTCGTGATCTTGCCATGCGCGTAAAAGTCGTAGAGATCGAGAAGTTCCTGCGGAAAATCCTTTGCCGTCATGCGGCGTACCGGTGTCATATCATTCATCACATTGCTCCTTGAACCAGACGAGGCTGAATGCAGTTCTGAAACTAGAAGAACCACGCGCAAGGTCCACCGTTAAACGACGAATATGTTGTAACCGATTGTAACAGACAGCCCTGCAAATCTGTGTTGAGCCGTTGCAAACCTGTCAGCTTTGCCTTTGAGAGAAGATCTGTTCGATCCAACGACTAACGGCAACCATGCGTGCGAGACCGCTCTGATCGCTATGCTGCATGAGCCACACCTCCCGCAACAGGTCCGGTTTCGGCTCTTCCAGTTTCTGCAACCGATGGTCCGTCTCAGCGATCACCTGTGGAATGACGGAACGTCCCAGGCCGGCAGCGATTGCTTCGATCACACCTTCCAGGTCACTCGGACGAATGTTCGAAGTTCTATCGTTACCGGATTTCAAATGCTCGCTCATCCACCTGGCCTGAGGAAGGAAACTCATGTTTTCGTGATACATGATCCAGGGCAGATCGTCCCGTACACCTCCAGCCGGCCCATAGACCGCGTGCGTTAGAGCGGCAATTCGTCTTGCTGTCACGTTGTAGCCACCATCCTGCGGCCGGCCCAGCCGGATAGCCATGTCTGTCTCGCGCCTGGTCAGGCTGACATTTCGCACTTCTGACGCCAGGTGCATCTCGATTCCAGGATGGCGTTCGGAAAACCGCTTCAATTCAGGCATCAGAATTTTACTGTTCACTACGGGAACGGACGAGATCCGGACCATTCCCTCTTCAGCAAGACGCGCTCCGGTCAATTCCGTGCTCAAGCGGTCAAGTGTGGTTTCGACAGATTCGGTATGCGATATCGTCCGAAGGCCGGCTGCCGTCAGTTCGAGTGAGCCGCTCGCGGACTTTTCGATCAACTGCGTCCCGATCTCCTGTTGCAGAGCTGCAAGCCGTCGTGACACGGTCGTTGCGTCGACCTTCAGGCGGTCGGCCGCACCGGAAAGAGAGCCGGTGCGATAGAATGCCAGCAGATATTTCAGGCTTTCCCAGTTCATTTCTGCATTATTGCAGCTGATGCCTGCAATTTCGAGAATTTACTTGCGTTATCGCAGCCTGTTAGAAAACGGCCGGTTTGAACGAAAGAGTGATAATGCTTCAGGATCTGACAAGCTGGACAGGACTGCCTCCGAGTTATCTGGTGATCAGCGCCACCATGGTGTTCGTTGCAGGCGCGGTTCGCGGCTTTGCCGGGTTCGGCCTGTCTGCGGTTCTCATGGCCAGCATTGTCGTTTTTGTCCCCCCTGTGGAACTGATCCCCGTCTGCTTTATTCTGGAAGCAGCAGCCAGCCTGGCCATGTTTCGCGGAGGCCTGAGGGAAGCCGACCTGGGAACTGCCGTGACACTTGCACTTTTCAGCGCGATCGGTGTTCCCCTCGGCCTCGCCCTGACAACCAGCATAGATGCCGACCTTTCCAAGCTGTTTGCCCTGGTGCTGGTGCTCACCCTTACGATCCTGCAGCTTCTGAAGGTCAAAATGGCCGTCACCTCACAGCGTGTTGCCATCCCGGTCACCGGGTTTGCTGCAGGTGTCGTCAGCGGGCTGGCATCCATCGGGGGAATGGTGATTGCCCTTTACATTCTCGCTTCACCGAAAAAAGCGCGGGAAATGCGAGGCGCCCTTGTCCTCTACCTGTTCTTTGGAATGCTGACCTCATCGGTAACGCTGTTCCTGTTCGGCGTACTGGATGAAAAGGCAGTTGTTCGCGGCGCAATCTTTTCGCCGCTTGTTCTGGCGGGTGTCTTTGTCGGCAGCAAACTGTTCAGTCGCAGCCTTGACCAGACCTACCGCCGGGGGTGCCTCTATCTTCTGATGCTGTTCGCCGGCGCAGGCCTCATCAGAACCGTCATATTCTAGGCCAAAAAATACCTTCACACCGAGACACGGAAATTTCAGAGGATTGCCGGAGCAATCTACCCAATCTGACCGCGATGCCTCAGATAGTGGTCGGCAAGTACGCACGCCATCATGGCTTCGCCCACAGGAACCGCCCTGATACCGACACACGGATCGTGCCGTCCCTTCGTCATCACATCCACTTCTTCGCCCTGCCGGGTTATCGACTTGCGCTCGGTCAGGATTGACGACGTCGGCTTGACGGCAAAGCGCACGACCAACGGGTCTCCATTGGAGATACCTCCAAGAACGCCACCGGAATTGTTCGTCAGGAAGACCGGTCTGCCGACATCATCCACGCGGATCTCGTCGGCATTTTCTTCTCCGGTCAGGCTGGCAGCTTCAAAACCATTGCCGACCTCTACACCCTTGACCGCATTGATCGACATCATCGCCGCGGCCAGGTCGGTATCCAGCTTGCCATAGATCGGCGCTCCCCAACCCGCCGGGATACCTTCGGCAACGACCTCTATGACTGCGCCGACGGATGACCCGGCCTTTCTGACACCATCAAGATAATCTGCCCAGAGCCCGGCAGCCTGAGGGTCCGGTGAAAAGAACGGATTGTTGCCGATTTCCGACCAGTCCCAGTTTTCCCGGTCGATCTTGTGCTCTCCCACCTGGACCAGAGCACCACGAATTGTAACGCCCTGAAGAACCTTTCTGGCAACAGCTCCGGCTGCGACCCGCATGGCGGTTTCCCGTGCGGACGAACGGCCACCGCCGCGATAGTCGCGAATACCGTACTTGGCATCATATGTGAAATCCGCATGCCCGGGCCGGAACCGATCCTTGATCTGCGAGTAGTCCTTCGACCTCTGATCCGTGTTTTCAACCATCAGGGAGATTGGTGTACCGGTGGTTTTCTGGACCTCGTCGTCATCGACCATAACGCCGGACAGGATCTTCACCTCATCTGCCTCACGCCGCTGTGTTGTGAAGCGAGACTGGCCGGGCTTGCGCAATTCCATGTAGCCCTGGATGTCACCCTCCGTCAGCGGGACAAGAGGCGGGCAGCCGTCGATCACGCAGCCGATGGCCGGGCCGTGGCTTTCCCCCCACGTTGTGACACGAAACAAGTGACCAAAACTGTTGTGCGACATGAAGATTTCCAATTTCCAGCAGGAAAGACGTCAGATGCCGAGCGATAAGCCAAACTGCCGGGAAGCTCAAGCCCCGGTTCATTTCCACTGTCCTTGCCAAATCCGTTTCCACGGCGTCTCGGACACTCAATAATCCGCGACCCTCAAAAACTAATATTCGATGAAAATACGGCCTCTTATACTTTCACTTGTTTGTGATTTTGGACGCCAATTCTTAAATTCATTCAACAGTTCAAAACATCCTGTAAAACTGGCTCTGTATTTGCCAATCCTTAAGGCACGTCGGATATCAGACTAAACCTCGGGCATCTTAACGTGGGGCACAGTTGTGCATATCAGAGGTTGGCTGACAGGTCTTATCGTCTTCTTGCTGGCACCTTGCCTGCTCTTTGCCTCGCTCTGGTTTCACAACAAGTTCGAGAATGTCAGCTCGATCGACCGTAGCCTTGCCGGGCTCAACCTGGTTCAGTCGCTGGGCCCGCTGATGCAGGAAAAGGCCCTCACAGGGCAGATCAGCCAGCCAACTGAAATGCTCCGCCGACGCCTTGTCGATTTCGACACGTCACAGACCACAGACGAACTCGCCACCGAACTTGATGATTTTCTTCAAGAGCCAAATGTTCCCGATGCGCTACGCAAAGCCAGGTTGCTGACGGCAAAGATTTCACAACTCGCAAAGCTCAGCGCCTCATCGTCCTACGAAACCTCCAAGCTTCCGCATTTGATCAACGACACATTGATGACGGTCGTCATCGAAACGTCCGTCATGGTGAAAAATGGCGAGATGCTATCCGGAAAGGCGGCGATCAACACCTGGGACAAGATGCTCGTTCCTGTACAGGGAGGGCAATTCAAGGTCGCGGCGGACGGAGCCTCCCGGGCGACCAGGGAATATTTTCAGGGCCTGGAAGGACCGAGAGCTGATGTGCTCAGGGACAAGGCGGCCGCCTATCGCAGTGCCAATCTCGCCTACCAGTCTGCCGGTTCGAAATTGCTGTCTTCGACAATCAAGGGAAACAGCGGTGCGGACATCACCAATGAACAACTGAATTCCGTCCAACCTGATTTCGTGCGCACCATTTTCGCGCTGTGGCAGGAAACCGTCGACTACCTTCATGAGGATCTGCAGCAGCAACGGGCCGAGACTTTGTTTGCCGTTGCACTTGCCGGGCTCGTCGGCGGCCTCGTCATCGTGGCAGCCTTCGCCATAGCTGTCGCACTCAGCAGAGCACTTGCCGACCGGACCCAGCAGGAATTTGAAAACCTGGGTTTTCATGACCCGTTGACCGGATTGCCGAACCGCCGGGCGCTCCTCAGGTCGATCCGGGCACTGCCTCCCTGTGCGGTGGAAAACAGTACCGGGCTGATCATCTTCGACCTTCGTCACTTCAAGAAAATCAACGATCTTTACGGCGACCAGGCAGGAGACACCATCTTAAGAGATACCGCTGAGCAACTGGTCCAGTTCGCCGAAGCACAGGACATTCTGTGCAGGACCGGTGGAACGGAATTCATGCTGTTGCGCCCCAATGTGTCCGACGCACCGGAATTTGAGAAACTACCCGCCAGGATCATTCGGGAACTCGGCAAAGAACGTCTCGTTGATGATCAGAAAATAGTGCTTGAGTCCAATGCCGGGTTGCTGATCAACAAATTCGGCGATCCGGTCACCGATCAAATTCTTGTCGATGCGGAATTGGCCCTGCGGTCGGCGAAGCAGAAAGCGCCATGTAAATGCGCCCTGTTCACATCCGAAATGCGTACAGTGTTCGAGGAGAATGGGGAGATTGCCAAGCGGCTCCACAAAGCTCTGAACAACGATGACATCCTGCCGTGGTTCCAGCCGCAAATAGATATAGTGACCGGCGAGGTTGTCGGTGCTGAAGCACTCGTTCGCTGGCTGGATTACGGGCAGATCCGCTTTCCGGGCTACTTCCTGCCGGCGGCCGAGGAAGCTGGATACATGGACAGGATTGAAGACATTGTACGCCGGAAAACCATCGACCTCGCGGCCGAGCTTGCCGGCCGGACACGCCAAACGATCCATTTCGGTCTGAATGTGTCGGCTGACTTGCTCAGCAGTGCAAGGGCCGTCGACGCCCTTCACTGCCAGGTCAAGGACGCGGGCCTTTCTCCTTCACTCATCAGTCTTGAAATTCTGGAAGCGGTCATGATCGACGAGGATACGGCTGCGCCGATCAAGGAGAACATCGCCCATCTTTCCGAGCTTGGTTTTTTTGTTGAACTCGACGACTTCGGGACAGGTCATTCGAGTATCTCCAGCCTGCGGGATCTGAAGATCGACAGGGTCAAGATCGACCGGAGCTTCGTGTCAGGTGTGGATATGAAGCCTGACCTGCAGAAATTCACCAGTGCCCTGATCAACCTCGCCAAGAGCCTTGATATCGACGTCCTTGCCGAAGGTGTCGAAACGACAGGTGAGCGTGACTGGCTCAGACAGAATGGCTGTGACGTCATACAGGGATTTCTGATCTCCAAGGCAGTGCCGGAAGTCGATCTAAGCACGATAATCCTCAGACAGAACTTTGGTGCGCGCCCAACCACAAACGCTGATCGGAAGTCCGCAATCGCCTGAGCCGGCATTGTCCCGAAGCGCGGCCCCGTTCAGGCGGTTTTCAATATGGCCTGACGCTGCTTGAATTCGGCAGCCGCCATGGACAGACCGCCGTTTGAACCGTCAACAAAGTGAATGTGCTGACTGTTGCCGATATCTTGGACAAAACAGGTCATAAGCGCTTCGCCCGACACGTGCATTCCAAAAATGACCTCGCCTTCATCGTAGGTTGACGCCAGGCACGTCTCAAGAGCTTCAAGTTGCTGCGGGGTAAGATCCAGCACAAGCTGCAAGCTGTCTCCAACCTTCCGATGATCGGTGTTGAGGCCCAGTTCGCGGAAATATTTTTTCGGGTCAAAGGGACCGACACGAAAACCGGTCGCATATCCCCAAACGAAGAACACGCACTCAAACAGGCCTTTGGCCCAGCCACGGGCATGTTTTCCGGCAGATGCGAGGTTCACTTCCAGACCAAGGCCTTTTGGTGGGAAACGAAATTTCAAACGCGGTTTTTCGGCCAGCCTGGTTCGATTGTCGTCGACAAGCGGATTGAAGCCAAGCTCCTCGGCAATCCTGTCCATCAACTCCGTCAGGGACCTGCGCCCTGCGGGCTTCAGAATGAGAGAGACAATATGCCCGTTTTGCGCAGGCAGTGGTTCCCAACGGCAGGAGAGTCCTTCCAGGGGTGGCAGATCCGCATTGTCGGAGGTTATCGCATAGGGGTGGACAGCTTCCGGGTCCTTCAAGATCCTGTCGGCAATATCAAGACCGTCTCCGACGATCATTGCCAGATGATTTCCCGGGCTCAGGAGATATTTGCGCAACTTGATGTCACCACCGCGAGCTCGGATGACAGCAACTGGGATCGCGGCGGCGCGCAACTCGAGTTCCATGACATGGCTGGCCAGATCAACTACACCAGCCAGGGCTTCCTTGCCTTTTTCCAGATCCGCGGCGGGGATCAACATCATAGCGCCGTCACCACCGAACACGAACGGAACCCTGTCACGACCGACGTTGTTCAGCACAGCAGCAATGACTGCCGCGCCAGTCATGTTGACGTCCTTGTAACGTCCCTGCGCCACCGCATCGCCCGAGCGGACAATGTCCGCGGCCAGAACATACCAATCGTTGGGAACCGGACGATAGTTCTCCAGCTTCGCAACGCTGCTGAAATCGGAGAAACTCGGCAGTTCACGGTAGAATTCTTCTGCGGACACAACACCCCCCTCGGATTGCGAAGGTTACGCGGTGATCGTCAGAGCCGATCACCACGTCATGGAAAACACTGTGTCACTAAATCGTGTAATTCCGTAGCAGATACGTCAAATCGCGCTGAATTGTCCGTTCCGCCAGACAAAAACCTTGTCCTGAGGCACATCAAGCTTCGGGACGTTTGCGCATTCAAGCCCCTCCAGCCAACCGCGCAGCACCCTGAAGACACCGCCATGTGCAACGACCACCGTTGGCTGCAAGACACTCTTGAGCCAGTCACCGACCCGGTCCGCCAGCATTTCGTAGCTTTCGCCACCCGGTGGAACAAATCGCCACTTGTCCGACCGCCGTTGCAGGAGCAGTTCCTGCTCCTTGTCGGCAAGATCCTCGAGCCGAAAACCTTCCCATTCGCCGAAAGTCAGTTCCAGAAGCCTTTCTTCCAAACGGTAACCATCAACACCCAGTCCCATGCCGTCCCGCAAAAGTTCCATTGTGTTCCTGGTGCGGCCAAGCGGGGACGCGACAAAATCGAAGGCAGTGGGGTCAAACCCCTCACGCTTCATGAAATCCCTGAGCCGAACGCCGTTGGACGCAGCCTGTTCCCTGCCGGTCCCGTTGAGAGGAATATCCAGGTGTCCCTGCATTCTGCCTTCCCGATTCCATTCCGTCTGGCCATGCCTGACAAATATCAGAAGGTCGGGGTCATGAATTTGCGGCAATCGGACTGTTGCGCCGCCGGTTTGTAACGTCGTCATGATGTTTTCCAGGATCAGGTCTGTCCTTGAACAGAAAAAACGGCCGGTCAGTACCGGCCATTCAGCTCAATCAGTCCTTGACGACCGATATGTCCGGAGCGTCGACCGCCTTCATGCCAACGATGTTGTAGCCACAATCGACATGCTGAATTTCTCCGGTGACACCGCGCCCCAGGTCGGACAGCAAGAACAGAGCGCTGTCGCCGACCTCTTCGATTGTCACTGTGCGCCGAAGCGGTGAATTGTATTCGTTCCACTTCAGAATATACCGGAAATCGCCGATGCCGGACGCGGCCAGCGTCTTGATCGGACCGGCCGAAATGGCATTGACGCGAATGTTCTGCGGACCAAGATCCATTGCGAGATATTTCACGCTCGTTTCGAGTGCTGCCTTGGCGACGCCCATGACATTGTAGTGCGGCATGACCTTCTCAGCACCGTAATAGGTCAGTGTGAGGATCGACCCGCCCTCGGACATCAGTTTTTCAGCGCGTTGGGTCACAGCTGTCAGTGAATAGCAGGAAATATCCAGGGTACGGGCAAAGTTGTCGGAAGACGTGTCGACAAAACGTCCTGTCAGTTCAGCCTTGTCCGAAAACGCGACAGCATGGACCACGAAGTCGATCTTGCCCCATTTGTCTTCAAGGGCCTTGAAGACGGCATCGATCGTTTCGCCTTCGGTAACGTCACAATGACCGACGACAATCGCACCCAACTGCTCGGCAAGCGGTTCGACCCGTTTCTTCAAAGCATCGCCCTGATAAGTAAGCGCCAACTCGGCTCCCGCGTCGGCCAACGCTTTGGCAATACCCCAGGCAATCGACTTGTTGTTTGCCACGCCCATGATCAGGCCGCGTTTGCCATTCATCAGTCCGCGCGTTTCCGCCATCTTCTTCTCCGAAAAGGATTCCTGTACCACCCGAGCGGGCTGGCCTCCTATGGCACAAGGGTTTGGTTCCTTCAAGAGTCACAGCGACCGAATGCGCCGTCGACGTGCGCGAAAACACCTACTATTGTGACGCCCGATTCCCGCCATTCAACTTCGCAAGGACCCCGCTCATGGAGCGCATTCCACACGCCGACCGTTTCGCTGAATTGATCGGCGCTGCAAACGTCATGACCACCCCGGAAGACCAGGTTCCATACCTGAAGGAGTGGCGCGATCTATATCAGGGTGTCACGCCGATGGTGCTTCGTCCAGGCAACGTCGAAGAGGTCAGTTCAGTCATGAGATATGCTTATGAACATGACATCAAGATCGTTCCACAGGGCGGCAATACAGGGCTTGTCGGGGGGCAAATTCCGCAGGAAACCGGGGATGAAATCGTGTTGTCCCTCTCTCGGCTCAACAAGATCCGCTTTGTCGACTCCGCCGGTTTCACCATTACGGTAGAGGCAGGAGTAGTCCTGGAGACGCTTCATGACGAGGCTGAAAAAGCCGGTCGCCTGTTTCCACTTTCACTTGGTTCTCAAGGCTCGTGTCAGATCGGCGGGAACATCTCAACCAACGCCGGCGGGACAGCCGTCCTGGCCTATGGCAACACGCGCGACCTCGTCCTCGGACTGGAAGTTGTCCTGCCAACAGGTGAAATCTGGGACGGTCTCAGAACGCTTCGCAAGGACAATACCGGTTATGATTTGAAACAATTATTTATCGGCGCAGAGGGTACCCTGGGGATAATTACGGCTGCGTCTTTGAAGCTTTTTCCCAAACCCAGGAAACTGGAAGCCGCCTTTGTCGGGTTACCGGATCCTCAGGCGGCACTCAAACTCTTCACAATGGCAAAGGCTCAGGCTGGACCGGTTCTAACCGGATTTGAAATCATGCCGCGCGTCGGTTTGGAATTTTGCCTGAATCATCTGGAGGGTGCACGCGATCCGCTCAATGGCACCCACGCCTGGTACATTCTCCTGGAGCTCTCGAGCGGATCTGATGCCTTCCCGATCAGGGATCTGATGGAAAGCATACTCGGCGAAGCCTTCGAGGAAGGTCTGGTGGAAGACGCAGCCTTTGCCCAGAACCTTTCGCAGGTGCAGGACTTCTGGCATATCCGCCACGGCATGTCGGAAGTCCAGAAACCCGAAGGGGGTTCAATCAAACACGATGTCTCCGTACCGGTTGCCTGCATCCCGGATTTCCTCGACAAGGCAATGGCCGCAGTCAAGGCTTTCGTGCCGGGTTGCCGGCCCGTGCCCTTTGGACATATCGGCGACGGAAACATCCATTTCAATGTCTCCCAGCCCATCGACGCCGACAAGGACGCCTATCTTGCGAAATGGGACGAGATGAACGCCATCGTCCACGGCATCGTGCACGAATTCGGCGGCAGCATTTCCGCCGAACATGGCATCGGCCGCTTGAAAAGAACCCTGCTGAAGGACGTGAAATCCAATGTTGAACTGGACCTGATGCGCCGGATCAAGAAAGATCTGGACCCAAAGAACCTTCTGAACCCCGGGCGCATTATCTGACCCTCCTGTCCCGGTGTCTGACGCCGTTTCGTTGCCTGTCCGCATCCGGTTGTGCACATGTCCGCAATGGCCTTGCCATCTCTTTTCAGGATTTCGGCGAGAGCCCGCCGGTCCGTTCAGACCGATTGTCGGGCGAAGAGCGCGCGGTCCGGTTCTCCTTTGATCTTCCGAGCCGGACCGCTGCTTTCCTCTCCCATGGAATAATTCACTATTACTTATACAATTCTTAGGCGAGTCCAAGTTGTACCAGCTTCGCCTGAGATCAATTCCCGGGCTACAGCCAGTTAGCGAAATTCGCGGCTTTGCAAGCAACTGACACGCCGATATGTCCTGGATCAGCAATATACGAGGAGGCCCAAACGAAGTCTCTCGTCAAACTCCGGTGTAGCTGCTGGATTGAGAATTCGAAGCAGATAATTGAATTAATTCGTATTTATTCTGTTTTCATCGACACTGGCCAACTTCTCATCGGAGCGTCAATCCGGTGATCTGCTACCGACAATCTCCCTGACTTTCATGGACTCGACGCTCATTCGGGCCTGAAATACGAGGTGATTCACGTGCCTTCTGACTGGCAAGCTTTTGTTCATCAACAAAGTTCCTTGTAAAAAATGACTGATTTTTCAATCAGTAATATGCAAAACCCTCGCGGAAATTTACAAAATCGACAACTACCTTTTGAAAACTTGCAGAAAAAACGCTCAAAAGTTAAATTTTTATTAAAAATGCTTGCGTGCCTGAAGGCATTGATGAAACACTAGCAGAAGGAAAAACTCGATCAGGACTTGCGGCATGTCCTGAAATCGATGAGGCGTAAGTTTTGATATGTATTATTTACCTTCAAACATCTCCTCATCTACACAAACTACGATGCGAAGCGTCTATGACCTCATAAGAATAAGCTATTTGTAAACATGGTAAGTAAAAGGTTAATCATGTGTCATAGGCGTCAATAAGCCAACCGGTCGAAAGACCTGACAAAAGCAAAAGAGTTGCGAAGGCGGAACCAGCAGCTCGCAGACAGTGCACGGGGGAGAACGACACAGTCGTTCTCCTAGATGGAGGCCACAAATGCAGGTTCAGAACTTAGCCAGTTCGGATCAATGGGATCGTGTGAAAAATGAACTGAGAAATGAACTCGGTGAGGATGTGTTTTCAAACTGGTTCGGAAGAGTGAAGCACGAAGAAACCGTGGGCGATTCAGTTCATCTTTCGGTCCCCACGCGTTTTCTGAAAAACTGGATCCAGAACAACTACGAGAAAAAGCTGGTCGGACTTTGGAAGCGCGAACTCGACGACATCAATCGCATTGAACTGACCGTCCGCGGAGCGTTGCGCCCGCGTCAGGTCAACGTAACGCACCCCCCGAAATCTATTACTGCGCGCCGGATCAGTGGCCGCACCGCACCGTTCGGCAATCCCGCCCAATTCGGTGCAGCCAACAGGTCTGCCGCGATCCCCTGCCTTGCAGACACCGGAGATGAAGCTGCTGCGGAATTCCTGAGCGGAGCAGCGGTCAATCCCAAGCTGACGTTCGAGACGTTCGCGGAAGGCTCTTCCAACAGCCTGGCCTGTGCCGCCGTCCGACAGATGGCGGCAGGACATGAAGGCACTCTGGAAATGCTCTTCATTCACTCTTCGACCGGTATCGGCAAGACGCACCTGCTTCAGGCAGCAGCTGCGGAAGCCCGCAAGCCCGGCCGGCGGGTCGCCTATCTGTCCGCCGAGTTTTTCATGTATCACCTGGTACCTGCCTTGCGGACACCGGCCTTTCCGGTCCTTCGCCAGGCAATGAAGTCGATCGACCTGTTGCTTGTCGACGATCTCCAGTTCCTCCATGGCAAACAGGCGCATGAGGAATTCGGCAGAACACTCGAAATTCTGATGGAAGCACCCAGTCAGATCATCATGGCAGCCGACCGGATGCCCGATGCCCTCGGTACGCTGAGCGGCAAGGTCATGCAGAGGATACAAACCGGTGAGGTCGTCGGCATCCAGGCGACGGACTATGCGTTGCGGCATGACATTCTGCGGAAGCGGATTGCAGCGGCCAGACGCACCCATCCAGCGTTCAGCGTGCCCGAGGAGGTCGCCGACTACATAGCGCGCTACGTTATTTCTTCGGCACGCGATCTGGAGGGGGCACTGAATCGCCTGTTCGCTCACAATCAGCTGACCAAACAGCCGGTTACAATGGATCTTGCGGAAAAAACGCTGCACGATCTGGTCAGGATCGGTGAACCGCGCACGATCAAGGTGGAAGAAATCCAGCAGATCGTCTGCAAACATTTCAGTGTCACCAAGGCGGACCTTTTGTCGTCCTGCAGGGCCAGGACCCTTGTACGTCCGCGCCAGATTGCAATGTACATCGCCAAGGTCGTAACGGGACGGTCGCTCCCCGAAATCGGCCGCCGTTTCGGTAATCGCGACCACACAACAGTTCTCCATGCCGTTCGAAAGATCGAGGACATGGTGACAAAAGACAACGTATTGGCGCAGGAGGTCGAACTCCTCAAGAGCCTGATACAGACCTGACCGGCTCCAGGGTGACGTCTACCCTGTTGACCTGCGGCAGCGACAAGACTGCCGTCACCCCCGGCACCGGGCACAATATCCGCCAGGTGTCATGCAAACCTCCCTTACTTGAAGCCGCGAAAGCGGCTTCTTTTTTCTTTCATTGACAGATGCAAGTTGTCCGAATATGCGTGAGATCGGTTTGAGGAAGCCAGCCGCCCGCGGGCAGAGCCCAAGGTGAAATTCCTTTCACGAAGTCTTCTTCGTCGAATGTCGACCTTCACAGGACTGTGCAGGCTGATGGCAATGCGGGCCCCATTGGAAGGCGATTGCCTCCGACCCTGCCTTTCTTGAAAAGGTAATATCATGACACTCCCCAGTGTTTCCGAATTGAAATCCCAGGCGAAACGCCTGCGCAAGGCCCTTGCGGCAAACGGCAAGCAACTGTCACACAGCCAGGCGCTCGAACTTGTGTCGACGCAACATGGTTTCAGGGACTGGAACACCGCCAGTGCGGCAGTGTCGCGCCCCAACCACTTCGCATTTTCGGTCGGTGACCGGGTATCCGGCACTTACATGCAGCAGGCCTTCCAGGGAGAAATCAAGGCTCTCTCCAAGGTCGGGACGACAGAGCGATACCATGTGACGATCCAATTTGACGAACCCGTCGATGTGGTCACATTCGACAGCTTTTCCGCGTTTCGAAGCCGAGTGAACTGTCTCATCCGTTCTGACGGTGTCGCCGTGAAGAAAACATCCGACGGTGAGCCCTATCTGCGACTGAAACCGGCAGAACCGGACGCGGACTGACGGCATCCTCCAGGGTTGGACGAGCCCTCCGGAACACAATCTCCCGCAGTGTCATGCTGCGGGAGACCTGGCATGCCCGTTCTAGAGGCCTCTGGTATTCCTGGCAAACACGTTGCAAAATCTCTCATTGGCCGGGGGAGACAGAATGCATCAGCTTGGAATTGGCGCCGTGAAGCAGTTGAAGATGTTGGGCATTGTCCTGGGGGCGCTCGTCTGCCTTGCAGCGACGACCGTCCAGGAGACCAACGCAGCCGTGATCCCCGGCGGAAACGGGGGATGGCTCGTGGTCGCGAGCCGCCCCAACGCGTCCGAGGCTGTCAATGTTGCGCGCGGTTACGCCAGCCGGTTTCCGAAAACAACGGTCTTTCAGTCCAGCAATGGCTGGTTCGCGATCACACTGGGCTGGATGACCCAACCCGGCGGCAATCGCTACAAGGCTAACCTGCAGTCCGGCGGCATCATCCCGGGAGACAGCTATTTTCACAATGGTCAACGCTTTCAGTTCGCTGTCTGGTCGGCGACCGGCATAACGGGGGGCGCGTCCCGGTCGCTGATTACATCAACCCGCATCACGACCGGCTCGGGAGGTGTAGCAAACCCTCCCACGACATCGCAAAATGCCTTTGTCTCGGGCCTCGATCCAACCGGTGACAACTACCTGTCGCTTCGCACGGGACCGAGCACACGGTATCAGGAAATCGTCCGCATGGGTTTGAACACCCCGCTGACCATCCTTGGCAGAAGTGGATCCTGGCTCAATGTCGCACTCGCCGATGGGCGAACCGGCTGGGCGTACGGCAAGTATATCGCTTCCGCTCCCGGTTACGCACCGCCGCCGCAACCATCCATCGCGCCTGCACCTGTCACACCACCGACTGTTGCCAAACGGTCGATCACGCCGCCGAGCCCAGGCGTCGTGGGAGACCTGAGCGGGACCAGTGACAACTTCCTGTCGCTCAGATCAGGTGCGGGAACAGGCCACTCTGAAATTGCAAGACTGCTCGAAGGCACCAGGCTTTCCCTGCTGGCGCAACAGGGTGCCTGGTTCGAAGTTGAACTTTCAAACGGGATGCGTGGCTGGGCTTACGGCCAGTATGTCGATGCAGCAAAACCCAGACAAAGCGCATCCCAATCGGTCCCGGTTATCGGTCCGGACCCACAACCAGATCCAAATGAAAGCAGACCGCGCCAAAGGCAAGAGACCGCAACACGCCCGAGTCTGCCGGATCTGGGAACCCTTCCTGAAGGCAAGCGGGTCGCCTTGATCATTGGCAATTCGGCATATGAACACGCCCCGCCCCTGCCCAATCCGAAAAACGATGCGACCGACTTGCAGGAATCGCTGAAGCGCCTGGGCTTCACGGTTATTCTCGGTCTGGATCAGAGCAAAATCGCCATGGAAGGAACAGTCAGAGCGTATGTACGTTCGATCCAGGATGCAGATGTCGCCCTGTTCTTCTACGCAGGTCATGCGATGCAGTTGAGTGGAAGAAACTATCTCATTCCGATAGACGCAAAACTCGAAGACGAAACCGCTGTCGACTTCGAGACGATCGAACTCGGCACGGTGCTGGACTACATGAATGCGCCCGGCCGACTGTCGATTGCGCTTCTGGACGCGTGCCGTGACAATCCACTCTCCCGCCGGTTTTCACGCAGTCTTGGCGTCAGCCGCA